GAGGCATCCTCGTAAGTCACATCTTCCTGTTTCCTAAGAAAATTTCTATCCCCCAGTTTCTATAAAGCTCTAGTAGTAGTGCTATTAACAGGCTGTAACTAAGAGAAAATAGCTTATTGCCAAGGGACAAAAAAGATGGAGACTTTCTAAAAGTGTTATAATGACTACACATGTATTTTAATATTTTATGATATGCACTAAGTTGTGGAAAATGGTTTGCTCAGATTATGGGATTTAAAAAGGATTTTTCACATCCCTGTATTATTTTAATATTTTACAAAGTTTTATTAGGGGAAGAACTTATTTTGAAATGTATAAAGGATAAATCAACCTGATGGTCCAATGCAAATACCTTACAACTAGAGCATATTAAACATTAAGATCTGTATTATTAATAAGGCAGTAGCAAAATATAAAATAGCTACAAATCAACATCTAGAATCACTGTGTGCTTCCAAGGAGTATTACCTCTGAGACTCATCCACTATGGATTATGTCACAAGCACTTCTTGAATTACAAGGCAACCTTGAATTATCATATACTGCAAAAATGCCTAATGTTAGAAAGTATTCAATTATCTTTCTGTTTGTTTGTTGGGTACACATAATGGCAAAGAATTGTCCTGATATGAAAATGCCCATTTCTACAACTTACAGCATGTCACATCACATGGATAAAAGCTAACACCAGAAACTTAGAAGAATCCAACTCAGTTAGTCCCTAAGCAGTGGTTTTAATGGCTTAGTAGTGTCCCCAAGGAGACACAGGTTTACATAATGACTATCTAGAGTTAACTTTCCCTCAATCACCACAGCTTGTAATTAGAAAGAATACATAACATGCTAAGTAGATCTCTAATTTGAGTGAAGCAAAGACTGCTCTTTTTTTTTTTTTTTTTTGGAAAAAAAAAAAAGGACTTGACATTACTCTGGATCTAATCAAACCAGAAGATTTTATGGAGCTGAAATGGGTAATAAACTATCATGGATCGGTACCTATTTGAAGAGTTTCTTAAACAATGTTTGGGAATAGAGAATCTTACTTTACTCAGGAGATGTAGTAACCTCAAATTTATTTATCATCTGTACAATGTGGGGCATTACCAAACCAGAGATGGCCTTGAACCTACTTCATTAAACAAGCAGCCCCCATAGCCTGTTTAATTGGGAAAATTGAAACTTCAAAATGTCCAAAGGAGCTAGGCATATAAAACAGCTCACAAGAATTATGTGTTCATTTCTGCCAATAATGCTAGAATGATTTAAAATTCTATCTTTGTGCTTTACAGTTACCATAGCAGTGAAAGATTCGTAGTCAACAAGATTATTTCCATTTCAATGACTGGTAAAATTAGCAGTTTTGCTAATTTGAAGCCATGGCAATTAAATTTACTATCAACAATAGTGCTGCAATCTATTATGTCATTAAAACTTTCTGTGCATGATAACTACAATGGCAGCATGCCTGGGAATAAGAAACAAGACATTATGAAGAGTGAGCTTTGTGTTTCCATTGACATAACCCAGCTTCAGTCACAGTTGCTGGTGAAAGGGATAAAAGGGAAAATAAAGAACTCTGGCCTAGTTAGTGTCTCTGGAGTCAGATTTTGCTTAATTCATCTTTTTTTTTTCTTTCTTTGATTTATCAGAGTACCAGGAACAGGACATGTATTCACACTGGTGCCCAGTACATGCCTATCAATGGCGTGTGTAGCTATGTCACTATCCCTCAGCAGGTCTTTTGTTTCTGTCACCTTCAGGAGCCTTGATCTTGGCTCCTGACTTGAGACAAAATATCTGTGAAGTAGAAAATTGAGTATCTTGATTCTGAAACCATTATGGAAAGTTTTGTGCATTCAAATTAAGCCTTTGATACAAACACTGACTGAATTGGGCCATTTGAAAATGACTAAAGAAATGTATGCTCTTCTTGAAGATCCTGAAGTTTTATCTGACCTCCTAGTGGTACCAGATGGAATGAGACTACCAGGTGTGGGTGCTACAAGTATTTCTCAAACCATTATAGTCCTTGCTTACCTGGAAATCCAAGCAACTTCCTTGTTTAAACCCAGTAGGGTTATGTAGGATGTGTGGTACAAGCAGTCAGATACTTGCTCATGATGGCTCAAGTCAAAGGTTCTTAAGTCTAGCCTCTTCTAACAAACATTACCCTAACATCCCAGACCAGAGAAATGTTCCTTCAGAAGATCTTAGTGAACATCACCATCATCTGACCTTAAACTTAAATAGGCAGCTAATGAATAAGGAGTTACATGGTATATTCTGTTTGCTCAACTCAACTACAAATTCATTCAGTGAAAGGTCATGTCCATATTTCTTTGACTCTCCCTTAAATACTTTAGGGAATCCATACATTTTTGTTGGTTGGGAGGGAAAGTTTTATAGTCATTTTCATATCTTGAGCACATTGATAGGTTTTACTAAATACCAGGACAGCCTTTGAATAAGTAAATAAATGAAGCAACAGAATGCAATACTAGGACATTATTAGTTAATAAGAAGTATGAGCAAGACAAAATTAGTGGGGAGTGAAATAGAAAATAATGTGTACTGCTCTGGAAATGTAAGCAAAAAGACTTAAATCCTCTTCCCAAAATCAACATTCTAAATGATGTTGTGGATGTTGTATCACCTTTGTTCTCCAGTATTATTCTACATAAAATACAGAGATTAGAACAAGTGACTTCCCATTTCAATGATGTCAGAGGAGGAAAAGGCAAGGAATAGAACATGGGTTAAGTTGTACTCCTGACTGGATCTGTAAGCTGTCCTCAAAGTGCCCATCTGGTTCAAAAAAAGAGAATAATCTCAAAAAGAGAAAATAGGTCATTTTAACAGACTTTTAAAATCCATTGCTGAAGTTACTTAGATATTTTATTTAGAATTTCTCACATCTGTGTTCCCAGGTGAAATTGGTCTACAATTTTCTCTTCTTACCCGACCTGGGTTTTGAAATCAGTGTTAAACTAAGCCTCAGGAAATGAGTTGAACCTAGTATGTTTATCTTTTTCTAATTTCTTAAACTCATCAATGTCTCTATGTCACTTCCAGACACTTTCCTTATCATGCTCTCAACTACTCCTTTTCTCTGGACCTCTCCAGTCATGTCACACCCATTGGTGGTGTCTGGAATTTTAGTTTTGGATCATTAAAGATGTATTTGTTCTCTTTACTTTTTATTTCTTATTTATTTAAACAAGAATGAAAATTTCTAATTTAATTTACTTACCTTCGCTTTACATGACACATAGCATTTTCCTGGAAATACACTTTTCTTACTGGCATACTTTATTGTTTTTGAAAAGGGTCTTTGTTGATATTTTTGCTTCCCTTTTGGACTTAAAAATTAGCTGTAAAAATGTTTAATGATTTTTGTCCTTTAGCACCTTGAAAATAGTAATTACCTTGTATCATCTAAGTTTACTGTTGAGAAATCCAATGTCAATCCGATTCTTCATTATTTTATGCAATACAGTGGTAATAACATTTCATTTTTAAAGGAACATTGTAGGGCCTCCCCAGTGACCCAGCAGTTGAGCGCTGGGTTGCGAAGCTGCCAGCAGCCTCTGCAGTGCCGGTTCAATCCCCAGACACCTGGCGAGGGTCCCACATGGCACACAGACCTCTCCTGCCACCCGCTGCTCCCCTCAGCAGTGTACTTTGTCAGTCTGCCTGTTCTGGTCTCCGCTCTGGCTCTGGTGAATTCTCTCACCCTCCCACGCTTCTGACTGCACCCCAGTGCTTGTATAAATAAATAAATCTTTTTTTAAAAAAAGGAACATTGTATTATATAGGTTATTATATATTATATAACATTATAGAGGTTTCAGTTATGCATGTTATATATAACTCAATATCTGTATATAAAACATTATGCTTACCACTAAAAATCTGATTCTGTTGTTCACTATTAATGTTTTTTATCCTATTTACCCACACCCTTCTCTTCCTTTCTGAAAACCACAAATTTGGTCTTACATTCTAAAAGTTTATTTCTGCTTTACTTGGTGCATTCATTTTGTCTCTCTTCTACATAACAAGTAAAATCATAAGGTGCTTGTCTTTCTGTCTGACTAAGCACAATAACCTCTAGCTTTTCCTGCCCACGCTTATCCTGAGGTCTGCCAGTTGCTGGCCACGAGCTCACTTTCGTTGACATATCTGCTACCTTGACTGCAAATGCAAAGTGGAAAAAGCACCTCAGGCCCTAGCTTGGACAGCTCCCGATGAGTTTGGGGAACTGGACTATATTGAGGCAGATAGGAATTCCAAATTAGGCTCTCATTCTCTGCTTGTCCAGGTAAACCTCTGCCCTGTGAATTTTTCAGCAGTCTCATCTCCAGATTGTTATGATGATGGGAATGAAGAAATGAGAGCCTAAGTGGGTGGGTGGGAGGGGGAGATGTCCAGGTGCTGGCAAATTACCGGCATTTTTTTACCTGCCCCCCTCTCCGGCTGGCTCCAGTGTTGCCTGAGATTTGGCAGGTTATTTCTTTCTGACTCTGAGACAATTGTAATGTTTTCTGTTCATTCCTTGAACCATTTATCATCCCTACCCCATTCAATAAGATCATCGATCCATTAGATACTAGCTGCACATCTATAGAGAGCATCTTAAAAATGGGGGTTCTGACCTGCTCATTTCTTTGCTCCCCTCAGGGTCCAGAATAATAAGCACAAATTAGCTACTGAAAAATTAAGGTGGGTCAAAGACCTTGTTCTTGAGCTCACAGCTTTGGGCTCTGAGTAGACAAACTCTTCCAAACCTTTCTACTACTAATCCAATTGTATTAGTACAACACATTAGTAAATAACCCAATTGCCAATATGAACAACACAGCCTTGTAAGACCTACCTCAAAGCCAACCTATGTCTACAATACAGCTTAGGCTTAATCCCATTTACTGGCCTTATAAACAGAGTAGAAACCAGCCCTGCCTGCCAAGTCTCTATCACAGCAAAGGAACTTGACACTTGAAGACACAAGACTAATCTGTTTATTCGGTGCGATCGTTACGTTGAGGAGGGAAATTTTTGGCAAATAAATAAATAAATAATCAGACAAACGGAGACTTTTAGGCCAAAGAAGGAGCTCAGGAAGAGGAAGGAAGCGGAGTCTTTGCATAGTTCTAAGGAACCGAAGGTGGCAGCAGTAGGCAACGCGGATTCTCAGCAGAAATGCAGCACTTGCAAAAACCAGGGACAGGAGGCGTTGAGAAAGAGAAGGTCAGAAGGTGACTAACTATTTCTTTATCATAGAGACTGTGGTGTGGAACATTCATCCTCTCTACTGGGGTTGGGAGGTGGCGTCTCACATGATCTGCCTGGGCATCCCATACCCGGTCATGCCCGCCTGGGAGGCACCCTTGTTGCTGCCCATCTGCAGACCTATAACGTTCTGTCCCTGGCGAAGCTGCTCCTCTGAAAATCCTCTCCGATTCTGCTGTGCTTTCCTGGGAAGAGGGAGTAAGTTAAAATATGTCATTCTGATCAGCATACTGTTAACCTTTCCCAAGAGCTGCAGATAGACAGGCTCTACTGGGGTCACCTAGTAGAAGATCAGGTCCTATCATGGACTAGGCTCCTACCCTGAGCTACAAGCCTACTATGAGCTGGGCCCTACTATGAGCTGTGGCTCTTCTACGAACTATTTTCTTACCCTGAGCTATGGGCCTACCATGAGATTGGTTCTATTATGGCTTATTGCCCCACTCTAAGCTGTGACCCTACTATGAGCTATGTCCCTACCTTGAGCTGTGGTCCTACCATGAGCTCTCACCCAATTCTGAGCTGTGGTCCCACCCTGAGCTGTGACTCTAACCGGAGAGATGACTCTGCCATGATACATGAACTCTTTACGCCATAGAACCCCCGAGTTTTCTAGAATTTCAACAAAGAATCAGTGGCAACTTCTCTGGGGATTTCACTCCCAGAGTTTCCTTCTCACTCTCTCCCACAGTTACCTGAAGCCCTTGTGAAAATTAAAATCAGCTCTTACAAAGCATGTCATTAATACCAATCTATCCTTCCCAGCATAGAGCCAAGGATTATGTTTCATTTTGGAGCTGAAGGGCCTGTGAGTTAAGGAAGGGAAATGTGTTATTCTAGCCCAGAAATCAGCAAACTTCAGTAAGGAACCACATAGTAAATAATCTTATGGGTCAGAGAGATCACAGTAAGTCATTAATAAAACTAAAACCAGGGTTTCAAGTATCTAGGATATTTTCAGACCAGGTTCACCTAAAACGAGACAAGCTGTACCTTTTTATAACTGTCAAGAAGAAAAGGGAATTAGGGAACCTAATCATTAATTATCTACCACAACGTTACTCTTTTCATCTCCTGCTTGAACTATTGGGTGGAATTGAAACTCCCTGGCTATTCCGGCCCTTTCCCCACGATAAACAACAAAAGCAAATCACTTTAGGAAGAGACCCGTTACTGACATGACCATTTAATTTAATACTGAGGTCAGGCCACTTCTGAGAGGGAAAGAGAGAGCTTAATAAACACATCAGAACATTTTTCATTCATTAAGTATAAAAGTAAGCAAATTAGTAAAAAAAAGTTGGTTGATTCAGGGCTAGTTGGATCATAATAAAACCAAATTCAGACATCATGCCAGCTCTGAGAAAAGCCACTGGGTCAGTTGAGTCCCAAGAGAAACAATGTGAGCAAAGGCAAAGCAGGCAGGATCTGTAGGTCTGGTGGGTCTGACTAGCAGTTTAAGTCTTTCCTTGTTCCCGGACTCGAGCTGGGGGCTAGGAATGCTTGCTCTGAGAGGTATTGTGTGTAAAATACCCTGAGGAGCTAGAAGGCTTTTCACCCTCCCTCTTGTTAAAATCACCCTCTGCTCCTGGGTGCGGGAAAGAAAATCTTTACCTGTGAAACCAGGAAGGCTCTCCCCGGTAGCAGCCGTCATCCTTGGTGACAGCCACACTCCCTAGAGCCATCAGGGTCCTTTGCACTGCCGCCATGTCCTTCCCTGGAAGCCAAAGAAGAGATTAAAGCCAAGCTTGAGGCAGAGCCAAGTTGTCTGGAAGACTGGACCTCCAAGAGGAAGCTCTGATAGGAAACTGCAGAGAGCACCTTCAAGGCAGGGGGACAGCAAACACTTCTCAAAGTTGCCAAACTTCTCGGAAAGACAAAAAATCACCTGGCTAATCACTGTCTGCTGTTAGATAACACAGGCACTCAGTTTCCAATCTGCTCGTCATTGCTGTATGAACAAAACTTTCTAAATACACAGCAGCTCAGATATAGGTAGTTTCCTGCCCTGAGCAGAAGACCTTGTCTAGAGGGTTCTATAAGCTGTGGTGAGGGGGCTCCTGTGGGCTGGCTGATGTGGCAGTCTTCAAAGGAATTTCCTCAATTCCTTGGAATTGAATGGAAACTGGAGAAAATCTGGTTGGATGGATTAGCTACGTCAAATTGTTAGGGGGAAAAGGATGTCCCAAAGCAAATTCCATATAGGCTTTGTGGACTCCACCCCCACCCCAGGTCAAAGCCAAAGACACTGGGAACTCCAAATCCCATCAGCACCAAAGGGAAGGTGGCTGGGACCTGAGGGTGGGGTTAAGCAGCCAGGTGGATACAAAAGGCAGACACGTGGGCTTTGGGGAGCCCCCATTTTGGCTCTCCACCAGCTCGCAGTGTCCGGCCAGCTCTGAGAGTGACTTTGGGTTTCCAGGTCGTCGGATCGGGTAGGACGCATTAAAGACTTTATTTCCCTATTTTCTCCCTGAGTTGTACATTTTCCTTATTTCTTTTTCTCTTGTAAATAAACCTTTTATTAACCCTTTTGTGTGTGTCTGTAGTAGAGTATTCATAAGTCCCTTTAAAGCGCGCGGGTGAGGACCCACAGCCAGGAACCCGTTTAATATCGGGGTTGCTCTATAACAAAACCAGTAGCTTCTTTCTTATACTTGATCTGGGGTAAAAGGGTCTACAATCAACCATGTACATAAACTGAATACTCAGCTATTTGGGTTAAAGGCCTGTCAAATAAAGAAAAGCAAACCAACACAGAAAACACTCAAAATGAAACATGATAGGCCCTTTATGTAGTGCTGCTTGGAAGGAGAGAAATGGTGGCAATAAGTAAACGGCATGTATGTGAGTAGGGGACGGGTAGGGAGAGGATTTGCCCTGAGATTTAGTCCACACAAAGCACTAGTGTGGAGGGCAAAAGCTAAAGGCACAAGGTCACAAAGAAAGGCAGGACTCAGCCTAGAGGAGACTGTGAAAGTCAAGGGCAAACATTAAAAGGCCTCTTTAGACCAAGGGAATCATCTGTGGTTTCTCCAGCCTGGCTGCTGTAGCTCAGTCCCTGGGGACTACCGAATGCCAGGGGAAAGCGGGTGGAAAGTGAGAATGGAGTCTAACTCTAATAAGCCATTTAGGCCCACAGAGGATGTCCATTTATTCAAAGAGGAGAGACAGCAGACTCTCTTCCCTCATCGCTCTTCTGCACCACCTCCCATATTAACCTCAGAGCCATTTCATGTATCCTGCGGGAATGTGGGGTTGGTGGATGGATTGCAGGATGAAATGTTCTCAATGCAAAGGTGCCCCCCAGATTTGATTCAAGGAACAGCTGGGGTGCTGAAGAATGGAGATGGGACAGTGGAGGGCACAAGGAATACTGAGAATTAAGAGAAAGGAAACACAGAGGTGGTTGTTAGAATGTTTTTTTCTGATGAAAAGTATTTCTGTAATCGTCAATGAATAACATGATCCATATTTTCCCCAATAGAACTGAAGTGATGATATTCTGAAGGATCACTCTGGAAAGAGATATGGGAGAGTTTATACTTAAGCAGGGAGCCATTAAAAAGAACCTAGAGACACAATGAAGTAGGAAGGCTGAGGAAGGGGAGGGTCTATCACTTCTCTGTACAAAGAGCAGACAGGAAATCTGTTTCTCTTATCTAGCGGTATCTGGTTGAAAGTGTGGGTCTGGTATTTTCAGGATCTGGTGAACTGTGGAGCCTGACACCCAGCAACTCAGCTATAGATACTACCCTGAGCCATGAGTACCAAAGCAAGCACACCCTCCTTTCACAATGAATTTGCCACATGAACCCAGAAAGAGGGGACTACGTTGGGTAACAGAACTGTCAATACCACCCCACCCTCATCCCAGGAGAGTAGACTAGGAAGCAAATGCATAATGGGGGCAGAGGAAGCTGGGGAAGGGGGCATTATTTGGAGAAGTTTTCCTTACTAAAGGTCCCAAGGCCAGAGATAAGTTATATTGCCTACATACTTTTATTATTCATGACATCAACCCCATGGAATTGATGTTATTCCTCTCAATGTGTGAATAAGGAAACTTATTCTGGGAGGATAACTAATGTATCCAGAGTCACCCAAAATGTAAACCAAGGCCCAGATTTAGCTCAGGTGCCTCAAGCAAAGCCCACCAGCAAAGACCATGAGGCACACTGCCATGTGCTACGTCTCCCTCCTCCCACATTGTAGGCTGGCTGGGCAGGCACGTTCCTCAGTGATCAGGGATGATTCAAAGATAAGGCCGTGATGCATCAGTACCAGGCCAGATAGATACTCAGGGAATCAAAGTGGGGCACAGCTCTTGGGCCCCACTGGGTCAAGGGCACCAATCCCAAATGGCCAAGTGCCACTGGGTAGAAGGGGGCCATTTATAGAGGCTGATTCCTGACCATTGAATTTAATATTGAGGTCCTGAAACTGAGGGTAAAAAATATTTATTAAATGTCTAAAGGCACAGTACAGGAAGAACTGTGAGGTATGCTAGGTATAAAGCAACAAAAGCTAAACTGTGTGAGTTACCACCAAACGTAACATTGGCCTGCCTGAGAGCAGAGCTTCTTGGACTAGTTATGGGATTAAATTAAGAAGAAATATTTTAAAATACGAATTTTGAGGTCATTCCCTGGATAAATTGATTCAGCAGGCCTGAGATAGGGCTGGGAATTTGTTTTTCATAAGGATTCCAGGTGATTCATACCACCAGGAAAGTTTTCACCCAGTAATCCCACACTTGAGTGATCATGAGAATTACCTAAGAATCTAAAAAGTCAGATTCTGGGACCATCTGCCGAGATGATTCTAATGCAGCCAGTTGGATAGGCAAGCACTGCTTTGATACTTTGATTTTTTAAGAATCACACTATCTGACATGTGTTAAATCCTAAATACATCTTCGTAAGCAATGCCACCTTCTTCAGAGATAGCTTCCACAATGTCAAACAGTAAAGGGCTTGGACCCAAGGTGGGGGCCAGGTGAGAGCCTGGGGGCTGGGAATCACTTGGCTCCCTGAAAGCTAGCCCTCAGCACCTAGGCAAAACAGCTTGAAAACTGCTGCTCAAGGCTATTCCAAAGAAGAAAAAAATGTCCTAAAAGAATCACCAGCAATGCCTAGAGAGCAGAAATCAGACTAAGTCGAGGTAATGATGCAAGGAGACCACCAGGCCAACGTGTAGATGAATGAAGAGGAGCCAAATTTACACCAACAACCGTCCAGAATTTCATTCGGGAGATCTGGTCTCTTCTAACCCCCGTCAGGGGAGGAGGTAATACTACCCTTGTGGTTATAGAAAGAGGTGGTAAGGTAGTAGCTTTCCTTGCTTTCCTGGAAAAACGTTTCAGATGGTCTCAGAGATCAAATGCCGCTTCTACTTGTGATTAAGGCTTCCCTCTTTGCTGCATTATCACAACATAAGGTGTCTGCAAATGCAGTCTCACACCCACACTACTTGGCAATCATGTCTGCGGAGTGAAGCCTGCGCTCCTGCATGTGGGGACCCACCACACCAACCAGGGGGTTCTTCTGTGGGCTAACACCATAAAGATACTCAAGCAGGATTTTGTTCTCCTAAAATTTTCATTACTCTTATGATACCTTTTACAGATCTTTGGAAATAGAAAAATAATGAGAAAGGTAAAGAGAAAGAAAAGGGTCAGAGAGAAGTCAATGGGTGTGTGAAGTTAGACTGGACACTCTCATTCCAATACTAAAGCTATGACTACAGTCAAACTCTGCTTCAGTGCTGCTTCCATTTTATATCAGTTTTACCTCATCCTTGTGACTCCTGGAATACTGGCTCTTTTCATCTCTCTGAGACTTACAGAAAGACAACCAGTGAATGAAGAAACCATTTCCTGTTTTCCTGTGTAATAACTTAGGCATCCCCCTGCCCCCTCCCCCAACCCCAGTTCTCCAAAGTAGAAAAAATACTGGCAGAGTCAAGGGAGAAATATCAGCAGAAAAGGTGGGAATCTCTCTGTGGGATTTATGAGTATTTTGTGGCTTGTTTCTCTGGAGCAACTCTGTAGCTGTGGTTCTCAAAGTGGGGTTCCCAGTCCAGTAGAATCAGCATCACCTGTGCAGCTGGAGGAATGCAAATTCCTAGGCCCTACCCCAGACTTTCTACTTCAGAAACTTGGGGGCTGATGTCCAGCAACGTGTGTTTTAACAAGACTTCTGGGTGATTCTCAGGTATACTGGAGTCTGAGAACCACTGCTGACAGAAACAGTTGCCAGCAGCATGTGGTATAAATGTGGTAAAGGCTGTTCTGACAGAAACGCAGGCTTCAAACAGCAGGCATTTGTGATGACTCACATCACCGCAGGTACCTCACAATATCCCAAAATATCCTTCAAACTGGGTGAACTATCTCTTTTGCTCCTGCCGTTGAGGAACGACACATACAGTGATACCTCCCCAGAGAATATATTTGGTACTTCTAGGCACTCCACACCTCCCTGACTCCCACTCATCAAGCAGAGGGAGTGGGGGGCACGACAAACCAATTGTCCTGGATCCTCATCAGTAGGATTACTGAGAAGAATAATCAGAGTTGGTAGATCCAGAATGTCCTGCCTGACATTCTAGAATTTTACACTGGCTGTTTGGTTATGGAAAGGAACCAGAAATGTCAGTTGCTGGTGGACTTTATAATTGGGGAAAGCAGCTCACACTTGTTCAGTGTCTATTAGCCAGGCACTGTGCTAGACATTTACACACTGGGTTGTTCTAAGAACTCTCCAAGGGAGATGCTGGACCTATTTATCTTGAAGGGAATTGGGGCTCTGAGTTGCTAAGCAGCCGCACAGAGGTCACACAACTAGGATACAGTGACCTTACTCCAAAACTTCTTGCTCTTTTGACTCCACCAAATTCTTTTGGGTCTGGAATTAACAGAGCAATATATTATGGGGAAAGGTATCAAGAGGGTAATGACCCAGAGATGGAAGAAGACAATAAAGTGCCTGGAAAAGCTGGTTCTTCTCTACTGGTCGATCACCGATGAGGTGAAGGCACCGCTGATGACAGAGAGGGCAAAGGTCAACCTTACCAGCATCTGTGTCAAGCCATTAATGAAGTGAAGTCCCTTTGTTCCAAAGCAAAAAATACACCTTCCCAGACTTGCCTCTTCCCCCACCCTCATTTTCTATTAGTCTCAAAAAGCACAGAGTGACGACAGTGGTAATTTCTACACTGCCAGCATTTACTCTACTCTGCCATGACCGGCAATATGCTGAGTACGCCTAATGCACCATCTCACTTATTCCTTGTGTCAAACCTGTGGAATAGACACTATTTTCCCCATTTCACAGCTGTGAAAAACCAAAGCTGAGAAAAGCTAACTTGTAAGTGGTGGAAAAGGGATTTGAACTGGGTGGTCTAACTTCTGACTCAGAAATCTGAACTCTTATCACTTTCCAGGAAAAGCTTTCTGGTCCTTCTGACCAGCACTCTCGTTGGCTCTCAAACATTCTCTCTCTTACACACACACACACACACACACACACACTCACTCACCCTGTCCTTTTTCTCCTCTCTCCAGTACACTCTGCTCTGAGTCACAGCTGAGATACCCCACCCCTGCCCTTTCCAGAAATCCATAGAAAATCCCAAAGGAAGCTGCCAAGCATTCGCCTTCTCTTCTCTTCTCTTCTCTCACCTCCCCAGTTCCCTTCCACTGCTCCAAGCTGCCCTCTCCTCTTCCCCATCAGTGAAAAGAACAGGTCACCCTCAGCTTCCTCTCAGTTCCATGGCTGCATTTTCTGGGCTATATAACCCTGGGTAATGCGACCTAACTCCCAAACTCCAAAACTCTTACTCTTTTGACTCCACCAAATTCTTTTGGGTCTGGAATTAACAGAGCAATGTATTATGCACAAGAGGTTCCATTTTAAAACGCTGACTCTTTTATTCTTGTTGCCTCTGAGTCCATTCCACATAAACCACCTCACATCTAAAAGGGGTTTCAGGATAGTGGGAACACCTGGGGCCACTTCCTTTCTAAATCACAAAGTCTTAATGAGAAGGCACTTGGCAAGTGTGGCTCCTGCAGCTTTACCTGTCTATGACATAAACACAACACGGAGTCGCCAGGGCAGCTGTGCCAGGCAAAGCTCTCCGTGGAAGATGTCAAGGAAGGGAGATGACAGATGGAGAGCTACTGAGACTAAAATCCTGCACAAGAGGAAGAGAAGCACCCAGGCTGGGAGGGCTGGACAGCAGCCACAGCCACAAGCATCGGGAATGAATGTGAATACACAGAAATGTGAGGAAAGCATCACCACCACGGTCAGGTATAGAATAGTTGGGAGAAAACGGGACTAAGCTAAACAAAAGGCTAGCCCAATAGCTGTGTACACAAACATGACACCTTCACATGCACACAGATATGCCCGACCCTGCCTTGTGGCATGGCTTTGATTAGAACGCATACATCCCCAGAGCTCATGAGTGACAACCAGCTCTTGCAACACGGCCTTGGGCTGGGCATGGTCGATCTGTCCACACTGTCATACTGTGGGTCTCACCACTGGCCTCACACAAGACCAGCTCTGCCCCTGGCCCTTTCTCTGCTCATAGCAACTCACTTTCCCACCTCTTGCTCTGTGGCATGGTAACAAGTTTTGGCCTGAGCATCAGACAGTATTTCTGGGGGATATCAAGAATCCCCTCCAATGTTTACGTGAATCTCCCTAAACCTCAGTTTTGACCAATTTCTCCACCAAGGCAGCTACCAGGCCCTGGGGCTTCTAGAGGCATTTTGCAAACTCCCAAGCCTCTGCTTTCCTATTGCCAGCTACACTCCCTATTGCAAGCCCATCTATGCCTACACTGTTCCCATGAAGTGGGTCTCCTTCGTCATTTCCTGTGAAGCTCCATCCTTCTGCCCTAGGGATAACGTCCCTCAATGCCTGTGTTGTTCTATTTCTCTAGGAGCATTATCCTGCCCTGGAGCCCAGCTGTCTTCTACCTCTCTCAGGCTATTGCAGTCACTCTTCTCTTCTCTTCCCTAAGAGGCATCTAACATACAGGGCTGGGGAAGGTGTTTATCAGAGAGCATCACTCACTCCCTGCTCTCCCGCTACTGTCCTTACCTCCTCAGTGTAAGATTCATCTGCGTGGTTTTTGGGGAAAAAATGAAAAGCAAGTGAAAGCATCATCAGCAAAGTAGAACCAGGAAAGCACAACTGGGATGCCCTCTTCTCACAGATCTTTCAGTTTCTTCCTTCTACACATTTTCTGTCCCTGGGGAGCCTCACTAGAGCCCATTGTATAGACAAGGCCCTTAGTACAGGAGCTTTAGGTTTCTCTCCTCAGTCACCGTTATGACTCAACAGCACACTCCTGGTGTCACTAAGAGAAACTAAGCTTCTTGGTCAAAGTCTGACAAGGCAGACTCGTGAAGGGCCTATTCTCTGGCATCAGAGAGACTAGGTTTAATTACAAGTCTGTTTATTAGTAGGCGTGTGATGTGCACAAGCTATCAGGGGCAAGCTTCGGCTTCAGCTTCATCATTCATGAAATGGAGAAACTAATAACACCTACCTCATAGAATTGTTAAGAGAAATAACTGGCATTAGGCTGTAAAACACTTGTACTGTGCCCAGCATATAGGATATTTTTAATAAGGTACAGCTGTCTTTATTAGTTTTATTAGCCACCTTTATTAGGGGGAAATCACCCTTGTTTTGATGCTCTACACCTCAACTGAGATATTACATGGAGATCTGGAGACTAGGATCCATGAAGGCCAAAGGCCTGGACTCTAACTTTGAATATGTGAATTTCCAAGTAATGGCAAAACACAAGAAAAATGTCTGCATTTTAAGATTTTAACAAATCATCTATGGAAGAGAAAAGAAATGCCAGCTCTCTGCCTGACATAGGAGGAGTATGAAGAATAAAGAGGTAATTGTTTCTAAGTTTTATAGAAGGTCCTCTGCTAGGAGTCTGTTTTAGCCATCATCTGAAAAGCGCTTAAAATATCACTATCTCAGATCATAGGAAAGTTACCCCATCGTCACTGTCGGCAGAGCCATCTGGGTCACGCCCTTGCTGTCCTATCAGTTGGCTGCTGATGACAGCCAGAGGCTGTGAGCATGAGCACAGCCAGCCCGGCAGCCGCTTGGCTGGTCTCTACCTCCTGTGCCTCCGGCAGGCCTGGTGTGGAGCAGCTGCATGAGCAGGCCTGCACCTGCAGGCGTAGGGGGACTCTACGCACAGGGACTCTAGGTCCCACGTTCTCTGGAAGTGTCTCCATTCATGTCATTTCCCCCTAAAGTGGTCTTAAATATGTCCAAGAATGTGATTTGATTTTATGCCTCCAAGATATCTTAATCAAGTCAATTCACAAACATGAAAGCCAGCAATCCTATGCATGCTCTGAACAGAACACATCATCTGGAAGGTATAGTCAACAAGCTCTCAGATAATCGTTTAATAAAAGGTTGGAGAGCTATTTATTTCTCAGGGTGAATGACAACATCGAACCAGGCGGCTTTGTCTATAAGCTTGCAGCTGATGAGTCAGCGCAGCGCCCACTGCTCCCAGTAGCTGTCATTTGTTTGGAGAGAGAGTAGTAGGAGGGGGAGCAGGAATGGAAGGCATCCATATAACCATCAGCTTCCTCTCCAGGAGAAGGCTTCTGTTTACTGGTTAGTTTGCTTAAGACCCTGCTGTGCCCTGGGATGTGTGTTCCCTTGAAAGAGGGTAACCCTTTTAATAGAACATCACAAAGGGGAAGGTTAACTATGTCCTCCCTATGACAGCTGATACCCTCCCCCCTGATACCCACCCCTCACGCACACACACCCAGACCCAGGGAAGAAGACTAAGCAGGTTTCACAAAGAGATGGGCAAAGGAGAGGGGGAGGGGAGGCATGTGGGGCTGTTTACCTTCCCACAGATCCACTGTCTGAAAAATGTCAGTTGTCCTGACACCGTAAATCTCTGCTGCTTTTAGGAACTGGGAGATTTGCTCCATCTGCTTAAAAGCCATCTTTGACTCTGAGATCTTGGGAATGGGCTCTTGTCCTGGTGGGTATAGACTGTTTATCAGCTTACAAAGGACCTGAAGGGGGCAAAGGCAAAAAAGAAGTCAACGTTTCCCTTTGTATATACCAGTCACTTAATGCAAAGTAAATCCTTCCTCTCTCACCCCCAGATACTCCCTCTGGTGCCCCTGAGTGGCACAGCTCACAGGTTTGGACACAGGTAAACACTGCCCCATGATGGCATGGGCTCAGGGCCCAGGTTTCCACACCAAACCCCAAAGACCCAAAAGACCCCATTCCTCTTTGCAGAGTTGCTAGCGACTGCAGTAAATCCAGTGGTCTGGGATTCCCTTCCTTTCTGTCCCTCTCTGCTCTTCTTGTCTTTTTTCTGGGTGAGGGAAAGAATGTTGACAGAAAGGGAATGATGGGTGGTGATGAGGCCATGATTCCAGACTTTCCATGGAGGAGCGAATTAGTAGCTTCAGGAGAGGTCAAATGTTAAGACTCTAATATTCTCTCAAAAGGCAGATCAGAATCAGGTTTCAACAACTGGTCCCCTATGTGCTAATGATGTATCAAAGAACTGACTGGGTAGCTTCCTCCCAGATACATATAACCCAAATTCTGGGGGAGCCCAACAGAAGGGTGGAATAGCAGTTACATAACAGTAAATCACAGCCTGCAGGGAAAAGATGGGCTTGTTTGAATCAGCAGAGCCCTCACCCTCCAAAGCCAGGGAGCATCCCTGTTTTTAACTGTTACCAGGTAAGGATTCCCTTCAGCTTCCTAAAAACCCACCCATTCAGCACAGACATTGAGCACCCCCAAGGAGCATGGCTGCCAAGAAGGTTGGGCAGGTGGTTAACCCCCCTCCCCCCAATTCCTTTGTTTTACTATGTTACCACCCCATTCTCCAGAGGAAGGAATGGCGCCAGAAGATCTGAAACACCTAAAGGCTGGACACATCTCAATGAAATACTTATCTCTATTCTCAGTGGGAAAAGCAAAAGAGATTGGAATTTGCCAACTCAGAGGGAAGCTGCCAGGTCCAGGATGGTGGGGAATCCCCTAAGCTAGCTAGGGTATTGTTCAGGGAGCCCTGAGCTTCCCACCCTGAAGATATCGGGCATTCCCTCTCCCTTCCCATGAGATTAAGGGCTTGGCGGCGGCAGCTCCTCCCGCAGCCTCACTTTAAAAGAGAAGACTCTAGAGGGTTCCCTGCCTGACGCCCCAACACCAGGATCGCTGCCAGCCGGCCTTACCGTCCCGTCCATTAACCATTTCTGAAAATGGGCCCTGCCGGGGGGCGGGTGCTCTATGTCCTCTGCGCACTGCAGGATGATCCAGTCCACCAGCTTGTTCTCCAGGTCCGCGTCGTACTTCTGCTCGATCTTCTCCTGCACCTCTCGGCTTAAGCCGTAGCTCGGGCCCCGGTTAGCCATCTCTGCAAGAGAAGAGCGGACACGCGCCGCGCGGCATCCACACAATAGCAGCAGCAGCCCCCGCGCCCCGCGACCGCGGCTGGGATGAGGCTGGGCGGCCTGGCCCAGCAGCTGCAAAGCGGGCAGAAAGCCGGGCGTGGTTTAAATCAAGGAGCCAATGAAGCCCATGGGTTTCACCTACAAACGGCAAAGGAAAGCGTAGCCACGCGCCAGTGACTCCAGAATAAAGTCCCTGCCCGCGGGGGGGTGGGGTGGGGCGCCGGAACGCCCCTCTCGGTCCCGCCTATCGATGAAACGAGGTGATGCCCAGGGACTCACAGTCACGGCCGAACTCCCAGGCAGCGAGGGGGGCTGGTGGTGGTCGCTTCTTGAGCACTTGGCCACGGCTGGTACCCCGAGATGGGAGCGAGCAGGTAATTAACAGGCTGGGAGGAAGACCGCCTCAACGTCCAGCAGCTGCTGCTGCATCGCGGCCGGGAGACTGGTACACTGATTTGATTTTCTCCTCGCTGAGGAGGGTCAAACCAGGGCCGTTGCTAAGGGCCGTCCAAAAAGGCTGCCTTCTCCTGTGTCACTCAAGCCTGCCCCCCTCCCTCCCTGCCTCCCTCCCTCTGGCCGAAAGCTTCTTTCTAGGCTGCACAATTCTTTCTCCTCTGGGGAGACAGCTGATTGTCTACGGAGCCCGCATCCAGCTGCCAGGAGATGGGCGGGGGTGGGGCCTGTGGGAGGGTCCGCTCTGTCAGCTGTCCATCTGTCAGGGGCTGCCAAACAGTTTCCCCATGCCCCGAGGTAACAGTTGTCAGGCAGCACTGGAGGGGAGGGACTGAGCGCTATAACCACTAATTTATTCAGTTGCCAGCCAGAAACATCCAGAAACATCCATTCTGGTGGATAATTGTGGTGCCTCAGTTTGACTAATTCAAGGAATTTAGCTTTTTAATGCTATTTTTCATCGAAAGAACTAAAGAGCAAGTTTTATAAATTAAACAGAGACCAATGTACTAAGAACTCTTAGAGTGAACGATTTTGATGTAAATGTTTCATCTGCTTATATTAATTAAGGACCATGAAGGCATAGCTGACATATTATCAGTGGTAACTGAGTATTTGGTAGTAAGCAAAGAAGACCTCAGGAGAAGTCGCTTGATCTAAGTTGTACTGACATTTTTACAACTGCTAAAGAGCTTGGCATTTTGTTTTCTAGACTATGAGACACTTGGGGGTAAAGAGTGAATCTTGGCATTATGTAAATCGCTGGATACTTTTCATGAGACAGGCACCCCCCAAATTTTCTCGTTGGTTCACTCAACAAATATTTTTGGAGTGCTTACTTTTGACAAGTACTGTACGGGGAAAGAATAAAGTATAATTCTTACCTTTAGAACAGATTGACTAATTAGCTTAGGCACATTAGAGAAAGCAATTCTAGTACATGTGATGGTGATCTTTGTCCCTGTGGGAAATTGATTAGGAGCTTTGCAGGAAGTGACTCCTCAAATAATACTTGTGTGGAGAAAAATCTCTTGCCAGCTGGAGCCTGAGCTAGTGTAAATGCAATTACTTCATAGATATGTGGGTGGTTTGCTTGAGAAAAGACTTAGTGGTCAGTAGCTGAAGGCCTGGGGAGAGAATTCTGAAAAACAAAGGAGTATGAGAAAGTCAGGAGCTGTTATGAGAGCAGCAGGTTTAGAAAAAGGAGCAAAATGGGCCAACAAACGCAGGTCTTGATACTCACGGGATCTTCAGTGTTCTAAAGAAGAAGTTCTAAATACAAAACAGAACTGTCCTCAGAGAATTGGAACTTAGGAGACTAGTTCGGAGCAAAGAAACTGTTCAGCAGAAATTTGGAAGGCACTGAGTTGCATCTTGGGTGGCAGCAATATAGTCAATTCCAACCTGGGATTAAGGGAACAGAGGCCCAAACAGCAAGCATGTTATTTTCTTCATGGTTGGATTTGCTCTGAGGAAGATGGTGGTTTGTTATATAAAACTGGAAGCAATTCTTAAAAATGTACATTTGCCTTTCCCTCCTGCCCTTCCCTCCTATCTCTTCCTTTTTTCCCCAGAGTGTGTTGTAAATCTTTGTACTCAAAGATTGATTTCCTCCCATTGTAACAAGTATCTGGGGTGCCTTAAGTGAATAACTGAACTCACAGTTTTGGAGAGGATTCAGTGTCAAAAAGGGGGAGGTCACAGCAAGACACAGATCAGAAGTGTCCAGAAATCCATAAGAAGTTTTAGAGACAAAATACTTTATCTCCTGGGGACCAACAATGGAAATCAGCTTAACCCTACATTTACTGAGTACCTATAAGATTATAGTGAATTTTTCAATACCTCTTTTATAAAGGTCTGTGTATCTGAAATTCAAAAATGAATGAGATATAGCAATATGGTCTAGTAGCAAAGTTAAACTTGTAAACAATAAATGTCAGCCAGTGGTGGTGATAAAAATATGTGATAAGAACAAGGGCCTCAGATACAATTATATCTAGAAGAAGGAGGTGAGGGGGTTAGGAGAAAGTTTATAAAAGAAATAAATTTAAGTCTTGAGAGATGAGTATATGTTTGTCAGGTGAAAGGGGTGAGGTGTTTGCCAGATAGATGGGGAGAGGCAGGAGGGCTTCTGGAATATTGCTGGCAGAAGCAGCTTATTTAAGAAGGCTATAAATTCAGGCAGCCTTCGTGTTATAAAGCAGTATGCTTGCAAGTAACATAGTTAAATTTTCCATAATTTTGAGAGCCAGTTGTTAAACTCAGCCATTATAAGCAATTGCTGAAGTAAGTTTACACTTAAATTATATTACAAAGCTTAAATACTCAAAATGGATTGCTTCCTGATTTATTCTGCTACATTTTACCATTCCCAATGTTTTTGAGGATATTTGTGTTTATTGTGTCTATTTTGTGTAAATACCACATAGCAGGATGCTACCGGTCATTTCTCCCCAGCTTACATTCAGTGAGGTCACAGCCATAACTTGAAACCACCTATAATGGGAAAAATTATGCCGGGAGCCATAGCATACACTACTGAGGTGTTTTCTTTTTTTTTTTTTTTTAATCTTTCAAAAGGTAGGTGTTATATATTTACCAGCTTTGCCACTGGACTTATATGCAAGAGTTTGAGAGTTTTCTTTTTTCTTTTCTTTTTTTTTTTGTGGGACCCGCTCCGGGGAACTAACTGGCGCTGCAGAGGCTGCGGGCAGCCGCACAGCCCAGCGCTCAACTGCTGCGCCACCAGGGGAGGCCCAAGTTTGAGAGTTTTCACAGGGAAAGAGAACCATCAGACTGATTTGGGTGAAGGCAAAGGAGGTGGGCCAAATGACTCAAATTTGGCTTGTATCACAGGGGTGGTAGTGGCCATTTATTGCAAGAGGGCTTGTAGATGAGAGGGATACATAAAGTGGGAAAGGTAATAAAGTTTGGATTTTCTGCACTTGGGAGGCTTATGGTCTGTCCTATTTCATTCGGAAGTTTGTTTTATGGGTTTGGAGCTCATCTGGGATGGAGAAATACACTTGAATCATCTGTATGCATGTGGTAGTTAAAACCAGGAACTTGGGACGCTTCCTTGGCACTGCCTGTGGAGGTGAGTGCCATCTTTTACTAGGCATCTTGGCCAGACCCTCATAATGCCCAAGATCATCAGAAAGGGCCAAGAAGTTCGTCCAGACCAATAAGTCAAAATTCAGTGTAACTGGTAGAGATCCAGAGCGTTGACAACAGGGTGTGCGGAAATTCAAGGGCTAGATCTCGATGCCCAACTTTGCATCTGAAAGAAACAAGGAAACAAAACATGTGCTGCCCAGTGACTTCTGGAAGTTCCTGGTCCATTGTGTCAAGGACCAGGAAGTGCTGCCGATGTGCCACACATCTCACTGTGCTGAGACTATCGCTGGGTCTGCGCAAAGCCTCCATAGAATGAGCAGCACAGGCAATCATCAGAATCACCCATCTCAACATCAGGGTGCACAGCAAAGAAAAGGACTAGATGGTTCACATTGTATTGTATTCATAAAGCCAAAAAAAGAACAAAAACAAAAACAGGCACACAGGTGAGGTTGCTCAGTGTGAGTGAGTAAGCAGTGTGAGAAGAAAGCTAGGGTCAGAACAAGAGGAAATTAACATCCTAAGGTGAGTGAGTGGGGAGGAGCTGATGGGTGTGGTCAGAGATTCAAGGAGGGCAGCATTAACAATGTGCAAACAAAACTCCTGACCTCAGGGGTCTTTTGAGAGAGGGTTCTCAAAGTAAACTTGTATTTCAAAATATTAAGTTTTATCAAAAAAGGAGAGAACATAATACTGTTCACGAAAAAGCACTGAGTACCCAGCAACAAACTTCTTGGAAACAGAGATGAAGATAAGTAAGGAAGGCTTCACTGAGAAGCTGATGTTTGAGTATTTTTTTTTTAAAGATGTATTTATTTTTGCATACAAGAACTGGGGTACAGGCCAGAGGTGAGGGGTGCAAGGATTCACCAGAGACAGAGTGGGGAACAGAACAGGCAGACAGACTGAAATACACTGCTGAGAGGAGCGGCCTGCAAGACAAGAGAGGCCTGCTGTGCCATGTGGGTATCTCCCTGGCAAGGGATCTAATGTGTGCTGCAGTGGCTACGCATAGCTTTATAGTGCTGTGCTTATTAACCCCTTGCAACACCAGGGAGGACCTGCTTGAGCTTTTTTAATAGAAGTTTATGTCAGCAAAAATCTGGAAGTCAACAAAAGGGATAGCCCACATGAGAAAGGATCATTTCCTCAAAAGATAGATTTGGTTTTAAAAAAGTTAGCTGCATGTTTCCAGGTATGTTCTCTAAATATACCAAAGCATCCCCTTGTTTCAAGTAATGCATACCACGTCTGTTTCAAGCTGAAAAACTTGCTTTAGATCTGTATTTATAGGGAATCTTAAAAGAGTTCTTGGTAGGTTGTTTTTGTCTTTGTGCAGTTACAAATTTAATGAAAACTTGACATATTCCCTTTGGGCACTGCCCTGGGAATGGTTATGTGGCATGTCATTTTCTCCTTGCTCTATCTCCCTCCCTGCTTTATAGAACTCAGCATCCCCCCAAGCTCTTTTCCTCCTCTCCACACAGACCTCTCTATTGGCTACTCAGAGAACAGCATACTGTTTAGATTTGTCTGGAAATGCCTTCAAGCTTAATAGATGCAGCAAAAGCAAATACATTGTGTGGCCTCTCTCAGCCTCTCTCACTGGTATTTGCCTTCTCCTTTTCCACTGCATGTGCTGAGCTTGTTTAGAGAGGTCATGCAGCCTTTAAAATAATGCAGGGCTTTCAGGGGCTGCTGGCTCTCCAAATATTTCCCATGTCACTGAATACATGGCATGGAGTGACTTTAGGGGGAAAAAAAGATCTTTGGGGCAAAATAGGAAAAAAAAACAACAATGTACTAGAATACACTAAACTTCATTTTAAAAAATATTTTGGAATTTGTAATGTTAATTACTTCAAAGCTAAATTAAATTTTAAAACACCGTGTTCTACCTTTAGATAGTGAAGTTTTCTCCCCCTCACCTTTTTCTAACTATTGAACATTTAAAGGATACCATACAACTAACATTTCACTATGGTTTGCTGAGCTCTAGAAGGTCCAATCCAGTTCAGCTTGCAAAGCCCTACTCATCCCTTGCCTCCGCTTACCTTTCTTGGCCCCCACAGATCATGTCCACCAGTGTCTCCCTGGACTATGCTCTGTACACAGTACAAATAAAAAGTGAAAAGCTAGTGGCTTCTAAGTGTCATAGTTCTGGGTGTGTTTTGCTTATTTAATCCTTACCCCTTGTCTAAGTTTATATCATTTAAGAGTTTAACTGTTCAAACTCACAATAAATAGTGATACAGGGTTTAAACCCAAGCTCTGGTCTCTATCCTTAATCACTATGCTATACTGCCTCTACATAGATATTATGAATATCTAAGCATGTTATTTTTATTATATTTAATCCTAGAAAACTCTGATGGGCAGGGGACCCTTTCCTTTTCATCTTTCTTTTCTTTTTTTAAAGATTTATTTATTTATACAAGCACTGGGTACAGTCAGAAGCGCGGGAGGGTGAGAGAATTCACCAGAGCCAGAGCGGGGAGCAGAACAGGCAGAAGGACCTAAGTACACTGCTGAGGGGAGCAGCGGGCGGCAGGAGAGGTTTGCACACCATGTAGGACCCTCCTCCGGTGGCCGGGGAGCAGCCGGGGATGGAACCGGCGCTGAGAGGCTGCGGGCAGCTTCGCAACCCAGCGCTCAACTGCTGAGCCACCGGGGAGGCCCTCCTTTTCAGCTTTCTGATCCTCATGCCCAACATTGTCTGGACAGAGTGGGGTCTACTGCCTCATACCAACCAACACTAGCACTGGGCACCATATGCACACAAAATGATTTGTATATTTTTAATCTGTAAATGACTTCTGTCCAGTATAGACGATAACTCAGATTGTAGTTTAATTGCCCTGTAGGACATTAACCTGTTTTGTGTCAAGGGTCCTCAAGACTACCCCAGATTCAATGATTTGTTAGGACTCACAGGACCCATCGTTGCACTGCTACTCAGCTATAATTTACTACAATGAAGGGCTATAGAGCAAATCAGCAAAGAAAAAGCAGCATGTGTGGTGAACATCAGAAAAGTGCAAACTTCCAAGAATTCTCCCTGAGTAGAGTCACACAGGATGAGCTTAACTCCCCCAGCAACAAGTTGTAACAGCACATGGGAGAGACTGCCCACCAGAGAAACTTGAGACTCAGGACTGAGATTTACTGGGAACTGGTAAGTTAGGATGTCTCTGCTTAACACCCATGAAAATTCCAGACTCCCAGAAGGAGAGCAGGTGCTCAGCACAAACCACACTGTTTGTTCAGACTAGGCAGAGCAAGTCACTCTGATCAGTTGTGGGAGCGATGGAACTCTCCTAAGATCCAAGTTTCTGGCTACCATCCAAGGCTAACCTTGTAAGCAGGTCTCTGTGAGGATAAACAATCATTCCTGCTATGCTAGCTCTTTTAGGCTCTAGAATTTTATCCTAACATTCTCTCTTCAATACCTATAATGTTTCTTGAATTGTCATTTGAACCAGGCTTACGATCTGCTGCTTCCTTCATTAGTTAAATAAATCTTTGACATAAGCTCCTTATACATACATACACACATGCACACACACATATATACATACATATAGTCATGTTGTCAAATTAATACAAATTTTACTTTGACACACATAATCTAAGCAGGCCATATAAAGTCTAGTCAAAACTTAAAAGCCAATAAAACACCAACTCAGTAATATCAAGGCTGACTACTGCATAAGTGCACTTTAGTTGTAATTTTTCTAAATTTGCATTTCATTTTTCTTACTAACACTACATTTCAGATACTCATTTAATTTAGAGGGCAATCAGCTTTTGTACTTAAGATACATATTAAAAAAGTAATGTTTCTCAACCCAAATGCCCAAAAATAGATGACTGGATCAAGATGTGGTACATATACACCATGGAATATTACTCAGCATTCAAAAGAGATAAACACATGCAATTTGCAGCAACATGGATAGCACTGGAAGGGATCATGCTCAGCGAAATAAGCCAGAAAGAAAAAGAAAAATACCGGATGGTCTCACTCATAGCAGGAATCTAGAAAACTTAAATAAGGGACCAGGAAAATGAATAACTATAAGAAAGTGAAAATCAAAATCAACAAAAAACTATGAACCAGAGACACTCTATGGGGGATGGGAGACGGGGAGGGGAGGGATTGGGGTCAAAATAAGGGGGTTGCAATTGTATGGGGAATATAAAAATAAAATTTATTTAAAAAAAAGATAGTTTCTGTAGGTAGGCAATAATATATAAAAATAAATTTCCTCTAGAGGCCTCCCCTGGTGGCACAGGGGGTTGAGTGCAGCGCTGTGGAGCTGTCTGCAGCCTCTGCAGCACTGGTTTGATCCCAGCCTGACAGCGAGGGTCCCACATGGCACGGCGGACCTCTCCTGTCTCGCCCGCTGCTTCCCTCAGCAGTGTATTTCGTCAGTCAACTTGTTCTGTTCACCACTCTGTCTCTGGTAAATCCTCTCACCCTCCCGCAGATCGGGCCTGTACCCCAGTTCTTGTATAAAAAAATAAATCTTTAAAAAAAAATTTTCCTCTTTAGAATATCAAAGTGCTACATTATCAAACGCCCCATTGAAATATATGACTATAAGACAAAATTTAGAAATGCCCTAAATCCTTTATATCACTGTAAAGTTTTTTTTTTTTTTAAGATTTTTTTTTTTTTAATTTATTTATACAAGCACTGGGTACAGTCAGAAGCGGGGAGGGTGAGAGAATTCACCAGAGCCAGAGCGGGGAGCAGAGCAGACAGAAGGACCGAAGTACACTGCTGAGGGGAGCAGCGGGTGGCAGGAGAGGTCTGCGCGCCATGTGGGACCCTCCTCTGGGGAGTAGCTGGGGATAGAACCCTCACTGCAGAGGCCGCGGGCAGCTTCGCAACCCAGCAATCAACCGCTGCGCCACCAGGGAGGCCCTATCACTGTAAAGTTTTAAGCCTTTAAAAGATAACCTTAATTTCAAGCTCAAATAGAACATGAAGAATATAATATATAAAGAAATAGCCTTATTTTTAACTCTATTATGTTTCAGACTTTTCACTAATTACTTTAGATTTCAATAAGCATTTTTCTTTACTTTGTGAACTGCATTTTAATAACAAGTTATTTTACAAATCTCCATATACACTGATACCAAACAAAGCTTTATTAGCAATTCTAAGTAGAAGAGAATACTGTTATGAACTGGAACAGTTAACATAAGCATTCTAACGTAAACATCTCTTAAATAAAAAGTAGGAAACATTTAGATTAAAAAAAAAAAAATCAAGGATTGAAGGGAGGAGGAAATTCTCCAAACAGCAGCTGGCATTTTCTTTACCATTTGTATCACTGTGAAAATACATCATTAAATAAATACTCATGTGATATTTACAAATCAGAGCTAAGAGGAAAAAGCTTTCTAAGTATTAGGGTCTTTCATCTGTTATCCCTCTTCCAATTACCTGCCTCTATTAGTCTTCATACCAACTAAGCATGTAATTCTACTTTACTACAGTTTAAAGCTATCAATTAAGTCATCAATTGTGCAAAGAAGAAGATGAATGTCGCCTTTTTCCTTCATTCGATGATCACCGTGTTTTCTAAGGATTACATCTACATCTCTGCTCATTACTTGGTTAGCAACTTGCATGGATGTATGCCAAGGTATGATGTCATCCTTCATGCCATGGAGCAATCTTATAGGGCAGTTCACAGGAATAGGGCTATGCAACAAGCAGTGGTGTTCAGCCTCTGTAATGAAACTGTATGGAATCTGGTAATCTTCTTCACTGTATTTTGTTGGAACGGTCCACGTACCTTTCATTTCTATGTCCTTTTTCATCTATTGGGGAAAAAATGGGAAAATAAAAGGATGCAACATTAAACATGCACCATTCTTAATCTATCAAAAGTAGTACTTGAGGAAGAGGAAAGGAAATAACAAATATGTAACAATAACGGACAATTAAATATTATGTGCAAAGTGATGACAGGTATTTTAAACACAGTATTTCATTAAGACCCTGGCAAAAATTCTGTTATTTTATTTTCACAAAAGAGGATATTAGAGTTTAGAGAAGTTAAACAGATTGTTCAAAAGTAGTAACTGTTGTGGTTAGGAGTCCAATTTTCTCAACTTTTCTAATTCTATCGTATAACATCTTAAAAATCGGGTGTCATTCACCCCAATCAAAAGGAAAAATGAAAGGGGGGGTGCAATAATTCTTTCAAACATCCAGGTATTTGCCACATTATATAAAATCAAATTTTATGAATAAAAATTATTTAGAATTTAGTATAATAAAACTAAAAACACCTACATAAGAAATAAGTAAAATGGGGATGGGGTAGAGAAAGAAAAATAAAACAGAGACCTGAAAATGAAAAACAAGACATTGGTTATTCTGGAACAATCATCTATGTGCAATTTTAGGCTAAATGTACAAAAACGCATAGTTTTTGCATTCTGGAGTCCTATGGAATGAGAAAAAATATTGTTCGCCGTTTTGGATGACAAGTCTTCCAAATACTTCCTGAACATTGAGCAAGGATATAATTTCTAATTTATTCTTTTAAAATGCAGCACTGGATGTCCTCTGTATACTTAAAGAGTTTCTATTTTCTATTACAGATGGTATTAAACAATTTTTCTAATAAAGTAACATATACTCAACATAGAAAACATGGAAAATATAAAAAGTACAAAAAGAAATAAATCACCTATAATCCTACCTTATGGCCATAACAACCATCAGTATTCTGGTGTATCTCCTTCCAGTATTTTTCTGTACGTGTTTGGTTTACATATACAATCACACACATATGTATATAAAAATAATATACATACACAGTTTTCTAAGCTATTTATTTAATACATATATTTCATATATTCTGGGTTTAAAAAAATCCCATAAAAAGTTTTAAAGGCTGAATAATAGTCCAATAAAAGCAATATAAGATAACTGACTATTCCTATTCTTCTGGCTACTTTCATAGAGCTCTTTAAACTTAAATATTTAGTTGCATATAATACATTCTTTGGAAAAAATATCAGAATTTGAACTAAATAAATCAACATGCTAGTAAGGGGAAGAACATGTTTAAAAAAGGTGATAATTTGGAGTAAAAAAAGAATGCAAACTAAACTAAGCCAGTAATGTATACAATTTTAGGGCTCTTGCAACCATATACCACGAACGGCATTTCTTGACTAGAAAAAATTTGTGGATATCCTATCAAAATTAAAGAAAAATATAAGGAAAGAAAGGCAATGTAAACATATTTGAAAATTTTTGTATTTAAATTTTCAATAAATATACTGATTTTTCCATGTTTAAAGTGCTGTTATTGCAAATATAAAATATGAAAAGAAAAAAATTTAAATTATACAGTATGTGTGATATAATCTATGTTTTTAGGCACTTTAAAATATTTAAAAATTTTTCAATTCCAGAAAGATTTATTGATTTAACAAATAGACCGTATATTTGAAAGCTATACCTGTAAATATGTCTTCAAATGATTTGAAATTAGTAAGATTCTAAAAAAACTATAAAATATGACCATATTATTATAGCGGTCTCTGCATTAAAACATGTGAACCAAATATTTAAAGCAAAAATGATATTCAGTTATCCTCAAATTATAAGGATTATTACCAAATCTATTATTTAAGTAATTACATCTTAGTTTCATGGTTATAAGATGAAGCTAGGCTACTTATTGAGATAGAGAGAATAATTGAGTTTTTAAGCCTTGCCCCCAAATTAGCTGTTATTTGCCATTGCATATAAGTGTCCATTTGAAAAACAAACTCGACTTTACTATTTTATGTCCCAAACCCTCAAAAACAAAAAGTTCAGAAATAATAAAAACAGCATTAACCAAAGAAAATACACAATATATGTAAGTTCTATATGAAGAGAAAAATTGTATTAAGACAATGTGGTTGAGAAACTTGGATTCTAGCAGCTGTGCATCCTGCCTGATGCCCTCTGGTGTCCAAAACATGCAATGATTAGAGTCAGATAAGAGGTGGGTCAAGTGCCTAGACAATGAGAAATGCTGGGTCTTAATATTCCCTCAGGTAAAGAAGAGAAAGACCACTTCTGCTCCCCTGACATTTTTAGAGCTAGATGTTTGTGTGGGAAAGACAGTGGTCTGAGAGTCGCTGCTCTTTCCTTACACATGCTTTTAATTTGACAAGGGCTCAAGGAACTTCTGTTAACAATCATTTCTAGACCAATTTAGGATTAGCAAAGATATGCGATGATTTTAGGCTACACATCTTCTTTGTTAGTTAAGAGATATCTACCAGTCTTACACACTTAAAAAAAAAAAAAAAAAGAGAGAGATCTTGTCCTTTACCAACAACTAAGAAAAACTGTTTTGACTCCTTTCCAATCTGTCATGTTCCTGAAAACATTTCCTACCAAAAGAGTTGACAATTATTATGGAGCTAGATGATGGAGTAATGAGTCCAAAGTTTAGATGCAGAAATACGCAACTAACGGTAGGAAAATTTAGCAGATGAGGACACCGAGAAACCATGTATGAGAAATAACCAAGGAAAAGAAAATGAAACAAATAAAAAACAAATAGCTGATAACTGCAACTGAGACCAGCTATGTAATTTTAGCTCTGAGAAAATCTTAAGAGGAATGACTATGCAGACAATGTCATTACTTACAGTGTTGGGAAGAACAATGTGAACTAAGAATAAACTTAGATGATATACTGCACTGGTATCAACGCAGAACTTAAGGTAAAACTCAGTAATATTGTACTACTCAACATGTATGCTTTTTTCCCTTCATTTTATTTATTTTCCTCCTCTTTATTCTGCTCTTCCACATTTTGAAATGGGGGGCGGGTAAGAATTGGTGTATGTTGAAACAGTTAGCTGGGCCATAACTCCCAGTTTCCAATTCAGATGCTCTTGGGTGAAGCTCAACAACATGCATTTTTAACAAGTTCTCAGGCAATGCTAACGCTGAGGCTTTGCGAATACTTGTTCTGAACCACTCCTCTAGACTTCTTTTCTTTCTTTAATATTCTGTGCCTAAGGTATGTCAGGATCTTTGTCCCATGAGTGATACCTAGATTCCTAGGAAAAAAGACAGTCAAGTAGAACTCAACTGATTGGTGGGGGTGGGGTGGGGTGGGGGGGAACCCACGCAAAAATAGCTACTATCCATTATTTTTTTTCAGAGAACTGAAGTGCTTAAACACACGTCTAATAATGAAGTATAATGAACTAATTACATTCCAATTTATTTCAGAAACCTCTTGTGTAAATATCATTTGCTAAAGAACACGCCAGTGACTAAAAGAAAATTTTTTTTTTTAAAGGTGTAATTAGGAGTAAAAAAGAATGCCAACTAAATCTTCAAGCAAGGAATGGTAACTCATCTCCTGTGTGCTAATTCTGATTCACTGGAGTGTGTGCTGGCAGAGCTCTGCAGAGAGAGAATTTGAAGCTGCTTTCAGGCTAAAAAAAGTTTCATAATTGATCAACCAAGTCTAACATAGTCATAAGAATAGGTACTATTTCTCATACGCTACAAAATAAGAAGCATAAAAGATGATGATGATGATTCAAATAAATAAATGTGATTAACAAAGAAAATTCTGCTTAAAAAAAGAAAAATAAGGGCCTCCCGGGTGGCGCAGCGGTTGAGTGCTGGGTTGCGAAGATGCCCGCAGTCCACAGCGCCGGTTCGATCCCCGGCTGCTCCCCGGCCACAGGAGGAGGGTCCCACATGGTGCACAGACCTCTCCTGCTGCCCGCTGCTCCCCTCAGCAGTGTGCTTCAGTCCTGCCTGCTCTGCTCCCCGCTCTGGCTCTGGTGGATTCTCTCACCCTCCCACGCTTCTGACTGTACCCAGTGCTTGTATAAATAAATAAAAATAAATCTTTAAAAAAAAAAAAAAAAAAAAGAAAATGTGATTTCATAATGTGGCTCAAATATTTGGCAAAGTGATTTAGTACAGGGACTGTGAAGAAAAGGAACCTTGAATGAGAGACCAGATAGTTAAAGAAGGCAGAGATTGTATATCAAAAGGCAAGTAAGACAAAAGAAGGAACAGCATCATGAATCAAAGGTTAAATGACACATGAACAGGGAAAGAAAGAGGGAGGAAGGAGGGAGGGAGGATATATACACTGAGACTGCCTAAGACTTACCTCAACAGGAAGCTGTTTGAACTGTGTCACCAGGCCATCTGCAGCTGTAGCTACACCAATAAGAGCAACCACCTTTTCTGGTCTTGCAATTGCAGCATGAAGCATAAGCCATCCACCAAGGCTAGACCCAACTAGTATCTAAAAATAAAAATTATATAGTTTAAAGATGATTTTTCTTGTCTCTAAGGAGAGTAATTTAATAGACTACATGAACTTTTTCCCCTTTTATATCCACTGGCTACCAGACTTTTAATATTAATGATATTAAAGTGATTTTTATCATTTCAATGATAAAAATAAAATTTGTAAAATAAAAAGTAAAGTGCTACTTACATTTTGAGAATGTGAAATGAGAACAAGTTAAAATCAAACATCAAAATTGATCGTTAAACATTTAAAATCCTCAATAAATTTTCATATCTAAAGAAACAGCTCAATATCGTGTGGTTAATTAGTATCGCCATATTTAACAAAAATGGTCACCTGTGGTCCTACAGCTATGTCATCAATTACAGAAAGAACATCTTTTCTCCATTTTCCCACTGTGCTTTCTTGTAGGTTACCATCTGAACTTCCAACTCCAGAGTAATCAAACCTGGAAAAAGGGAAATGTCTATATTTATATTTGTTTCTGTGATTTTAAAGGAAGACAGCACTTTCATCATCATTTTAATGCCCAAAATACACTAAAATAAAACACTTAAGTTAGTATTTATTTCAGCAAAGCATACTGAACTAGCCTTAAAATAGCCCCAGGATGTGTGCTCACTTATCACCTCTCCATTGCTCCCAGAGTGGAGCAAGTGACTATCCACTCTCACCTGGATGAACACAGTCTCCTAGTAAGTCTCCCTGTTCCACTTTTCACCATGGTAGTCTATTCTTTATGCAGTGTTCAGTTCAGCGATTCTTTTAAAACAAAAACCATGTCCTGCACAAACCCACCAAAGGGTTTCTATTTTTAAATAGAAATTTTTAAAATAAAAATCCACATTTTAAAATAAATCATACTCTGACTTCTAGGTCTCTGATTTCGTTTCTTACTTTACTTCCTTCCTTCCCTATATCCTCACTTTCCTTCTTGAAGTTCATGAAATACACCACCCATATTCCCATCTCAGGAGTTTCACATCAACTTTTCCCTCTATAGGAAATATTTTACCTCCATGTACCCACTTAGCTTGTTCCCCTCACTTTATTCAGGCCTTTGGCTCAAATGTACATCCCCCTGAGACGGCTTCCCTGATTAAAATTACACTTCATCTTTATTTCCTTATCCTGGTTTATTGTCTTCCTAGCAAATACTGCTACTTGATATTATATATTTGATTACTTGTCTGTGGTCTGGTCATCTCGGATCTTTTATCATTTCACCAGAGGAAACTGCGGCTTTAGCCAAACTAATGAAAGTGCTGTTTCTGAAATAGGGTTTATGTTTTTTGCCTGTTTTAAGCCTCAGACTATTTCCTTTACCTGGAATACCTGGTCTCATCTTCTTTACTATTAACCTCTCTTAGAGCTTAGTTGAAACGTGTGGGCGTGCTAGACTTAAGTGGCCTGTTTGGCCATCATTTTTGTTACCTGCAGTTCTGCATTCTTACACAAGGTCAGAACTGCCCAGTCAATCAGTTACAGGAGCCCAACCCTACAAGGTACCTTTCAAATCAATGAAGAGCAGAAAGCTTGATCACCCTGGGAAGGGTCTGCATCATGAGGTATGACCCGGAACACCCTGGGTGGAGTTGGGGGTGGGGGGTGTTGACTGATGTATAACAAGGGGCCCAGAAGCTGATTAGCGGAATGCCTCATTGATAAGATTGGAACCAAGGCCAGGGGTCTGGGGTATGGTTTTTTTTTTTTTTTTTTTAATAGAGGCATGCTTTATTTATTTATTTATTTGTTTGTTTGGTTTGTTTATACATGCACTGGGTACAGTCAGAAGTGCGGAAGGGTGAGAGAATTCACCAGAGCCAGAGCGGGGAGCAGAGCAGGCAGAAGGAAGGAAGCACACTGCTGAGGGGAGCAGCGGGCGGCAGGAGAGGTCTGCGCGCCATGTGGGACCCTCCTCAGGTGGCCGGGGAGCAGCTGGGGATCGAACTGGCGCCGCAGAGGCCGCGGGCAGCTTCGCAACCCAGCGCTCAACCGCTGCGCCACCGGGGAGGCCCTGGGGTATGGTTTTGATTACAACACTTGGTCATCAAGCAGATAAGAATTATCTGGTCAGCAGACTCATGTTTCTCTGAAGCCCTAGATGACATAAACATTTTCAGTTTCACCCAACTTTTTTCTCTTTGTCCTCCTACCCCATGTAACTGATGCTGTATGATTAGTCTATCAATAAAAAGGCCAGGATCTTGCTCATTCGGCAGCATCCTGCATTGGGTAGCCTGCTCCATGGCTTCCGTTTATCAGTGTGGTGTTGCTGAGACAACAGACATGAAGTTTTTTTTTTTTTTTTTTTTTTTGGTGGATAGGTAAATAAAAAAATTCTCTCAAGTGAATTCATTTTTATCAGTCACAAGCAATTTATTATACCCTGTGCTATAAGATAGTTTTTCTGTGTGTATATGATTCCTGTGAGAGTGTAAGATCCTGGAAGGGAAATGCTGTTATCTTCTCTGCCTCTGCATTCTTCATGGTGGCTAACAAGCGAACCTCACACACTATTATAATACATACCAAATTAAGAGAAGTAGAAAGCAAAAATCAAAGCATTCATGTTTTTCTGATTCTTAAAATCTGATGAAAATAAACCCTAGTGTTTTCAGTGTATATGAAAGAATACATGTGACATATAGCATGCAACTATTTTCTTAGAGATAAGAGACTGATAAGTGAGGGAAGAAAAGTGAAATTTCAATTTTCTTTTTTAAGTATTAAGTGCACTGAGTTTGAATCCTTAGAAAACAGGGTAATAAGACAAATGCTGTAGTCTAAATCACAGGGGAAACAGATGACAGACCAGGGAAAGAGAAGGAAAGAGACCAGCTAATACTTCCTCCCTGCTCTCCCCTGAGTGGGCAGACACCTCTACTTGCTGCATTTTTTATAGTTGCCGTCCAAATATATGGTAGTCATACAAAATCCATAGAGAACCCTTTCATTAAGGAAAATACAAACATTTAATAATATGAATAGGTTACAAGTGAAAAATATGTCATTCTTGTTGAACACTAACCACACAAGACACAAAGATAATTCAGATACAACCACCAGTTGAGAACTTTTAGACACAGAGTCACTATCCTAGAATTCTCAATACACTCAACAGTCCCAACTCGAGAATTTAAAATTCTATTAGAAATGGGAGAATACCAGCCCTAAAAACACAAATCATATTCCTAAATTCTAACTTTACCTTATTTTAGGCATGGTCACAGGACATTAGAAACCATTTTCACACAGCTGTTTGGACCTTTTCTTATATAATGGACAAAACTGATCATTTCCTCACTCAAGATCTAAACTTTATAACCAAAATCGTAATGAAAGTAAAGAAACAGAATATAAACAGATGATAAAATCTCTTATAACGAAGTAAAGGCAATCAATAGTGACTAGATTGCAATGACAAGAGCAAATAAAAAGGAACCTTATTAAATTTAAAATTTGTAGTAAAGGCCTAGACATTTTACATATTAACATAGTACCACTAAATAGTCCAAGCACATTATGATTTAATGAGTATTTAACATACCTTTAAAAAGAAAATGTATTTCATATGCATCCAAAATGCAAAAAACGCACATCTTCTAGGGAGTTAGGAACTGATTTTAGCTTTCATAGCCTCCATTTAAATTCAGGAACTGGTAAAATGGTGATTTCTCTATTCAAATTCTTTTGGGGGACAAAAAGGAAGAATGATGACTATATTTCTATTATATTTTACTTAGGGCAGTCCCTCTAGCTGGACTGTTCTTCCTTTTTACCCAAACTTTTTCACTGTCCCTTTATAAAGTCTTCTTCGTCTTTTTTTTTTTTTTTTTTTTTTTTTTTGTGGTAACATTAGCTCACAACATTGTATGGTTTAAAGGTATAGATTTACTTTCTCTCCTCACACAATTAAGTATACTACCACTCTTTTGACACAGTCACATTCTGCTGAGTCCTTCTGCTTAACATATCATGATTTTTGTCTTGTGTTTCCCCACCCGTATTAAAAGATCCTTAGTAGAGTGACTACAAAGCCTAATTGCAAAAATTACTTTAGTCTTCACAATTAAGTCAAAACAGTTTTTAAGAATTCTAACATGAAAGTGAATTCAGTTAACTTGGTAAAAGGGAAATAACCTTCAATCCATATAATTGACATAATTTCAGCTAAGTTAACAAACTTATGGTACATATATGCCTGAATGAAAATGGTTTTTTAATATCCCTTTTAATGCCGAAAATAAGACAGAATTAGAGTCAGGAATGTAAAACATAAGTTTTAGGGCTGGTATTCTCTCAATTATTCCTAACAGAATTTCAAATTTGGGATTTGGGACTTTGCGGGTATTGAGACTGCTAGGACACTGTTGTTGAGTCTAAAAGTCCTCAAATACAGGGCTGTATCAAAATTATCTTTAAAGTCTAAGTTTTATGATAGTTATATTTTTTAGAAATTTTAAGTGAAATTACTCTTCTAGAAATCTAGATAGATTTTTAGGCGTTAGTGTTAGAAAAGAATTCACAAACTGTCTTTGGTTTAACCTCCTTTTTATTGATGAAAAAGAATAGGTCCAGTGTTTAATAAATGACCTATCTTATCGCAGTCACTGCTATGATTGATTCCACGTTTCTCGAATTCTGGGTCAGGGTTCTTCTACTAAACTATACTATCTCTCCTGGCAAATTAGGTATAAAATAAATAATGTTAAATGTACAAATATAAAATGTCATTTTACCAAAATAAGTTTAAGAAATATTGTGAAATGAAGTTTCAGTTAACACATATTCTTATTTATGCTTATACATATTCAGATTTCAGAAATGAGCGGAAAGAGAAAATTCAGTGGAAAGGTGAACTGCACAATATTAATTTTACAATGTTAAAAAATACATATTATTTTAAAGTACATATTTTGAAAATAAGATATAAACAGTGGTCAAATAATTGCCTAAGTCCCCAAAGGGTGGATTACAAGAACCCTAAATTAATTTAAGACAAAAGTTACAGACCATTAAAATAAATTAATGAATAAAGGTGCTGGCATTTGCTTCAACTGATTAGAACATAAGTAATTTGCCACTGCCTTGCTAAATGGCAGCAATATTTTCTTGGAAATGTATTGTTCCTACCTTATATAGGCGTGACCTAGAGATCTACAGAAGTCCTCAATAGCCAATGCTTTTGTACCATTCATATTAGAAAGATAGCCAGGGATGAAGATAATTCCTGGACTTTTGCCTTTTAGCCTCTTATAAGCCAGGCTTGGAAGGTCTGGTCGACTAAGGAAAGAGAGTGATGTCTTTTGTCTGCAAGCTAAACAAAACATACAAAACATAAACTATATTTTGCAAGTACAGTTTTTTGAAAACCACATATATTTTCAATAGTAACTTCTTTAACTCACTAAATTGAAGTCAAATACTATTTCTATCTAATAGGAAAAACAAAAACAGATAAGTATAAAGCCACAAGCCTTTATATTTTAAAATCATGTCAAATTCAGCAGGGTCTAATCTTGATTCTTCCAAATTAGACACGAGGAGTAAATTTCAAGGAAAGGGAAGATGGGGAGTTATCAAAAATGTTTTCTTGTTGCTATATCTATCCTAACGGTCGTCTAGTCAACACGACTGATACCATGGGTCAACACTCAGACTTACCTACTCTAACTTCAGTGCTCTCTAGTGAGACTTTGTCTTTTAATTTTTTTAATATTTGAGGAGTTTTCACATCCTCTACTTTTGGGTCTGGGAGACAGAAACAAGTTTGTTCTGCCAGAGCTGCTCATATATGGCATGTCTTTTGGTTGTGCATAATTACATTCGAATTAAACTGATTACATGTTTAAAATTCAAAACTCAACATAAAGCGTATTTGTACGACATTCATCACCATCCCAACAGCATGGCAAGGGTGTGAACACAACAAAACTAAAAGATCTGAATTCAGAAAAACAGACCATACATATATTTGGCATTTGCGTCAACTGATTAGTGCAGAAGTAATTTTCTATTGCCTTGCTAAATGGCAGTAATCTTTTCTCTGAAATGTGTGTATATATATATGTGTGTGTTTATATACAAATGTACACACACACACACTAAATAAACTATCCAGGTGCTCTGATTTCTGGTCCAAACGCTAGTTTCCTTTGCAGAGTAGTGATTATGGTTTCACTGTAATAGAGAATCGAGAAGACAAAACTAGAAATTATGCTTGATGACTTTCAATACTTTCACAAAGAACGTGTTCATACTGTAAATGCTCTCAAGAGAAAGCAAATCTAAGTACCTTAACAGAGTCACGGTCTGCAAAGCGTTTAGAGTCGCATGGAAAGAAAAAACAACTAGTAATCAAACTCGTTAAATGCACATCTTAAATTTTCCTAGTGTTTGTCCTTCATGTACGGGAGACAAGCAGAGGGCAGGATCCTTCAACTGCAGAGGTACAACGCCAGCAAGGGCTCGGGGTGCCCAGGGTACCCGAGGCCGCGGCAGAGTTCTCCCAGCCTTCACCAAAAGAGCCGAGGGCGCCTGCAACTGCGGGACTGAAAATGGGTGAAGAGAAGTTTTGAATGGGGCGCCAAAAAACGTATTGGACAGGGAAAGACGGAACGCAGAAAGTTCGAAAGAGCGCGTCCTTCTCCCACCTATCGGACACTGACCTGGGAACCACCGTGGCGCCCGATCCGGTTTCAATTCAAGTAATGCGCTGAGGCCGCGCTGGAAGCCGAAGGACACGGCCGCCCGGCCCCACCCTCGACAAGGCATCCAAGTTGCCGCAGACACCAGGCCCACACCCGCCATCTTCCCAGCTGCCCTAGCGCCGCGCTGTGACCTACGGAGACGCCCAGCATCCGAGACTGCGCATGCGCTGCCGGCAGGCCGGTGGGACTTGCTAACAGCTTCTTAAACCGTTTGGACACCAGAGGGCGCGCGTGCGCGGAGCTTCCGGCTCTTGATTTATCGCTTATTGGGCAGTTGATTTTTGTCATGTTTTGGAATGTTTTGTGTGGCCTCCTTCAAGATACTTACTCAGTGGGCTGATGGCTCTCCCAGTGCTGGAAGCCAGAGGGGAGTTGTATCCAACGCTCCTACATAGGAAACCATCTTCATCATCCCGAGGATATTAAGAAGCGAAAGCATAAAATTCTAGGCTTCTTGTTTTTCAAGTGGTTCTTACCCCCTGACAATTTTATTTTTATTTATTTTCTAAGATTGATTTTATTTTTTTATGCATAAAAAGCTGGGGTGTAGGCCAGAGGTGGAGGTGTTGGGAGGTGAGAGGATTCAACACCTGGGGAGCAGAACAGGCAGATCTACTAAAATACACTGCTGAGGGGAGCAGAAGGCAGACAGGAGAGGTCAGCTGTGCCATGTGGGGCAGTTCCTTGGCCCAGGGGTCAAACTGTGCTGCAGTGGCTGTGGATAGCTTCATAGTGCTGAGACTTAACCCCTTGCACCACCAGGGAGGCCCCCCTGACAATTTTAATTTGTGCTGTAAATACTTTTAAGATCTGACCTTAATCTGGTTTGTATAAATACTTGGAGTGGAACCCAGCATTTGCAGCTCCCACTCCCTTTTTTTTTTTTTAAAGTCTCATTTTTTTTTTTTAAAGATTTATTTATTTATTTATACAAGCACTGGGCACAGTCAGAAGCGCAGGAGGGTGAGAGAATTCACCAGAGCCAGAGCGGGGGGCAGAGCAGGCAGAAGGACCGAAGTACACTGCTGAGGGGAGCAGCGGGCGGCAGGAGAGGTCCGCGCGCCATGTGGGACCCTCCTCCGGTGGCCGGGGAGCAGCCGGGGATCAAACGGGCGCCGCAGAGGCTATGAGCAGCCTCGCAACCCAGCGCTCAACCGCTGCGCCACCAGGGAGGCCCTCCCACTCCCCTTTTTTTTTTTTTTTTTTTTTTTTAATGCGTTTTGTTCTAGCTCTTTGTATGCACGACTCTTGAATTCTTCCAACCACTATGTCATGCTATATGCAAAAATATTTAATTTCAATAGATAAAAATCTCAAGGGAAGAATAAATCTGAGTTTAAATACATTTTAGGGAATATTTTATAGTCTGAGAATAGAACAGACAATCTTAAGCAAGATGTGAAGCCCCCAAATCATGAAAAGTAAAATGACTACAAATTATAACTTTTTGAAATGGCAAAAGCCACCCTGAGTGAAATGAGTCTAGAAAAAAAATGATTTTACACAATAGATAAAGCATTAATGCTTCTATTCAGCCTGCTCCTAGAAATAAGAAAAATAAGTAATTCTGTAAGATTGGCCAATGGCTGTAAAAAAGTGGTTCACAATGTAAATGATATTCGACCTCACTAGTTGAAAAACATGAATTAAAATAACATGCTATTTTTTCTCACCCATCAAATTGGCAAAAATGATAAAAAGCAACTATTGGCAAAGATGCTGGGAAACTGGTACTCGTGTGATTGGTGAAATGCTGAAATATATTAAGTAATCTGGCCAAATCTATTAGAATTACATTCCCTGCAACATTTTCAATGTCCTTTGATTAACTGGCCCCATTTTACCACTCATCTATAGAAAGTATTAATAGTTCAAAAGGATTAATATTGTCTACTGCACCGATTTTAGAGACAAACAAGAAAAAAAGGATTTCTGGATTCTAGCACTGACTCTTAAAAGTAACACTGGGGTCTCAAACAGCAAGTAAACTCTTATCTAGTATTTTTTTTCTACTTAACAGTTAACTCTTGCTAGTATAACCAAGTAAAACCACTTCACTAACTTGATGATAAATTTTGGAAGTGATTGGTTCTAGAGTAAAGATGAAGTTTGAATACGTGAATCCAGCCATCTTTGGAGTCTTGAGAGCCAGTGTTATTGGAACATGCTGAAAAATTAAATGGGAGCGATAGCCAAGGATAACTGCTTGACTTCAGGGCACATTCCAAAAGATGCTGAATCTGGCCACTTCTCTACTAGGCCTGTTGTAGACTCCAAAGGGACAAAATTGCCGATATTGCCACCTGCCTGTTCCTTCTCCATGCTTTATAATAGCAATAAACATTTCTTCCTCTGCGTTGGGTAATTGCACATAGTCTCAAACACTTCTGTCCCTGTTCTTTCCCTTTATTTCTGCAGGCATTGCATTTTAACTGCAGCAAAATGAAAACGTATGATGACCTTGCAGTAGGAAAAGCACTTGACAAAAATCAGGGAGTTTCAGGGACCATTTTCTATCCACCCTTATCAGTCTAACAAACCAGGAAAAATTGTGTCCAGTATAAAGTGAAGATGTTTACCAACAATGATGGGCTTGTAGCAAATTTGTTTCCACTCCACTCAACTAATCATCAGTTAGTGTCCCTTTTATTTACAGGGGTGAAAAGACATATTGTTGAGAACAGTTTTTTTCTTTGAAATGTACTGCCTTAGTTCAGGAAGCACCAAGAAAAGTCCTGGGTGTGTGCAAAATACAGTAAGATGTATCAAGTTTCTCTCATTTTGTAAACAAACTAAAAATTATAATTTTAGCACATGAGAACGTTTATGTAGATTCTACAATTGACCTTTGCTCTTTAATTCATTTCTCTACCAATAGTTAACTTCCTAATGAAGAGACGAGTTTATTTTCAAAAGTGAATTCTAGTCAATATTTTAATCCAAACTCAACATATTTCAATACATATATTTAAAAGTTTACTACATCATGCAAGATATAAAGCTGATTAGAATACCTTTACAATTCTATGAAAAAAGTACAGTAGAGAAAATTATATCTTTACATTAATCAACAAAATTTTAAGAATGGCATCTCATTCTCTTAGATCACTATAGGGTTTAGTGGTGATCTCCACAAAAACATAAAATGTCTTCTGTTGTGATTTTGTCCTTCATTATTCAAGTAAAATTGTGTGTCATCCAGTAGCAAAATCTTATTATTGGCATACATGAATGCATGTATACAAACCACGCTGCAAAAATTTGTTTTTTAAAAAAAATTGTACCCAGTCAGGCCTGACAAAGATTTTATAGATACTTCTAATCTAATCATTTCACCTTGTACTAGTAAATAACATCATTATTTTCTACTCCTGTTCATTTGCCAAGTTTTAGGAAAGAACATACTTACAAACACACACATGACAAGGCAGAATAAATGAAAGCCATAATAATAGAGACTTGCCTGAAGTCATTTCATTTTCATTCAACAAAAATTAATTTAACTCTAAAAACAGAGGCTAATGGTAAAGAACTACATAATAAAGTAGTACATTAGAGAGAAGATTAAGTTGAACTTCATTTTCCTTATAATAGAACTACACCACTTCTGTAAATAAGCATTTTATTTGGTCTGTTCTTTGGTGAAAACAGAGCTCTTATTTCATAGTTATACCAGATGAGTCTGTGCTCCACAAAAAAGAGAAATCAGACAATCTAAAAAAAAAATAATCAGCTACTGGTTGTCTTCATTCTTAGCACCGGGAATGGAGAACTCTGCTGTAAGCAATCTTCAGCAACTAACACTAGCCTCTGTATTTTAAATTGCCCAGTTTGACAGATTGCTGTCTTAAGACTGCTTCTTTCTAAAACATAGCTTTTTGTTTTTCCTACTTTTGCAAAAAGTGGTTTTCTGTATACTCAGAGTAGCTTATACTATTGGTGACTCTTCAAAATCAACTTCCTGGGCACTTGATGGCATCAAAATACCATTGTAAAAAATGTAGAGTAATACTAACTGAAGTTCACCTCTTAAAATTACTACTATTAAACAGAAGTCAATTCAAGTCTTTGGTTTTGGTGTAGTACTTAAAAATCATGGCAAACTAAATTATGTTCCCCTCCAAACCCTTATTTACTTATATTTATATAATAACCATCAGCAAAATGTTCCTTTTTTAAAAAGTTAGTTGATTACCAATAATGTCAATGCCAATGATTTGTGTGCTAAAATAACTTCATATTTCCAAGTACATACAGACATTTGATAAACTGTTTATTTCACCAAAATCAGTAATTGATAAAAAAGTTTACAAGAAATAGTCCTATAAGTGATGCTATATATCAAAATAGTGTTTTCTCATAGGTGTTTCAATTATTCTGCTATTTATGATCAAACTTTGAATTAAAACACCATCTTTGTCTTTTACAAATGACTTCACATGGATATAACCTTCATCTGAAAGGAGTTCTAAGTACATAGTTAAAGGGATGGGTCTGTTGGGTCTATTCATCTGGGATTGAATATGGCTTTATTCTTGGAAAGGATTTTATTGCAGTCTGCCCTGAAGTTGACTATCGCACCAGTTCACTACAACAAGAAGTGAGTGTAACCTTCTGCCCCCGTAACTATAACATCCATCCAGATCCGCATGGCTTCTGGCGATGGTGCCACCATGTAGTAGATTCTATCATGTGTCTTGACGCTGAAGGTAAGTGATGGATTAGGACTCTAAAAATCAAAAGAGGAAATGAGCATAAAACAAACTTCTTGGAACTGTAACATTAATAACATATATATGAAGACTACTTCTTCTTTAAAAGTTCCAATTTATGAAAATCTGTGTAGGCATTGCTTTTGCTCTATTATAACATGGGCCCCCACCCCCAACAGCTTTCTCAGGATTGACCATCTTTCTAGCTTCTCTGCACAAAAAAAGCACCTCACATAGAACTCAACAATCCTCTTATTAGTGCTACTTTATAAAGCTCTAGTAGGGAATCGAACTAATAGTGGGTGCTCCATAAATAGCAGCTGTTAACCTTAGCCTTGCTAGGTTCCATCTAGACCCTTCTCATAGATGGGTAGAAGTTCACTCACAGAAGCCTAGCACAGCTGCTTGGCAGGATCTCCTGAGTCAGTATGTCCAGAGTATTTCCTCACCTCACCTCACCTTCACTGTGACACTTTTTTTTTTGCAAAAAAGATGACTGTCTCAATCACTTTTATGTGTACTTTTCCAGCACTATTCTGATCACATGTATCCATTAAGTCAGAACAACAAATCACAATTGCTGAGGATTTTAAAAACATCTTTTCCTCCAACTTAACAAATTGTAGAACTCTGAAAACCAATGATTACCTTATTAGCATTCTTGAGGTGATCATAATATACTTCTTCAATGGCTTGAAAGTATATTACTCCTTTTAATTTAGCTTCATGCTTGTCTGCAATAATAGGTAAGTGTTAAGTATTTTATCACTTGACAGACAGACAAATTATAATTTTACTGTAGTTATTGAAATATTTATATATTATCTAAGATTAATTTAGATAATCTAGGTTGTGCATCAGCCAGGTTCTGTATTAATTAAAGGGGAAAAAGAATGGAATTATCAGCCCAAACTTTAGAGCGACTTTGCCCAAGGCTCTTCAGCAATCCACAGTCAAAAGATAACCCAGAACTACCGTCAAGTTAGCCTACAAAGTATAAACACTGTTGACAGTGACGCAAATTACTTCCCTGTATTCTCTAAGGCTGTCATTATGATAGAAACATTAACATGTAGATGTGTTGTAATGAAATTTGTATTGTATCTGCATTTGTATTTTATTTGTATTTTATCTGATTTTTATAATTTAAAATAATAGTCCACTAATATTTCTTTCTTATCAAATTCCTTGCCTAGCACGTTCTTTTCCCTGTTCCCAGTGGTTATATGTCAGTGATATCCCTCCAATGCAGCATTTTCCAAACTGTTTTCAAACCACCAAACAGGACATAAGACAAAACAACCCACCTAACAAACAGCACTGCTCGGTGATGTAATAAAGTACCTGAACTATCCCATAATTTAAACTCTGTATAGATCATGGTGCATGTGAGCATATAAAAGAATTTTAAAAGCAGGAATGAGGATGCAAAGACACTCTATCATATCCTGTTTGTGGAAGAGCAAATAAGAAAGCACCTCTTAGCAGGCAATTTTAAAACAAACACAGAAGTGCAAAAATCCTCTCAGCAATTACACTTCTAAAACTTCATTACATAAGTTCCACTTGTGCAAGAACAAAAGGATTTATGTTTGTTATAGCACAAGGGGCAAAAGAGCTGTTAAACTTTAAGAAGGATGCAATCACAGATCACAATGGACTCTACACAGCTTCTGCAGGCAGAGCTGCCTGTGCTATTTAGAGAAAAATCTTGAAACGCCATTATATATGAAAAATTCATGAATATAGTGAATAATTTGGTTCTAACTATATTAAAGAAAAATACACACACACACACAAACACAGAAACAAAAATGAATAGAGAAAATCTTAGAGGGCATTTCAGGCTTAACAGTAGGAGAAGGTCAGACCTTCTGTTTTGGGAAAGAGACTTGCTTTCAACATGAAGACCTTGTTGCAGTTTCAATTTCTTTTTTAAACCAATGCATGTGCCTTTTTCCAATAACAACAATAAAAAACTAGTTTGAAAAATAACAGCCCTGAGAAGCTCGGCAGAACATAAATCTGTTTAATTGCATTTAACCTAGTGTTTCCCTAACTTATTTCATTTATTTCTTCTTTGGCAAGAAATATTTTAACTAATACAATGTCCAGCGGGTTTCCACCAGTTTCTGTAAAACAGGTCAGTGTATCTCTCAAACACTTACTGCAAAGATTGGATCCTATAATAATTCATGGGGATAAAGTAATACTTTGTTTTCTGAAAAGTAGATATAAAAATAAAATCTGGAGATAAAAGTAAAATCTTGGGCCTCCCTGGTGGTGCAAGGGGTTAAGATACAACCTACGAAGATGTTCACAGCCTCTGCAGCATGAGTTCAATCCCTGGCCAGGGAGCAACCCACATGGCATGGCAGACCTCTCCTGATTCACCCACTGCTCCTCTCAGCAGTGTACTTTGGTCAATCTGCCTGTTTTGTTCCCCACTCTGTCTCTGGTGAATCCTCTCACCCCCCACACCTCTGGCCTGTACCCCAGCTCTTGTATGCATAACTAAATAAATCCTTTAAAAAAAAAGTAAAATCTTGTCAATGTTTCAAGCAAACAGTAAACTGGGGAATGAAAGTATTGGTCAGGCACTGCATATATGAGGATGGCCCCTGAAGAAGGAGGCCTCACAGCACGTTGTGAGCTAGTTAAGAGAATCAATAATGCTATTGTATAGTGAAAAGATGTTATTCATTTGGTCAGCGGCATTATCCCATTAATTTACAGACATATTTTTCTGTCTCATGTTACTTCAGAGACTCTCGTAAGACTATGTAGTTAATATGCAGAAGGCCAAGCACAGAGGCTAGGGTCCTGAACAAAACCAAGAGCTAAGCCTGCAGTTTCCAGCACCCCACTCACAGTCCCTGCACACAGACAAGGCCATTTGCCTCACTGACAAGCTGAAGGGTCGTGGTCCCGGTTTATTTTTGGAAAATTCTCTATGAGGCTGTGTGTGGATACTAGCACACAGCAAAATTTCATTTATGCCTTAAGACACTAAACCAGCACCTCTTATTAAATAGGTATCTTTTCTACTGTACTAACTGAAGAGAGAACATCTCTGGCTGCTTATAAAATCCAAGGCCAGAAGGCCCTAGAGAGACAAATAGGAAACTGGCTCCAGGACACAAGCTCCTGAGGCTACTAACAAACCATACCCAAAGAGATCCTAACTGAAAGCTATGTACCCCCTCATCCTCATGCCATCTTTGGGACTCCATAGCTAGTGCTTCTTATGCAACCTCACCTCCCTTCATAAACATATTCTGACCTCACACAATAGGTCAAAGGACTGAACTGTTATTTTTTAATTTATTATGCTGCTATACTTTACTATGGCTGAAAATGCTCCAAATGTGACAGTCACCCCAAAACAGAGACCCTCTAGAGCCTCTGGTGTGACACTAGTCATCTACTACAGCTGAAAAGAGAGCAGAGTTTAGCTGTGCTGATAATGGACGTGTTCATTGTGATCGGAGAGTAGGTGGAGGTTTTAAATTCTACACCAGTGGATGCCTGCATTTTTGGAATATTTGGTAGCATAGATTTCTCCTAATCCATCATTTAAAGCATCCAAAAATATTTGTCACTTGATAAATACTCATTTATTCCCTAGTTCACTGATGGGTTTTACTCTGTGCTTAACAGACTGTTCTAGTTTATAAAGTGTGTAGTTAGTGTCTGCCATCCAAGGCTGCCTGATTGTGTGTGACTTAAACAGGGCATAAGCCCCAAAATAAATAAATCCAAGCCATTTTTTTTTTTTGGCTTTGTGCCTTAGGATTTATAAGACAATATTTTGACCCTCCTCCCACATTTCATTTAATACTTATTTGATTTCAGTTTATTTCAGAACTAGAACATACTAATTCACATTTTTAAAGTAACCTATCAATTTCATTATGTTTAGAGAGGAAATTCCTATCATGCAGACTATATACTTTGAATATAAAACAATGTATATCTACAAAGTTCGTTTGCAGTTAGTTCTATAATGACCAGTCTACTCATTTACATCGTTGCCTTTGCTCTCTAGGGAAGGTTCCTGATTTGAATATACCACTTGGATTTTTTTTAATCACCCACCTGCATAGTAAGAGAATGTTCGCTTATTCCGATCAAAAACAAACCAACGTTTCTTCCAAGTTTTAATTTTTCCACCCATTTTGATGAGGAATCCGCGGCAGGTCTTCTCTGTGATTGATACGTGGTAACAGGTATCAATATTGTGGCCGGCGGTCTCCACGTGGCCCCGCAAATCAAAGTCTTCCTTCCGGACCGGCAGGTAGCGCGTAAGGGGGCGGGCCTGGAAGGGGAAACATCTCACCCAGAGTCCACAGCTTTCCCTCATATCACACATGTTTAGAAGCGGAGATGAACTGATAAGCCTAAACTCTAAAATGCCCATGTGGTTGTGAGAACTTAAGATAAACGTTAGCATCGGGAGCCTTTGAGGTGGTTAGTGTTTTAAGAAGGCTGCCACAATATGGGGAGAAAAAAATGAATAAACTCAGCGGATAGATTGCATTGCTTGAAATGAGCAGATGCAAAAAATGGAGAGGATTCCTCCACTATCAATTTTCTGTTAACGCTTCCTGCCACAACTTAACAGCCTTTCCCCTTCAGTCATCCGAGCATGACAAGATGGACTGATTAGTAAACACAGCTTCCACATACAGACCCCTCTCCCCAAGTTGTGCCTGTCAGCTTACACACACTCTCTGATGGAAGTGGAAGGTGGAGATGCATATTTTGAAGAGCGGAACTAAAATAAGTCAAGAAGTGGAATCAAAGCTGGAACTAATGAGCTGTCCAGCACTCAGAGCAGAGGGAGGCAGTGGAGACCTGTCCTCTACTTCACCTTGGTGGGAGTGGCCGTTCATCTAATCTGGGAGCACATGCCACCATGGGTACCATTCTAAAATGGGGTTTTATTTTAGTCTATTAAATAGTCCCACTCCTTTGCTCTGGGGAAAATGATGTAAACATATTGAGGGAAAATGTACAACTGACATTAAAATAGAATTGTGCTTTGAGGTTGGGGATCAGATACCAAACAGACACACTTTTGCTGTGGATCAGAATTTGACAGGTGTTTGGTACAGTGAATTAGATGAACGAGTTCCACTTTCCTTTTTGCTTTCAGTAGTTCGCCATCAATCCTATGGTACTTTGTGGACATATCACAGACTTACTGATATCCCAATGCACACTAAGTCTTAAAGACAGTGCTTGTTATGTTATTAAGATGCCAGCAAATAGAACGAATAAGGGAAAAAGTACCTTTTACCATTCTGTCTAGTCAATCATGGCAAAATGTATTTGAACTTTTATAATTATATGGTACTTAAAATTTTATTTTAATTCCTCAGAAAATGTTACGCAAGAAGCACTGGTGACAAGAACAGAGATTCAAATTCTACAATGACCAAGATAGGAAGCCAAACAAAATGGGTAGTTTTTCTTGAGTTCACTAATTTTGTGCACATGTTTGATATAGCAAAGGTCAACAGGGGATAATACTACAGCTGGAGGAAATAAGCCCCCAACACTAACCGCACCACCAAGGCAGTGGGAGGACAAAAAATAGAACCTGTTCCCTTCTCCAACCAAAGGTTTTAGTTTGGGTTCTATTTGTTTTTATTATCAAGCAGCTGCACTTTTCAAAGCTGCTCAAAAATTATTCTCCTTTTAAATATACTCCAAAAACTGGAGAAAAGAAAAAGTGCCCTTCCACTAAAATTTTCCATACAACATGAGAAAAATGTTATTTGCTTACTCGGTTCCACAGAATTTTAAATATACACACATATTTGCCCATTAGCACACATCTCTCTTAGGCATTACTGTCAGGTTCAAGGTGCGGTGGAAGGCAGCCTCTACAGACTGACCACCAGGGGGCACCCTACTCACATCCATCCAAATTGACCACCAACCTGTGCCCTTTGTTTCTCCCTTATTTTTACTTCTTTTTCAATTAATTTCTGCCTCTGGCTAGTTTCTTCCTGCAATTGTTTTTCCAGGAGTTCTCGGCGTCGTTTTTCTTCTTCGAGAGCTCGTTTTTTGGCTTCCATTTCCCGTTCCTAAATATCGTCATGGGGAACAAATTGCATTTTAAAACATATTGGATATACTTGAATAATTTCAACTATATCAAAATTCTTATTAAACAATTCTTGGTTTTATAATCTAGCTCTTTACAATGTATAACATAAACTAAAACAACCCATAAATGCCTTTCTCATTGCTTTCAAAATCATCCTATACAGAAATGCAACCATTAAATTTAATTAACAATTGAATATGGGCCTTAAGTGAAAATCCAGCTTGTGACTATAGTCATTTTATAATGATGGTCTCAACCTCCTATTTTTAATAAAAAGCCTCCCAAACTGTCTGTAGTCATGTGATTTCCTCCTCCCTTTGACTGTTGCCTGCTAACTGAAGGCCATCCGGGCTTCCGATCCGTGCTGTTGCTGTGCAGCTTCCCAGCTGAAGGTCGCAGAGGAAGCACGTGGGGAAGTCAGAAGAGGAAAGGAGGTGCCCTTAGGGCAGGATGCAAAGGCATTTTGGGGGATTCCTAAGGAAGTTCATATTCTGGCTTGGAATACAGTCACAACATGCGATTTTCAATATCACAATGGTGCAATTAATGCAAGGAGGGAGGCAAGGGAGGGAGAAAGCTGCAGACATGACATTTCTCTTGTTCCTGCCAGGAACACAAAGTGGCCATGGGGGGCAGGGGGAGGGATATAGTACAAAGCATTTATTTCAGTTTATGGTAACATTGCACATTTTAAATTAGAGGAAATTGTAGTGAAGCAAAGAGCCTTAGAAATCATCTAACAACCTTACTGTTCAGATAAGAAAACCAGGCTGAGAAAGTTTGAGTGACTGCTTTAAGATCACACTGCTTAATGAGGTCTGTGGATCATTTCCTGATGCCAAGTGCAGAGCATCTTCAACCATCACTGACCACTGGGGTAAAGATATCAAGCCTACCCTGGATTCAAGCAGCCGTGTCTTCTCTGCATGAGCCTGCTTCAAAAGTCTCTCCATTTCTTCTATTCTTGAAATATTTGAAGTGCTGGCACTGAATGAAATACAAAAGTCTCTCAAGAATATTGCTACAGGTCTCTCTCTCGCTCTCTCTCTCTTTCTCTCTCTCTCTCTCTCTCTCTCTCACACACACACACACACACACACATGTTCAAAGGAAATATACAAGTGAAAGGATGTTACTTAGGAAATTCATTGGCCTGAAGAAGCAGGTCAATTCAACTCTGAAATTTTTGGAGTATTCTGCTTGACTGTATTTTGCTTCTTAAACTGAGGTTAAGCTGGTTGGTGTCCACTGCCAAAATAAAGTGTTTGACTCATAAACAAGTATACCAAAATGAACCTTAGAAAATATCCTCTCAAACTGCTTTCTCCGCAGTCTAAATGTTAGACCCATGGCTAGCTTAATAATTCAGAGGTGCCAGACCAACAAGACTATAACCACAGGTTATACAAAGAACACTTAAACTTTGCAGCCATCTTATTTGGCTTGGGAATTATGTGTCACAAGTTGTTTATTGCTTGTACTTTTATACATGTGGTCATTTTATATCTTAAATAATGACACCACTGAGAAATGTCTTTTCTTATAGGTGTAAAGAATGGCAGTGTTGAGTTATGTCAGTGATATCCATTGAGCATAACCAATGCAAACAATAAAAAATTCAATGGCTATATGGATGGAGCAGGAAGGCATTAAGCAAAAAAGGATGGAGCTGGAAGTTAAGCAAAATAAGTCGGAAGAAAAAAGATAAATTGTTTTATATGGAGTATAGAAAAACTGAACAAGGATTAGGAAAAAGACAAAACTTGCTAGCTGACCATAGATCTGAGACATCTAGCAGGTGAGAGGGAGGGAAAGAGGTCAAAACAGACGTGGGAAGAACCATGATGATGGTTCTCGGGTGCTTTGGTGGTAGGAAAACTACGGGGACAACACCTGAGGAGAGAAATCAAATACTGTTGAAAAATCAACAATGATATAAGAAAATTAATAAATAAATTTGAAAAAAATCAGTGGTGCCAGTGGCTTGGAGTGATAACAAAGAGAGTTGAATAGACAGACCACTGAGGCTTTTTAGGGCAGTGACAATATTCTCTGTGATAAATCATGATGGGTACACTTCACTGTACATTTGTCCAAATGCACAGAATGTACAACATCAAGAGTGGCCATCATAGACTTTGGATGACAATAATGTGTCAATGGAGCGTCACTAATCCTAACGATGTAATCCTCTGGTGGTAGGTGTTGACAATATGGAAGGTTGTGTATCTGTGGTGTCAAGGGCTACGCGGAAAGCTCTACTCCCCTCAATTTTGTTGTGAACTTCAAACTACTGCTAAAAAATTGTCTCTAAAAAATCAGTATTACCAGCCCCACTGCAAAATATATCCATGGAGGGGGAACATCTGTAGGAGTGGGGGATCTGTACAAGTTTACCAATTAGATATTACTTTGAAGGGTCACCTTCGGCCAAATTTTAGTCAGGTTTTTCTTCATGACAAAAGCAAGAAAACAGCAATTTCTTCTCACTATTTTCATGAGTTGTTAGGGAAGATAAAAAAAATAAATTTTGTTTTCTTCAGACAGCAGGAATTAAAGTAAAACATCTTTAGTTTTTGTGTAGAAGCTATTTCTTCCCATTTATCTGACCTCACTGATAGAAAGAAGACAAACTTCATCAGCTCAACTGAGAAAGCCTAAGACAAACAAGCTGTCTATAGAACAGCACGCAATTTGTGTTTATACGTCATGGTGCCCTGTAGACAGCGGATGTGTATATGTCTCCATTTAATTTGGAAATAATTTGAGTTTCACTGAGTCTCGGATCTTAAAAACGCACAAATTAAAAAAAGAAAACTCATCAGTAATCTATGTGTCTCCATGTGTCCCTTAGTCCTTTCTGTGATAGCTACGACAGCCCCATTTTTCATTACATTTTGTCTGAACATTGTTAGTTACAGGACCATCACAGTTTGGACAGGATGGTCAGAATCTTGATGTTTATATTAAGATCGAAATTTCTCTTTCTACAGTTTCCATCCATAGGCCTAATTAGGTCCCTGAAAAACACACACAACTTATTCAGATGAACTGGTTGGAAATAACCTGGTTAGAAACAAATATTTTCAGTTCAGCTTTCAAATATTTGTAATTTTGGCACAACTTAGGGACAAGCTTTCAAACATTTACCTATCTTTAAATATTGTTAAACACACTTTAGAACTTTTCAAGGTGGTTTTTGGTTATTTAAGAATATTTCTATTTAGGGCCTCCCCTGGTGGTGAAGCAGTTGAGCGCTGGGTTGCGAAGCTGCCCACAGCCTCTGCAGCGCCGGTTCGATCCCCGGCCCCCGGTGAGGGTCCCACATGTCGCACAGACCTCTCCTGCCGCCCGCTGCTTCCCTCAGCAGTGTACTTCATCAATCTGCCTGCTCTGCTCTCCCCTCTGGCTCTGGTGAATTGTGTCACCCTCCTGCACTTCTGACTGTACCCAGTGCTTGCATAAATAAATAAATCTTTAAAAAAAAAAAAGAATATTTCTACTTAATATTCTGCCCATTATATTCAATCTGCTTATTTGTAATATTTCCACAAACACTACCTTCTCTGGGTCATTCTGTAATTTTAGCAAAATAGGTATTTTATGCAGATATTATCAATTGCTGTTTTCTAAGACCAAGACCTGTTTCTTAAGTTGTATGTTTGCTTACAGTGTATAATGATGCTGAAAAAGCAAAAGCATCATCTGATGTAAGTAACATTCTGATAGACACAAAAATGGTGTCTAAACAAAAGTGAAAGGAAAACGTACCCACAACTCTGAGTAATTCTATAAATCTACGAATGTTTTTTTGTGACATAATAAACCACAAGACTAAATTTTTATGACTAGATTTTCAGCATAAGCTTATCACTTTAATATATATACAATTTCAGGTTATTTTATATACATCCTTTTTGAAAATCTTAGGAAAAGAAAAATTTTTAGTCCTTTATTTCTCACCTATCTTCAAAAAGTTTCCAATTAAAGATGTGTTGTCAAAACACAAATTCCAAACTTAGTTCCTTACTACCCATTTCCCTGATGTTTATCAGATTATTTTCCAGCACAGCAATGGGTGCAAACTTATCACCACTGGCATGAATTCTTTCAAGGTAGATGGTAGCACAGCAGAGAAACACCTGTTTTTTTCTCTCTCCCTTTTTAGTGCTCCTCTTAGGGGCATCTTCTACTTGGCTTCAAATTTTTGACATTCAGAGGATCTGATAGCACAATGAAATAAATACTATCAGTAACTCTGGCCTCGGCGGTTGGCTCTCCATGATCTATAGCAGCGCTGTGTGCAGGCAATTTGAGAAATGATGGTGGTCATGCCTAACTCCTTCCAGGAATGACCACCCTGTAACAACGCTGTGTTCTTAATGCTTTCTCTTTTTCTACTTTAGGAAAACATTCTAGGAGTGAGTGGGTGAGAAAATAAAAACAAATGAAGGTTTTGCCATCCACTGTGCTTAAGTCCCCAGACTGAACTTGTACCATCTGTAAACAGAATAGAAGCAGTTCTGTTTAGGTACTTTCCTATCCTCACTGCAGCACTGCTCTCTCTGAAGGTTAATTATGAAAGATGGATATATGGAATGCTAATTTGAAGGGGAAGTTGGGGGCTGGGGAGTGGAAAATGGAGAAAGAAAAACACCAAGATAGGAAAATACACAAAGTATATTTATTTTTAAAAGCTGGCTTAAGTAGGAAGGAAAATAAAAGCTCAAGCTAATAGGAGTTCTCTGAGGAATAGAAGTATAAAATTCTCATACTTGAGAAGAGGGGAGAGAAGCCTATTGATATTTCAAAATATCAATACAAGGAGCCAAAGAAACCTAGGACGTTTCTGAGACTACTACAATGGGAAAATTAACTGCATTTTATAGTCTTTTATAATTGTATCATAATTGATGACTATATGTTCCCCTTTCTCAATTTGGTCCACATCTAACTGGCCCATTTACTGCGCCAGGTGTTTTGTCTTGGAGGGGAGGGTACCCTCTGGCTTGTCTGACACCCTCTCAGGGCAGCTGGCGCTACCTGACCCCCCACCACACATACACACACACACACACACACACACACACGCACACACACAGCGCGAGATGCTTTGATGATGAACTGCTGTACACACTCCCTCAATGGAGTCATATAAAATTAAAGAGGAAAACTGATAGTGAGATACAACCTCTTCTACTACTGAATAAATGACATACTAAGCTCTAACATGAAATAATAATTATCTTTATTCTTTAATCTTAAGTAATTTTCTCCTTGCCTCGGGTCATTCCCATGTGACAAGCAGCAGTACAGTGCACATGGCTGCTCTAGTGGTTTTCCCCAGGAACTGCTTTCCTTCTCTGATCTCTGATAACATCTCAACCATTAAAGGCAGAATTAAAACACACTGTAGTCTACTTACCACATATCCTTTTCTCCTTCCTTTGTATATCTTGCCTATAATGTCTGGTTATATTTTGGTCTCTCATATTTATTTATTTATGAAACACAAAACCAAAGCTAAGGATATCTTGCTGACATGACTTTCCTTCTCTGTATCACTCATTGGGGAGGTGGGATGAGAGGAGGAGCAAATTATTCAAATCTTTGTGAGGAAAGAAATTATATTTCCATGATGGTTATTTTCCACCAAAATATTTTAAAATCCATCATCCCCTTGGATTCAAAAGGCAATCCTTCTATTTTGGAGATTAGGAAAGCAGGACAAGAGAAGTCTGTGATCTGCTTCAAGCAGCACAATCAGCTGTCAGGTTGAGCCAAAGAGTAGAGTCTTCCTCTTCCCAGACTGTGGCTTCACTGCCATAGAGGGAAGCCTGTGGTGGAAAGTACCCAAGTGGACATTTCATTTGAGACACATGAGTGTTCAATTTATATTTATTGAATACTGGATATTTCTTGGGTGGAAATCATAATGGTTCTCTGCTAATTGAAACAGATAGGCCAAACAGAAAAATAGTGAAGGTGAAAATATGTCCATTTTGATATCCATAGGTATTTAGTCAGCCAACACTTACTGAATCTCTACCATATCTGAATCTCTATCAATATCCCTGCTAGGTGTAGGAACCAAATGATAGTTAGACAGTCTCCTTGATATAGAGAAATGTACCTATTAATTATTCAAGAAAATTTTTTACCCTTCAATGTTATCAGTGATAGAAAAAAGTATCAAATACCATTAGAACACAGAAGGAGAAACCCTAAATTTCATGATTTTCCAACTTAAGTTTAAGCTTGAAGGATGAGGAACATTTCTCCAGGCTAGGATAGGAGTGGAGGGTTGAGGGAAGGTAAAAATATTTTGTAATTACAGGCGTTATTAGTAGTTCAATGAGTAATGAATAGTTAGACAGTCTCCTTGATATAGAGAAATGTACCTATTAATTATTCAAGAAAATTTTTTACCTTCAATGTTATCAGTGATAGAAAAAAGTATCAAATACCATTAGAACACAGAAGGAGAAACCCTAAATTTCATGATTTTCCAACTTAAGTTTAAGCTTGAAGGATGAGGAACATTTCTCCAGCTAGGATAGGAGTGGAGGGTTGAGGGAAGGTAAAAATATTTTAATTACAGGCGTTATTAGTAGTTCAATGAATAATAAAATGAAAGGGAGAAATGACTGCAGATTGTGGTGTGCTGGTAAACCAGCTCTCAGGGGAAAAACAAAAACCGTATTTATTTACATTTTATTCAATATATGCAGATTTATGTTGAGTAAATACTCTCACCTCACCATGGTTAATTTCAAACTAGCAACACGATATCACTGATCAAAGTTAGGAGATAAGTACAGTTGGCTCTTGGCAGCCAGTATGGGCCAAGTCCAGCCAACTGCTGACTGCAGAACATGCTAAGAAAAGGTGGCTTCAAGGAGCCTAGACACAAATGAACAAACCACATGATTCCAAGGCTAGGACTAATGGAGTCAAAGACACAGAGATCTGAGAATTCATTTCCCTCACAATTAGAACCTCTGTGAAGTATAACAGAAGAGAATCATGGGGAGTTGGGTTAGATCTAGAAAGCTGGGCTGAGTCTGACTTTATTTAAAAGGTCTCACACATCCGGGTAAAAAAAAATCCTTCAAAGTACCTACTCTATTATTGGAAATTATTTTTCAGTTAATCAAAAGCAATCCTAATGATGCCTGGAGTCAACCAACAGAGGCAAATCAATTTTGAAGCACAGTATACATGAGAACTTAAATGTAATAAAATAAAGGAGAAGGGTGGGTTATATGACATGTGACTGGGTAAGCTGCATGGGATACAAAGGAACTACTTTCAGGGGCCACTGCAACACTCAGTTTTCTTCTGCAGTGTAGACTCTATGTCTCAGAAATTTGGTCATAAACATATACAGACTGCCTCAAATTGACACCTTTACTTTTTGAGATCAGGAGGTGCTATTCCAAACCAGAAAACTTACCGATGAATAACTCTTACCTAGAGATATTGTCAGGTGAGCAAGCAGAAATGCTGGTCTCCATGCTATCTGAGCTGTCAAGGCTCAAAGTATCAAAGGCCTGATCTTTATAGCTATGATCGGGGTAGTGGAAACTATTCAGGTAGACATTTGATTCAGATGCAGTGCGGTTGTAAAACTCAGAAGATTTCTGCCTTTGTCTTTCACTCATCTGTTGGTGATTATACCCTGAGGAAAGAGCCATAAATATGTTAGTATGCCTTGTTTTTCAGTCTTAGATCTTCCTAGACTCAAACCAGCAGCCCAAAACATCTGCCTATGAGATGAGGGGCTGGTTATAATTTGTTTTGAAGCCACAAAGATCAAAGCAATAGCATCATGCTCAGTGCAAGCAAAAGTTTCAAAGAAGTGGTCATGTGAGTGATCTTTGTTGTCAACGGATCACTTGACACTTTCCTATTCCATTCCTACATCTCAGCACAGCTGAGAACAATACATCAGCACACGCAGAGACAGACACACACAAACACACAACAAAAACTGGCCTGGTTCCTCTAAAAATAGCCTGGTTCAAAAGAAGGCAAGTGACAAACATTAGGGTCTTAGCATAGTCACTTCTTCATTGGGAAATAAACCCAAGTACTACTCTGTTTGGTTGTAAAACAGCAGGTGGATCATTCAATTATAGGATTTGAGAAGATTATATCTCACTTGTAATATCACTAACACATTTAATATGGTTAAATCTCAAACTGTACATTGTTTTCATGCTATTTTTTTTCAGTTTCCCTTGTCAGCTAATTACTTATTTAAAACACTCACTGTCAACAATTCTTCTAATGGTTATATACCTCTTAATTACTTTATATAATATAGTTCTCTTTTTCCACCTTAGCCATCAGTTTTCAGCTAGCTGGTGATATCAACCACATGAAAATGTAGGGATTATATCAATAGGAGCAACATCTCATCAATGCGGTGTTTCCCTTGCCCTGGCACTTGGTCAGCTGGCTCATTAGGTCGCTGGCTCTACTTGGTGTTATTGCTATAGCCTGCTCTCTGGTAGCAGATTTTGGATGTCACAAATCCAAATATTCTTCCTTCCAACTCTCTGCTAAGCACATTCTTAGGAAACAGGGATCATACTTATAAACATTCCCTAATGCATTAAAGATACTTCTTCAGCTTCAGCCTGCAATCTCTCCCATTCTACCAGACCAATTACGAGTTGACAATGGAACCATTTGAATTTCACATCTTTTCTTGTGCTCTATCTGCTTCCCAGTGAGGCTTAGTTGTCAATGAAATAACCAAAGAGCTTCAGAGGGCAAAAGAAGGCAAGTCATTCCAAACAGCTTCCTCAGCTACATATAAAACATTTCAATTTAAAAACAGAAGCTCCATCTATGGTGCTAGAACAAAGTGCTAGACACCAGAAATTTCTACAAAATGATTCTAGTTCCAGGAGGAGTTTTCATGCCATTAGTATTTGTTTGAAGCAGTTTTAGTTCAGAGTAAGGCATTTCTGGGAAAATAGGTTTCTTAATATATCAGTTAGTTGTGATTATAAATGACAAATGCCCCTCCCCCGACATATATGTGTAAACAATACACATCACTTAGCTTAAGGAAGATGCAACAAAAGCACACAAACTATGGGACTCAAAATAGACTATCATTAATCATCATGATGAATGCATGAAGCACTTAATGAAGCCAAGGCAGTCATGACCACGGAGCTGGTGCCTTTTTTAAAGAAGAAAGGCCAAAGAACTTGTTCCCCGAATATTTACCTTTGATGCTTGAACTTTTGGAATTACTAATTGCTCCTTTTAGATTGTTTCCAATTATTCATTATGAAAAGGAAGGGGACAAAAAAACCAGAAATTATTTGAAAGGGTCATATGAATCTTTCCTTTTCCTTCAAAAGGGGCAGGTGGCCAAAAAAACTTCCACATTGGCACCAAATTACATAGAAGACATTTTTTTGTTTTATTATGACCAACATAGCTCTACAAGGCAGTCGTGTAATTGAAACCAAAAAAGAACGATCTCCTTAGCAATGACTGTGCCACAATCTCCCCTAATCCTTGGTTTTTTCGTAATGAGGAAAAACTAGCCTGCAATGCTACTAACACTTATAACAAAAGCAGAAAAGAGGATGACTGTATTTTTTCTTACAGCAACAGTATACCCTGCTCCTTGGATCTTTCAGGATTTTTTTTTCCAAAAGTACCACAGAATAAGAACATGAACTTGACCTTCAGGTGAGGTAAACTAAAATGACTCCAATAGTTCTGCTGCAGGTACAATTGGAGCTGAGTTCCAAGTGCGCTGTGCTAAGGACGTGAACACACAGTCTCAGGTCACTCACTACTTGTTGAGGTTTGATCTGATGTCCGAGAGAATCTCCTGTCATTCTGGAGGTAGGAAAGGAGCTTTCATTTTTGAGGCACCTTGCAGTAAACAGCCTGCTGCTCAGGCGCATCTCTCTCCAGGTCAGGACTGTAGTTTCCCCCAGAGTCCGTGCAAGAGGGTGTCTGCCTTACAGAGTGGAGCTGCCTAATCCCCATGCACTCAACCCCCAGCTGGCATAGCCTGCTCCTAGCAAACAAGTCCCCAAACCAAGTTAGCCCTGCTATTACAAAAGGGTCCTCTCCACGGGCACCCTGGAATTGCACCAGAGCTGGTTTGGGGATTCAGGATCTGCCCTGACCATCCAAAGGCAAAGGTGTTATTGATAGAGAAAACATGATGGGAGAGCAAGGAGCTCTTGGTATGAGGTTCAAGAAGAAGTGCTGTGTAGAGGAGGAGCCCAGAACAGGAATGAGCCTGCTCAGGGAGGGCATGTGTGTGTCCTGTTCACCACAGGATCTGTATTTATTTAGCATAAGGGTGTCACTGAATAGTCAAGGAATGAATTCATTCTCTCGAATGAATTTGATCAATTCCAACTGTGTTAATGGCCAAATAAGGAACTGGAATGCATCTGTTCTTTGGGGTGGGGAAAGTAACTGAATTGGGAAAAGGAGACATTCCCAACCCAAGACTCCTTTTTTTTTTTCTCTTAAATTATGTAGAGAATAATAAGAGTAATAGTTGTGGGAACAGCAACTAAAAAGTAACAAGGGCCTTATAAATGTTTTAACTCTATCCTTTCCAGACAAAAGCAGCTATTAGGAGAGGGAGTTTCTAAGGTTTATGAAGTAACACCTGGTAATATCTGAGGCTCATCAGTCAGCATAGCACATACAAGAAGCCAGACCCACTCACCTCTCTTCACTGTCTGAGGAGTCAATATAGCGGATCTGCAAAGTCTATTTTTTTTTTAAATTTTTTAATGCCGCTCTTTATGAGCGCTGGGTAACTGGACCTTAACTATCCTTTGTGAGTTAACAACTATGGGATTTGTAATCTTGCCAATATTTTCCAAATGGGTGTTATATACTTTAAATAGTTATCTGTATCTTAATATAGAAAATGAGATGACTTAAAATTATAACTTGTGTTAAAGAGTATAAAATTAATCAGTATTTCTGATAATGCAGTGTCTTATAGCTCACCTGTGGAGAAATTCATTCTTCCTAACCAGAATCCACAGTCAGAAGATGAAGTGCAGGATAAGTCAGGAATGAAGGAGAGTGATAGAAAAAGGGAAAAAGATACAAGATCAAAAAGGATGACAAGGGGACAGGAAAACTATACAACATGCAATCAATGATCATGTTAGCAACAAAGCCAGATAACCAGGAAAGATGGTCACATTTTTATATTAAATCTTAGTTCACAGAGAATGCAAGATGTTATATAAAAAAAGCAAAAAACAATAAGCTGGTGATACATGCATATTGTTAGTTAAAAAAGATTTGTTACAAAAGGAAAAAGACTTTAACACATTCTTTAACCAGAAAATGGGGAAACTAAAAATAAGACTGTATCTGTAGGACAATTCTTTTTTTTTGAGCCAGACTGTAACAAATAGCTTTCAAAAGCTCTGGTTTGTACAATGTCAATTACTTGAAGCACACTACATCAAACTTTCCAATAAGTCCGTGCACTAACCTACTTCTGGACCACCTAACCACAGTAATAAGCATCTTATTTATTCAAGACAATTATTGAAACTGTTCTTCACTCTCCACTAAGCCTTATAAAAGAGGCTTAAAGGGAATGAATAAGTAGGAGCCTCCTAAAGTTTTTCTATCGTCACAGAGTGTGCTTATGCAGACCCAGCCTTCATGGAGGAGAAAAATCATGTTTGCACTTAGCTGATATGCATCACAATGCTCACACTTTTATCTATATCCTAAGTCTTAACAAAACACTGCTTCCATAGCACTCATGTTTCCTGCTAGGTCTGACCTTGTAATAAAAAACTGAAACAAAGGCCATGCAGCTGCCTGTGAATGAACAGCAGCTGTACCCACATTGCGTCTCTAGCGAATGTGCAACATTCTTCCCTAATGATCATTAGACTAAAAGTCCACCATTGTACAGTTTTAAAACTAATCATTTCTTAAAGATGACTTGACAATGACTTTTCACTGTTTGTTGGAAACAAAAACACCACACGGGGAGGTTGTCATACCTTTCCTGGACTTTCCTGCATTTAACAGAAGACACAAGACAAAGATTTCATTCATTCTAAAGCTTACAAAGGAATAGTTCACAAGTTGTACAAAAGTCAATAACCATTAAACTTTAAGATTTGAGTTCCTAGACTCTCTGTTTTAAATGCTGCTCCCAAAGATCCTTGTTTATGTGATTCACATTGTCAGTTCCATTAAAATAGTTCTGATCGAAGAAGGCCTCTACTTACACTGTCATCCTTGACGTATCCATTATGAATGAGCAGCAAAAAAATAGTTCATTTAAAGTTAATTATGTAAGTCAAGAAAAATGATAAGACCTATTAAGCTTGAGTTAATGAAAATGTGCCAGGTCTAATTTTTTCTAAATGATGGAATTTCACTTGCATTTGCTAGTTTATAATGAAGCCAACAAGTGCTAGAATTCTAAATGAAATCATGATTCATACTTCCTGGTCTGTGGGCCACCTGGATGGATCCAGTAGGAAATCCTGCCAATTGTAAATCTGCTGTGTCTGTAAGAACCTAGGTCTCCAGCCCTCCTCTTCTGGGGTGGGGGGAAACCAAGGAAGCAGGTTGGCCTCATAAGAAACATCACATCCCTTTGGGTCAACACACACACAATGATTCTGTTTCTTCAGAAGCTGTCTCAACAGCACCACATGAAACTTTTATTTAAAAGGAATGAACCCCACTTTAAAGCTGTGGCAGGGAGAGACAAAAGCTGCAGGCTTCCAGGGTGTACAAAGGATCTACTAAAAACAAGGAACTTGAAGAACAAAGGCACAAAGAGAGGCCAAAGAAAATGGAGTCTGCAGAGGGCATGTCCCTAGCAGAATTGGTTCAATTTAATTCTATGGATCTAGCACAGGGATTCCCATTATTTGAGGGGAAAGCAGAGGTCAGAAAACTAGAAAGCATCTCCTAAGTTTGAGCACATTCTCACATGAACTCTTAACAGAGTACAAAAACTATAGTGTTGTGGTCAATATAAATTTTGATGTCTTCAGCCAGTGGGGTAAATACATTTAAAAGATAGCTATAAATATTGCAGAAAAATATTTGAACAGAAGATTGACTCACAACTGAACAGTGATAAGGGACAAAATATAATCTCATTTATATTTATTATTATAAGTGATATTTTTAGTTTACTAAGAAATTAGGGTAAGGAAAATAGTCAGTGAAATGTATTTGACTTGAATGTTAATACTGTACATCTCTCATACATTAAAAACCACTCATGAATACTATAGCCTCTATTAATTTAGTCACTTCTAGAAATGCGTTGAAAACTTCCTTCAAATTAAATACATATGTATAATTGTGTATGCATATTATATGTAGACACCATAATTTACACACATACACACACACACACACATATACACACACATGCTTTCTTTTCTTTTCTTTTCTTTTTGCTAGGAAACGATTGCCAGAGAGGTCAGCAGTCAGAATTGAATCCAATCAGCCTGGAGGGAAGGGTTTCAATGCCACTAGTGCATGAATGCTTCAGAGGCCACCCCATTATATCCCCATTTACATCTGGGTGCACCTCCATCACTGCATTTGGCACCTTTTATTGCTATCATCTGTTATGCTATGCATCCTTCTTCTTCACTAGACCAGAAGCATTTCAAGTGCAAGGGTCATGCTGTATACGTACATTCTTAATACCCAGTACCACCTGCCCTCAAAAGTTAGGGCCAGTGTAAGCTGTTGACCTGAACTCTTGTGTTAACACAATAAATCTAATCCTCTTGATGAGCCATCCACCTCTGGAACTGTATCTCACAAAGACTATTTATTTGAGAGCCCCATTATGAATGCAGTAAATCAATACAAATAATTAAAACAAGCTAAGGGTTAAAGTTCACTTGAAACCCAACAATTCAACACAATAAAACCTCAAAGGTATCAGGTAGTCAAAGGTACCTCAAAAGGTATCAGGGAATTCTATCCGGGGTCACTAGTGCTTTATTTATTTATTTAGTTTTTATTAATTTTTTTTCTTACTCACTAGTATCTTATTTATTGTGTCAGCTCAGTGACTTTAATACAAGACTTTAGTGGTTCAACCACAAATTAGGTGCCTTAGTACTTAGTAAGGACTGGTGAAGTAGGACTTAGCAAGTAAGTCCAAGGACTTACTTAGTAGGTTTTTCTGACTTGAGCGTTCTATTGAATTGATGAAGCACATTGATTATGTATGTTTAAAATATACCAGCCATATGTATAGATAGGGAAAATGACCCTAGTACGACACACACACACACACACACACACACACACACAGCTCCGCAGAGGAGACACATTAAGAGTAAAATTGAGGACTCTGGTTGATTCCATCTAACAATCCCCATCCCTGCTCTCACTCCCTCTCCCTGAGAAATCTAATGCTTAATAGAAACAACATTTGATTCAAAAGGTACATACCTCTGAGCATTCGCCGAGATTCTGAGTCTTTGGTCATGGTTGCCAGCGAGGGAGGGAGCACGCTGCCACAGCTGTTGCTCTGTCCCAGGGGCAGGTGAGCCTGTGGGAACCAGGAAGAAATACATGGGGCAAACTGCAGGCCAAGTGGCCTGCTAAATCTCAGGACATGGCTGCACCCATTTCCAGAGTTCCTATCTAAGAGCAGAGGGTAGGGAAGGGAGGTTGTTGCATCCCATTTGGTGAAGCTAAAGGGTAAAAGTCAGTCACCCAACTTACTCCATGGCAACCTCAACATCCCAGAAACTCTTCCAGTTGCGGTAATCCAAACTTAAATACAGATGAAAACACCTTCGAGAACAAGTGAAAGCTCTTCATGCATAAGGAATTGGCAGATTTGGGGACAAGAGCACAGGCGCATCATGCACAAGAACACACAAGATCTACACTTGTCATAGTGCATCACCCTCCATCTACCCCATCAACCTACCCATCTACTCCATCAATCTAGTAGCCTGAAAAGTGAAGAAACCTATTAACTACCCCAGTGGTTTTAATACTTTTTGTTTAACTAGCAAGATCCTTTCTGTAAAATCTGCTAGAAATACCAGTTTATGAAATAGACTAAAAACAAAATTACTCTGATTAAGGGTAAGAGACAGGCCCCAAAGTATGGCTCATTCAAAACCTCTTTGCCTACCCCCTCTTCTCATCGTGACCCCTTGGGCAGGTCTGCAGAGCATGAGTGACGCATCTGAGCATGTGGATTCACATTCCAGCTTCACTCTGACCGGCTGTGTGCACTTGGTCAGTCATGTAGCTTCTACATACCTCACTTTATCCATCCATACTAATAATAATTAAAATCTAATAATTAATAATTATTATTAATTAAATATTAATAATAATTAATAATAATTAAAATCTCCATTGTATAGTGCTGTGGGGTTTTAAAATAAGACAATCCACAAATAAGATTTAGCCTCATGTGAAGCTCAGAGAAATTACTCAATAAACGTGTTGTTATTATGTCTGGAATTCTGACCTTATTTTCTCCAATTTCCTGGTCTGGGATACAGCCAGGGGAGTCCATCACATAAGTAGATGCCACTTATGTGTGGTGGCAGGAAATACCACAGGTCAGTTCCTCAGTCCCAAAGTGTACATTCAAAATATTCTTGAATTGGCTAGCATGTGCCCGCCAATCTAATGGTTCATTGCTTAGACTTTTCTTTAAGGAATTTGCATCAGTCAAACAAGGACAAGAAGACTCACTGAATGTGAAGCCCGTGGGTCTCCACATGGCCTACCTTTGGGGTGGTGCTTCTCCCCATGGTAGCACTGCTGAAATGTGGGGATATGGAAGATGTGGTTTTCTTTCGAGGCAAAGTGTCACTCAGATAGAGGCCTTCTTTATGCTGTTTTTTCCTTTCTTCCAGACTTCTAAAGTGCTTTAAATGCAAATGTAAAGCAGAACAGCAAAACTTGACTAACTGAAACAGGTCACTGAAGAAATTCAGAAGTACGCATTTACCGAGAAGTTTGTCATTTTAACACAGAATATATATCTTTAAATGATTTAACTTATATTTTTGCTCACTGAGAGTCTTGGGCTAGCATTTGACAAGATTTGTAGTCACTGGAAGAATTTATTGCTGAACCTAGAAAAATTGATTTAATTCCACCTTTCACTCTCATAGTTAGTGCCTGCTGCCTTGGGGCTAAGGATAACTTACAAAGTATTATGATGGTCGCCATGTGGATGGCAAGGCAGTCAGTGGACAGAGCAAGCAGGCAGTGTCTCCCCTGTCTGTCTGCACAGTTCTGTGTGGTGGCACAGATCCCAGTGTGAGGAGAACAAGAAAAGGGAGAAGGAAAAAGATGAAGAGAAAAAGCGAGTAAGGAAGGGAAGTTGATTTAAAGTTGGAATATATTTTAATCACATAAACACATTTCGAATCCACAGAAAGTTCATACAAGGCATCCTTCCATGGTGCTCTTCTATTATAAAGAAAGAGCTTAACCAAGGAGCCACTATAGTAATTCCTTACAGTCAAAAATCCTACTGACCTTTTTCTTCCAGATTCCTAAGGCAGAATTTTTGCCACTGTGAAATTTATCCAAATTTCACTTGGGTTCCCTCAAAAATGTCTTAATAAAATTATTCCCTAATTAAAGGGATTTTGTTTGATAACTTTTATTTTTATTTTTTTTATTTTATTTTTTTTTTTTTTGATGTCTCGTTATTTCCTTTTATTTCCTTCTTGGATTCTAATTCTTTTTTTTTTTTTTTTTTTTTTTAAATATTAAATTTTATTTTTATATTCCCCCATACAATTGCAAACGCCCCATTCTGACCCCAATCCTTCCCCTCCCGCCCCCCACCCCCCAAAAAGTGTCTCTGGTTCATAGTTTTTTTGTTGATTTTGATTTTCACTTTCTTATATTCATTTTCCTGGTCCCTTATTTAAGTTTTCTAGATTCCTGCTATGAGTGAGACCATCCGGTATTTTTCTTTTTCTTTTTGGCTTATTTCGCTGAGCATGATCCCTTCCAGTGCCATCCATGTTGCTGCAAATTGCATGTGTTTATCTTTTTTGAATGCTGAGTAATATTCCATGGTATATATGTACCACATCTTCTTGATCCAGTCATCTATTTTTGGGCATTTGGGTTGTTTCCAAAGCTTAGCTATTGTAAACAGTGCTGCTATAAACATAGGAGTGCAGGTGCTCTTTGGAATTGATGTTTCTGTGTCCTTTGGGTAAATACCTAGGAGTGGAATTGCTGGATCATATGGAAGCTCTATGTTTAGTAGGTCCAGAAATCTCCACACAGCTCTCCATAGTGGTTGGACCAGTTTGCACTCCCACCAACAGTGCACAAGAGTTCCTTTTTCTCCACATCCTCGCCAACATTTGTTGTTGCTAGTTTTTTTAATATGTGCCATTCTCACTGGTGTGAGATGGTATCTCATGGTAGTTTTGATGTAAACTCAGACTTTTGACATGCAAAAAATTAATGCAAAATTGAATTTGTGTTTATTATCAATCTTCAAATATGCCCATCCTGAAAAATATCTGCATTTTAGCTTTATGGTTATCTTTTTATATTAGCTAGTATTGATTAACCTAGAAGTAGCGAGGAGATGTAGTCCTTTAACAGGGGACCTTCCAGAAATGCAAGGGCTGCACATAGCAGACCAGAGTTTTCCTAACTTGGCAATCTCATGGCTATGACTCCTTAGGGTTTTCTGGGGCCAAATTCACACAGGAATTGATTACAGTTAAAAGGTGTCTCAAAATAGACTTTTAAAAAATACCTAAGCTAAATATGCACTGAGTGTACTAAAAGGAGGACATTAGTTATTTAAAAATCTAGTCCAACAAAACTGTTGTTCAATGAACCAAATGCACTTCTTGTGGATGAGCTATTTACCCACACCGAGCCTCAGTTCTCTAAATATCACCATGGAGAGAATTCTCATCTCAAAGGATTATTAGAAGGATAAAATGAGATATTTGTTAAATGTTTGGCAACTTTTGACAGAGAGCAAGGGAACACTATCTATTATGGTTTCAGTGATGTGTAAAACTTACTTTGCATTTATAAAGCAACTTTTATACCATGTATTTTATGGGAGTTATTGTTATTTTGAAAAAAGAGCAGATAATTCACAGTATTTTGGCTGGCTGGGAACTGGGGCGTGAGGATGTGAAATAAACTCAAACATATCAAAAGCCCAGGGAGAACTATAAAGATCTTAAAAACTTTATAATAAACCCAACACCCTTAAGGACATATAAAATGTCCTTTAAAAGCAAACCCCCCTTCTTCCCTCCCCGCTGCCCATGTTCAAAAAAACCCTCAAAGGAGTATGTATGCACTTTGTATTTTGAAAAAAAACACCTTTGGAAAAGTTGAAGACAATACTCCACATAAATAACTGCCTTTGGCTCTAAACCAGTTCCTAATTACCTGTTGCTCTTGCTGCTGCTGCCTTCTGTGTTTCTTAGCTGGTAGAGGAGGAGGCGTGTCATTTAAAAGGAAGGGATGGACAGATGGAGTCAGGACTTCAGGCCAAGGGGCTGATGGAGTTTGAGTGACAGGATGAGGAGAAAAGGTAGAAGGAAGAATAAATCCAGAACAGAGAGGTGATCTCTGCTTTAGAGGAGAAAGAAAGTATATATGTGGCCACATGAAAAGAGAGCATAAGACAAAGAAATGAAATAAATAATCTGATTATTTTGTTTTCTTCTATTTTAAGAAGTCACAAATGATGGGCAGTATCTTTCAATTGGACTCAAAAAATCTCAACAGCATGCAACTTGGATGAGCGAAGGTATTTTAATTTACTGTTATGAGCCCCTACCTAAATGTTTTTAAAAGGCATAATACAATTTTTAAAAAATCCATAAGGCAAAAAATAATAGAAAACACAATCAAATTGGAAAGGTGACTCCAACTAATAATTTTAGAAAGGTTTTCGGCCTCTATGAAAATGAGATGGGGTTAGAGCTAAGGTAAGAGTTTATTTTTTGAAACGAACTACCCCGAGTACTCTCTCTGGACCATGTACTTCATGAGTAATATAATTAGTAGACAGTACCTCCAAATTGCTTTGATTTTCAAACTCAGCATCACTCTGGTCAACCACCAACCCTCTGTCACAACACGTGCCTTCATTTTCAGTTAACCATGGGTTAATCTCCGACATGAGGAAAGCAGTGAATGAATGAAATGTCATGCCAACACACCTCTTTATTTTGTGGCTGGCTCATCAGCACAGCTGTGGCAGGCCCAGTGGCAACAGCGTCAGCATCAGCAGGGAACTGAGTGGAAGGGGATAGATTCGTGGAATTGCCACATGGCTCATTAATTTCATTTACACTGATATAGCCCTAAAAGGAGGAATTCAGAAATTAAACATGAAGAAAGCAAAAGCAGAGGCATGCGAGAGTATTAATGCTCCCAGTACAATGGAGTTAGCTTAGAGTGGTTCAGCCAGGTATGTGTGGTGTTATCGAATGTCTCAGTAAGGAAATCATCAGCAATCAAAATGGATTTATGGTGCTTAATCTTGAAAAAGGACATTCTAAACATTAAAAATAATTTTTCTCTGGTGAAATCAAGATGATTATAGCGTAAGTAACCCAACACTTTCCATTTCAAACTATCCAGAGGCATCAGTATTCCTCTGTTGACTGGAAGAGGTTGTCACTCCATAACATTTAAAATAAACACACACATACAAATCCAAGCTGTAAAATTGACAATGCAATCATTCCTCCCTAACTCAGAGCCTTTCCACAAATCTTTATTTTTACATTTTCCACTCTTCTGTTTCCTGACAAATTAGAGTGAGTAACAGTGGCTGAGGTTATTGGTTTTTGCACTGACATTTATAAAGCTGCAATTTACTTGTAATGGAATCTGGCTCTTAGGCATCTCAACTGAATGAAAAGAAAAAGAACATGGGTCCTTAACAGCTTAATGGGTACACACACACACACTCACACAGCCTTCAAAATATATCCCATTCCAGCTACTTCCCTCTGTCTCAGCCACTGTTCTTATCCAAGCCACCAGCATCTTAACATGACTCAGAAATCTGGCCCCTGCCCACCTGGCTGACATTATCTTATTCTAGTACATTCCATTCATAACCACCCTCTGTTCACTTAACCTGCCTGTTAGGCGTTCTAAACAATGGAGAAAAACCATGAAATTGAACGACCTAATAAAGCTCTTGTAGAACTATTTCACAAAGTTCTTCCAAGGTACATATTAGTCACACCTATTATCGTGATGAGCATTTTATTTGACATACCTACACACATGAAATACTTTCTGCTGTCTTTTTAAAAGGAGTTTATAGAGGGTTTTGTGTTATTATATAATTTTTAAAGCTTTTTCTTTAGCTTTTTTAGAAAAAAAATATAACTTTTCTTTCCTAGTTAGGGTGATGGGATCTGGGAAAAGATGGTTATTTATGATAAATATGTGCATAGTTCAGTGTAACCATGAGTTTCCAATTTAGGAAGAAAAATAGCAGAATCAAATAATACTGGGGAAAAAGTAGCAAGAAAGAAAATGCATGATTCTCTCAAATATTCAGAGACATTTTCATATTTTATAAGATTTAGGAGAAAAAAAGGTAGAAGTGAGAAATGAGATGGTAGAAAGAAGAGAATTTAAGATTAATCTTTCTGAATCTTAAAGTTTTTGAAGCTCTAAATGCCACTGACAAGTACACACACACACACACACACACACACACACACACACACACACACTGCAGTAGCTATAAAAATAATCCCTGAAATCCTAAATCCTCCAAACATAAATGAAAGGCAGGAAAACCATCAAAGCTTTGAGTGCTTGCATAAGTCATCTGAGTTAATTTTTTTCCTATTCAGCTAATCACATAAAACTGAGGTACAGCTCCTGATTCTTAAGGTGGTATATGGATAAATAAAATCATAGCTTACCTCTTTTAGAGTATTGGGGTTGACAGGAAACCCTTTCCCTCCAGAGAGACTGGAGTATTTCTTTTCCAAATTACAAAGATTCTCCTTTTCCTGAAAGAACACAAAGTCTATTAAGCTTAGTTAACCTTGGATTTCCATGCTGACCAATGATATTGAGTATTTTTTAAGTGACTTATTGAATCTTCCGATATGCTTGCTATTTATATAGAGATCATTTGCCTGTTTTTTAAAAAATACATTTATTAGGTGTTTATTATTTTTGAGTTATAGGAGCTTCTTATACACTAGAATCAAGTCCTTTGTCATTTATTTTTAAGAATTTTTGGTTTACCCCAAAGCCATGAAGGTGCACTGGTACTACTATGTTTTCTTCTAGAAAACATAGCATTTGATTTTTACATCCATGTCTAAGATCTGTTTTGTATTAACCTGTATGTATGGTGTGAGGACAGATAATGATGAGGTTCTCAGTTTTCTGCATTGCCAGTTTATATAGCACATTTAAGAAAGACATTCCTTTCTCTACTGATTAGTCTTGGAAAGTTTCTTAAAAATCAACAGATGGGGGCCTCCCCGGTGGCACAGCGGTTGAGCGCTGGGTTGCGAAGCTGCCCACAGCCTCTGCAGCACCGGTTTGATCCCCGGCTGCCTGGCGAGGGTCCCACATGGCGCACAGACCTCTCCTGCCTTCCGCTGCTCCCCTCAGCAGTGTATTTTGTCAGTCTGCCTGTTCTGCTCCCCACTCTGGCTCTGGTGAATTCTCTCACCCTCCTGCGCTTCTGACTGTACTCAGTGCTTGTATAAATAAATAAGTAAATAAATAAATAAATAAATAAATAAATAAATCTAAAAAAAAAAGTTAAAAAAAATCAACAGATGGTACATGTGTGGACCTATTTCTGGACTCTGTTCAGTTCCATTGATCTATATGTCTTTTATATGCTAGGATCACCCCCATTTTAAGTGTCCTAGCTTTCTAGTAAACTTTGAAACCATACAACACAAACCCTCCAACTTTGTTTGTACTGTTCAAACTTGTTTTAGCTCTTCTGTTCTCTTCATATTTTCATATATGAATACTTCATATGAATACTGAAGTAATGAATACTGTTCCTAAAGGAAATATACAGCTGGGTTCCTGTGAGATTCTGGTCACAATAGTTTCATCAACTGACTAATACATAATTTTGTTTTATATGTGTTTCTGCTTAAAGCTATCTTTGGTAACATCTTATTATATTTTATATCTGATTCATTAACACTGAACTCACAGCCATCAGCATTACAATTCACATCTGAATGAAGCTTATATAATGCTTGGCTTTCTCCAAAAAGCACACCACAGCCTTCCTGCCCTTTAGCAATAGTGGACAATACATTAGCACTGTGCTTGGAGACCATTTTAAACAACAGAATCATTAACGAAAAGCACAAAATATGAAAATATGGGACTGAACGGTCCACAAAATATGGGACTGAATGGTCCATTTGTTTATAGCATGAGAGCTGAAAGAAGGCAGAGCATTGCCTTGTCCAGCCTGAGCTGGAAAGGAGCATGTCAAGCAAATGAACAATGAACATTTTGACAGCTCTGGGCACATTCATGAATGACTGCATGACTATTGATCTGGGGGTTACCAATAAAGTATAGTGAGTAGGCAAATTCACAAATAAATAATGAAGATCAACTGTAAATTTTACTATCAATTTGTCAATTCTTGAAAAAAGTCTTGTAATTTTTTTTTAAAGGAAGTCTTTTTTTTTTAAAGATTTATTTTTATTTATTTATACAAGCACTGGGTACAGTCAGAAGCGCGGGAGGGTGAGAGAATTCACCAGAGCCAGAGCGGGGAGCAGAGCAGGCAGAAGGACCGAAGTACACTGCTGAGGGGAGCAGCGGGTGGCAGGAGAGGTCTGCGCGCCATGTGGGACCCTCACCCGGTGGCCGGGGAGCAGCTGGGGATCGAACCAGCGCTGCAGAGGCTGCGGGCAGCTTCGCAACCCAGCGCTCAACCGCTGCGCCACCGGGGAGGCCCAGTCTTGCAATTTTTATTGGTAATGCAATGTATCTATAGACAAAACTGGGGAAATTAATATCTTCATGCTTTTTGACCAAAATTTTTACAGTGGGATATTTTATTTATTTGTAATGAGGAAATGGTATTTCTGTGATTATGCTTACCCATGTACAAAAATCTAATAGAGTTTTTTCCTTTTGGGGCTACAATTTCAGAAGTTACTACATATTACACTATCTAATTTAAGCTGTGCCTTTGAATATTGTGGGCAAAGTGTAACATAGTGGTGGCAAGGCTAATGGCACCAGAGTTCATCTGCAGAGTGGTGGACAGAGATGGAAAATACAACCATCTGGAGATTTCTAGGTGCTGAAGAAGGAGGAGGAAGAGAGCTATCAGATCTGTGTGGGCTCCAGAGGCACCATGAGTTGACTCTTAATACTACATAAAAAACTAATTTCTTCTCTCCTCAACCTAAAAATGCTCATATAGGAATACTGCAGATATATTTCCTCTCAATTAGGGGGGGATCATGGTATAGTCTCAAGCTTGAATGCATCATTTTAGATTTGGTCCTTTTCCTGCACCCCTTTTTTGGGTCCACTTCATATTTTCATGATCCCAAGTGAATATTCCTAGATAGTAAATTGCATGCAAGCCTCCGTCCTGAGACTACTCCTATCAACTTCAACTTTTGATGCTTTATTGCTGAAATTAGAACCAGAACTATATCAAAAAATTAGGTTACAGGTTGAGTAAAGGAATGTCCAATATATACAGCCACTTTAGGTGCTGGGCAGATGAGGACATAGTTCCCTTTGGTGAGGATAACCTTTTCTCTCATGTGACATGTCTACCTAGACAATTAAGCCAAACTAAATCCAATGTGGCATTTGTCAGGAAAACCAACATACAGAAAACTGGAGCCCAAAACACCAGAGCAGCTGAGCCAAAATATTTGACAGCAGTAAAAAGAGCCAAATGTATTTTACTTATTTGATGAAAAACATAATTTTTAAAAGAATAAAGTCAGAAAGCCCTCAGAGTTGTCATAGTTTGGATTTTCACACGATGGAAGAAACATCCTTGTTTATTTTCTGAATTACAGTAATTATTCACAGAGTATCAAGAGTTTATTTATATGCAGGATTAAATAACAATGTATATAAAGTGTGTTTTAAAATTATAATTCACTATTAAAAGACACTTGCACTGAAAAAGCAACTTTTTCCAAGTTGGAACCTGTGTTTTATGTTACCAGTGCTGAAAAGAAAATACTTACTCTTTGCAACATCATTATTAAATTATTCTTTTCTTTCACAAAATGATCTTGTTCTCTTTGTGCCTGCTGGACAATGTGATTGGCTTGTTTTTTCAAAGCAGAAATTTTTTCCTGGAGGGAAAGAAAGGTGGTCATAGAAAGATGTACTTAGACATTCAAAGTTTGCCAATCTGCTCTGGAAAAGGAAAGAAAGATGTTTACAAGTGGAAGGCAGTTTCTTTGACCTGCTACCCTTTGGGCTTTTCTTAATCTAAGGCCAATACAGTTCAAGTGATTTTAAATCTATTTGAAGAACCCAGAAGTCAACAGGAAATCTTGTTTTAGACAATAACTGAATTCTTGACTTCATCTTGGGAGACGCCTCATGGAAAAAACAATGGAATTTCTTATTTTAATGGAGAGCTTAAGAGTTCACCATCTCCATTTCCCTTCCCTCAACTTTGTTGGTTTAGTACAGAACACTGGGTATGATTCTAAATTCTGGAATAAGCACCGAGTTCTGGGCTGCACATTTGGATGCTAGGGGTTGGGTGGAGTCAATAACTTACATGGCACTTCATGGGACTGCTTCTAATGCTAATAAGCTGCCAGGCATCAATAGTTTTGACAAGTATTGAGAAAGAGAAACAATATTCTGTTTCCAGAGAAAATTTCAAATTATAATTTGTTCATAGAATTATTCTGAATCTAGTTATGATTGCAAAAGTAAGTAATTTAAAACAAGCACTTAAATTTCTGATTTTCTGTCTTGTTTTTCATATAAAAGAAAAAATGAATATTATAAATAAATGCATCTGCAGTATTAAATAACTGCAACATGTCTCAGTTTATCTAGTTCAGATCTCCGTTTAGTAATATAGATGGCAGCTTTCATAATCTGCTAAATGTGATTTTGTGATTAAATGTCATTATTGTATATTTATCTCATTCAGATATAAGGACAGGCACTCACAGAGCTATATTAATGATATTACTGTCACATAGTAAGAGGTATATTTTGATGTTACATTGAATGACACCTAGCAAAGCACCTTTCTAGTGTCGATGTTCTGTTGATATTCAGCCACTTCACGCAGGAGGTTCTCCTTTTCCTCTTCTAGCCGGCTCTCATGCTCAAGTTGCTGGAATTCCAGATCTTCAAAGTGTTTTTTCTCAACATCCAGCAAGTCCGCATCCTTGAGAAAAGGGAATGAAAACAAGACATGCCAGAAGGATTGCTGAAAGCCTAGAATCTAAAATATGTTTCCCATTGAAAACATAACCAGGGATATTAACTGATAATCCATTCTTTTGGAGCTAACCCCCAGACCAATGACTGTTAATAACAGAATTGAAAGGGATGGGGGACCAGGGCAGATAGGATGTTGAGTGTTTACTTTACCATCAGTTCTAGACTGTTCTGTGGCTATAGCAATTCTTGCTTTAAATCTACTAAGTGGCTTTAAAAGGGATTGTGAAACATAAAAAGAATTCAGCAAACAACCTAAACATTACCTACAGACCATGGGTGTGTCAGTATCTTGAGAAAATATTTCTATTTTCCATAAATTTCCAAATGAAATGAGAATTTAGTATACAGATTAAAGATTCAAAAATTGCTGACTATTAAAAAGAAGATTCAAAAATTGACACACATAACAAATCAGAAGTCTTCTCTAAGACAAATACAGGCTCCCTAGGTGGCACACACCACAATTCACTGGATGTGAAGAGAAAAATACTAGAACTTTTAAAATGTCTTTTCTTTTCTTTTTCTCAATGTTCTCTAATGCACAGAGTTAGCATGTGCTCAATGTACATAATTTAAAATGAATACATATTTGAAGCATGTGTACTGTGTGTATATTATAATCTCAAATTGAGCTTCTGTGCATCCCTTGAAATTGTTGTCAAACCACTTATTCCTAGAATAAGTGAAAGTACAGTGTTCATCAGGCACAAAGAGTTACTCAAAAGGTTAAACACCACTGCTCTGGGAACAATCTTGAAGACATTAAGAACGGTTGGCAATCATAAAAATCCGATTGTCTAGCATAGGCATTTGCAACATCTGCGGTACCTGACAACAGGACTGACTGTATATGTGCAGACACGGGTGTGTGATATATAAATTATTCTTCTATCAACTTTAAACTACCCTTCCCTTATTTTTTGGAGTCTTTCACTGAACTATAAGTGTGGTATGTATAATGATTTCAAATACATAAATAATTTATAAATCATCTATGGCCCAAAGGAAAAGACAGCTGGGTTCTAAGGCTTGCAGCTCTACATAGGTAAGAGTCAGGCTTGTTTTATTTAATCCAAACATCAAAAGGAGTTTTTAATAAAAAATAGATGGTAAAAGATCTATATCAGTATTTAATACCATAACCCCAACTCTTGTTTTTATGTACGTGATGAATCTTTTTGCCTTTTAATTATTTCTACCTTGTGGAATAAATTTTATTCTAGGGATGACTCAGAAGGCTATTAGCTACCATGCAATTACAACCAACACTATAGCAACGAGACTATTATGTCAACACAGTGATTCTCAGAACTCAAGAGCAAGCAAAACAATTTCAAAAACATATTCAGCATTACTTAACACTTCTTATTTTTTTTAAGGTTTATTTTTTATTTATACAATAGCTGGGATACAGGCCAGAGGCGCGGGAGGGTGAGAGGCTTCACCAGAGACAGAGTAGGGAGCAGAACAGGCAGATGGACTGATGGCACTGTTGAGGGGAGCAACAGGCCCGACAGGAGAGGTCTGGGGCGCCATGTGGGAATCTCCCTGGCGGGCTGGGAATCGAACCTGTGCTGCAGAAGCTGTGGACAGCTTCCCAGCACTGTGCTCAACTCGTTGCACCACCGGGGAGGCCCACTTCTTACATTTTAATTGGTCAGATGGAAAGTGGTCTTGGTCTTGGGTTCAATTCATTGATGAGCATTTCAACTTAATCATGCTCTTAACTTCTAAATAAATTAATGAATTCAGAGCATATCTATTTACTATTGAAGGATTTAAGAAACAACAGTGTTGGGCCTCCCCTGGTGGCACAGGCGGTTGAACACAGCGCTGTGAAGCTGTCTGCAGCCTCGGCAGCGCCGGTTGGATCCCAGCCGCCCAGCAAGGGTCCCACATGGCATGGCAGACCTCTCCTGTCGTGCCCGCTGCTCTGCTCAGCAGTGTATTTCAGTCAGTCTGCCTGTTCTGTTCCCCGCTCTGTCTCTGCTGAATCCTCTCACCCTCCTGTGAATCTGGCCTGTACCCTGGTTCTTGTATAAATAAATAAATCTTAAAAAAAAAAAAAAAAGAAATAGCACAGTGTTATGTCTTCAACAAAATATTCACAACAAAATGTCAACTGGTATATTTACTCAGAAGCATATATACTAAAATTTTTGAGATATTTCAACAAAGTTTGATTTGTGACTGAAGATTACTAAAATAAAAAATTTAATAAGCCTTTTAAAAATAATTTTATAAATTATAAATAATCTTCATTCAAAGTGTATATAGGCTTATAATACATAGACTATGGTAGTCAGTCACTTTAATCCACATCTGGTTAATGTGCAACATGTGTTATTTTAACTACATGAAAGTCACAGAGTCACTAATTTATTTGTAGCAAATATTTAAGCCACTGCATTAAAATAACAACAGACTAGGTAGAAAAGTTGAAAATTAAAACTAAGATCAACATTCAGATTCCTCTGGTTAATCATTTCATCAACTTATCTAAATCACTACAATCAGCATACATAAACTTAACACTGTGGGAAAAATAACAACTTGGAGGGGGCAAAACTGTCAAAAGATTTTGGATGAGAGTAAAAATTCAGGTGATGGAATTTGGGGTCAAGAATAGTTTAGTTAGTCACAGAGTAATATATCCAAGGATCTCGAAATCAAGGCATAACTTGGTTGAAATTTTTAACTAAACTTCACTCCATAAAAGAACTTTACACATCTGACTGGCAAGCTCAAATGTTAGGTGTAAAGGAAATGAAAATAAAATAGCTGCACTAAAGAAAACTCGATACAAGTACTTTTTCCTTTTCAATAATTTGTTTTGAGAAAGTATATAGCAGAAGTTTAGATGGAGATCTTTATGTTTTCTTTCCTTAGTAGAGGAACAGAAAGAAAAAAAACCAGAAGTGGATGGTCAGGAGAGTTTAGAATAATAATCTCATGACAGTTCAAAGTCAACACTAAAAGCGAATTTTACTGGAATTCTGAGATTGTTAACATTTCTCCATCAGTCAAACCTTTAACAGTTTATTTTTGGAATCTGGAAAAAGACAATGGAAATCATCTTATACAGGCCCCTTGTTTTATATGTGAGGACACTTAAGTCCATAGAGGTTGGATGGCTTGTTCAAGATTAAATGATTAAATTGATTGCAGCACCAGTAAGAAAAAAAGGGTCTCTATTCAGAGCGCAATGAATAGAATTTTTAAAAAAGAAACCAAAATCAACCATTCAGCTGAATAAATATCAAAAGCATAAGATAACAGCCCTGGCCAGGTGTCTGTTCCATTTAATAGTGAAACCAATCCAGGCAAATTAAAGACTCCTTTAACTTCAGCTTCTTTGCCACACTATTCATATCCCAGGAAACAATCTGCTTGGTGAACCCATGATCACGAGATGCAGTCACAGGCCATGAAATCAATATCTAAAGAAAACTGCATTCTGACTCTAAGGCAATGACTGTGTGTATGCTGCCATTTCAGTTTAAGTATTTGAGAAAAGGTATAGTGTAAGAAAATGATTTTCTTCCTGTTTTTTATTTTGTATTTGTACAACTTGCCACCCGATGAAGTCACTGATAATAAAATCAACATCAATGAATCTAGTTTAAATGCCTTGGGGAAAGTTTGGTAATGAAGTGTATTCTGAACTGTTTGAAGTCTGAAGGGAAATGAGTTGTGATAACACAGGAAATTCCTACTATGAATGGACTTCTCATGAAATGAGTGAGCGTTTTTACTTATTAAGCCAAGGGATTGGCCAGAATTACTCTGGTTGTCATCCCTGGAAAATGGAATTAGTAGGCCTTTTACTATCAGGTGAACAGAAGCTACCACAAGTCAGTTAAATCTCCTAAGGAAAAGGGTTTTATGATAAGAATTCTACACTCCCCTTTGGAGAGGAAAAGAAAGGAGTCTTTGTCTTCAGTTAGTGCAATATGCTGTCTGCATCATTTCCTTTTATCTTTTGTAGTCAAAATCCTTAGAACACATACAAATTTATGAGTTATCCTACAGAACCTAGATTAAGAAAACTATATCCACCTGAGTCCTGATAATTAATAGAATCTACCAATTTCCATTTGAAACCATGCTCAAAAAGAATTCAAACAATAACTGCATAACACGATGAAAGAAAAAACAAAGTTCATAACTCGATTGCTGGCTCTAAATAAAGTAGCACCATGACCACAACAACTATGTAAAACCTTTACCAATAAGGAGAGTTGGAAACAATAAATGAATAAAAAAATTGTTTCCCAATCTCTTTGAGAGCTGGCATAAACACATAAAAATCACAAACTAAAATAATTTTATAATAAATAACCACTCTTTCCATTATCATTTTTATCACATTATTTTCAGAGATATATGACCCTCAGGGACAGAAAGTTTTATCTTTTTACAGTAAATTCAGCTACACACACTAAAATAACTAAAGGGGGTGAACAACACTGAATCATTTTTTTAATCCAACATTGTGAATAATAACACATATTAGGATTATTAGACTGCAGTTTACTTGTCTATATTGGATATTCTTTTTTTTAAAGATTTATTTATTTATTTTATACAAGAACTGGGGTACAGGCCAAATGTGCGGGAGGGTGAGAGGATTCACCAGAGACAGAGAGGGGAACAGAACAGGCAGACTGATGAAATACACTGCTGAGCGGAGCAGCGGGCAAGACAGGAAAGGTCTGCAGTGCCATGTGGGACCCTTGCCGGACGGCGGGGATCGAACTGGCGCTGCAGAGGCTGCGGACAGCTTCACAGTGCAGTGCTCAACCGCCTGAGCCACCAAGGGAGGCCCTACATTGGATATTCTTAAGATACTCTCCACCTCTACAATATGTTCAAGTTTTAACTGATTTTTTTCATTATCTAGTACTTAGAAGTATCAAGTATGGTTTTTAGTAAGGACATCTTAAATATTTTCCAAAGTGTGATATCTTAAAGTTGTTTTTTTCCCAACTCATTCATTCCCAAGAAGGTTTGGGGGTTGTAACATGAATGAAACTAGTCTTCTTTTTCACTTGATTCTATGGAATCATAAATCACCAGTCACGTAGAACAAACCACTATGAAGTGAAGCCCATCATGTCCAGGACTGCTAATGACACTCTCCCTACGGTCACAGTTTCTTCAGGCTACTGTTTATTTAGAAGAAAAAAATCCAGTTATTAAGAAGCTATGAAATATTATGTCAGCTTGCCAGTGTTTATGAAATTATCCACCCAGGAAGCTTTGTTGTCAGAAAATGACTCAGGTGGTAGTGCTCAGCACTGCCAGCATTAAGGATTGGAGAATAATCGGATCAAGTTCATCAAGAAGGTCAACACTGCACTAGGTTGTTAAAAATGAAGAAACTTGTAGGAAAGGATGTTACAGGCATTAATAATACCCTCATCTTAGCTCTTGGTATTTGATGAATATGATCAAGTTAATAAGTTTAATGTCACTCAGAAACAAAATTAAAAAGAAAAGTATAACAAAGAATATGAAAATTTGGGGAGAATACAAAAAAAAGAGTATAAAATTAAGCTAAAAAATATTCAAGGACTAATCACAATGGGACAGAGATTGCAGGGAAAGATGTTGGCTAACTTAAATGCTACAGCTAGTGCTGGTTATGTGTCAGCTCTCTTTTGTTACAAAGAATGACTTCAGAAAAATTTTTGCATTGTAAGTTAGGTGAAGAATTCCAAGGATTAAAAAACAAACAAACTGGTTAGCCTAGAATAAGATACACTGTCACATTCATACTTCTATTTTAAAAGTATCTAATGACCAGAACTTATGCAAATGTATGCTTTGTGAAGTGGGAAGTCATAAGTAAGTAAATTATATTCAAAAAGCAGAAAAAAACAAAAAACAACTGGCGCGTTCCTGGTTGCTACTGACCCTCTTCAGTTGTTCTTGTAACTGTTCCCTCATGGACTCAGGACAATTGTCCAGCTGGGTCTTCTGCTCGGAGTAAAGCTCCTGAAGCCTCTCTAGTTTTTCCCTTTCAGCATCAAGCTTTACCTTCTCCTGAAGTTCAGAAATCAGAAAATAGAATAGAAATTACCTTCACAGCCCAGCAGGTGTTAGCGAACATTTCCCAAGGATAACACAAACAAGCAAACATACACAAACTCTACATATCCCAAGACTGTAGAAACATATCTTGTTAGTGGCTAAGATAAAGGGCATAAGGGGGACGAAAAGGGAACCCCATTAATGCATTCTCAAAACACAGTCTACTTCATTGGACATTGGCAATGACCCCCATCCTTCCTTCCTTCCCTCCTTGCTGCCACCATGTTATAAAAGCAGGGGGAGCAACTGTAATACTGGTAATTGGTCAACAAAGAAGAAAAGAAATCCAACACAACTCATAGGACAGTTTTGCAAAGAGTCACTTGGCAGAGAAACAGACAAAAGAAAGGGAAGGTTGACCTCGAGTGCTGTCATAGAACCAATTCTCTCAAGGCAATTCTTAAGCAAGCTTTGGGAAATTATTCAAGTTTGGTTTTCAGGTCAGAGGCACATTAGGTGCAATAACTCATACTATTAATTATTTGCAACAATTCTATTTGTCAAACATCAGCGCTTAAGCAATTAGAAAATCTGACTCCAAGGGGAAAAAAATCTAATGCAGGGAGTAAGAGAGCAAGTCACAACATAAGATAGACGAAGCAGCAAGCAGAAGATAGATTAGGCAGCTCAGATCCACCAAAATGTGACATTTTCTGTGGAGATAAAGACTTCCCTACAATGACAGACATGCAAAAAATTGAAACACAGATTGTGAAAAAAGGAGAGAATATCCAAGTGTCAGCGATAGGACCATCAGAGAATAGGAAAAAGGGGAGAAGATAATACTAAGTACTTCTCAAATCACACACCCCGAAGTGATCCTGGATATTCTCCAGGGTACAATAGAAAAATACTGTCCTACAGTAATGGCACAGCTTCACAGTGCTACCTCTTCAATCGAGAAACAAAACCTTAATTTGCTTTAAGCCAACCTTGCCAACTAGTGTTTCCTTTATGATGTTCTGAATCCCTGAAGTGGAAGTTAGCCCTATTTCTTTCCTCGTATGATAACATCCATCTAAACAAAAGCAGTTTGTGAAGCACTGTCGTGATTTGACCCTCAGTAAGCAAATGACCACATTTTTCCCTATGCGAATTGGCACGAAATAACATTGGCCACTAAGCATATCATAGAAGGATTTTTATTGTAAGGATAAAGTTCTGAAATAGTTCTATGAATGTATACTTATAATTTCTTCATCTGGTTGACCATGATTTCCTATACAAACATATATTTAAATCTTTATGAAAGATGCTATGATTTAAATCTAAAACTATAGAACATCTGTTTAAAAATTAAAAAAAAATAAAATTATGATTTTGAAATGATATATGTTAAAATGATATATGTTAAAAATGATGTTAAAATGGTATGTTAGAAAAACTATAGAATATCAATACTGCTATCAGCTCACTCGAGTCTCCATTTTTAACTTAAATTTAAAAATGTTAAGGACATTTTAGAAATGTTTATTTAGATTTAAAATGCATTTTTTCTCAAAATGATTAAATCTGGAAGCCATAAAACTGAAAAGCCTACCTCATATGTCAATCTACAGTGATTCTACAATTAAAACTTGAGCAAATCTTCAGTCTTCAGTGGCAACCTGCCTGTACACAAACACCTATGATGCTGGGCTAGAGAAAGCAATGGCATCATTTGCAGAAAAAAAGGATCCTCAAGTGTTAATCCATAGTAAAACTAAATACATGAACCAGTTAGTGAGTCTTTAGTACAGTACTAAAACTTATCTTTTACAAGAAAATGTGTTGTTTCTCTGTGTGCAGATCAAAGACTGCCCTATTTACACAGCAAAAGAATCTTATCCAGTAAGAGTTCTCTTCCTAGAGACTAAATCACCAGTAGAGCAGCAATCCTTGCTCCAAACAGAAAGCTAAACAATAAATCTCTTCACTCCAATTAAGTATCATTGTGCAAAGTTCCAGAATTTAAATTTATATTGATGAAAAATACATTCAATATTTGATTATATAGAAAGACACAGACCTAAAATGCCACTTTTAAATAAAAATAAATTAGTCCTCTCATAATTCTCAATTTTTGTCATTGTTAATAATAAGCCCAAACAAGCAGTAAAAAATACCTTATGTTTACATAATGCTTTCCTTCTGAGGTGTTCAAAACATTTTGCAATTCCATATAGGCGGGCGACTACAAGAATTATGTAAGCAGGCACCATCAGAACTTTCTGCAGCTTCTCTGGCTTATCAGTAAGGCTGTGACCACTACCTGAGTCTCAGAGCAGAAAGTCGGGTGGGGGGGTGAGGGGGCAAAGCTAGAGCAAAGGAAGTAAAGGGGAAGGATGGAAGATGTACTAGTAGCAGGTGGGGCCGGCCATAAATCACAGGGGACACAGAGGTGACAGCTCTCCTGCAAAAGCTAGAGTAGAATGACCTTGGGCCAGAATGAAATTTTCTTCTACTTATTGCCCAGGAAGTTTTCAAAGGAAAGTTAGCTCTAGGCAAGGAGTTAATTAGAACTAATGCATCACCTTCCACAATGAAGGTAAAATAGACAAATTAAATGGCATTTCAGGAAATCCTACATTTTTACAAGTAAAATGTTAAAACTGGATGCTGAAACAACCTAAGTGCCCAAAAACAGATGAGTGGAACAAGAAGATGTGGTATATATACACAATGGAACACTACTCAGTGATTAAAAAAGATAAACTTGTGCCATTTGTGGCAACATGGATGGAGCTGGAAGAGATTATGCTAAGCAAAGTAAGTCACAAGGATAAAGATAAATTCTAGATGGTGACACTTACTATGGAATATAGAGAAACCAAACAAAGTTCAAGACAAACTTTGAAACCAACACTTGAAAGCTGACCACAGTACTAAGACAACCAGAGGTGGTGGGGAGTGGTTATAAATTTATCTGAAATTACTTGAGTTTGTATACAAGAGTTGTTAATAACCTGAATGATTTTACTCATCCAAAGCTTGTCACTGGAACACTTATTTTGTTAGATCTATGCTTAGATGACAATAACATATGTTTTCTCTCAATTTGTATTCTTAAGTGATTGGAATCTATCTTGCTGGCTCTATTTGAATTCCAATACTACAGAGAAAATGCTTGAATATTAATGAAAAAATATTTTATCATATTTAAGTATGAAATACTTGGTAAACAGATGGCTCAAAGTTACTCTGAAAAGATGCTTACTTTATTAGCTTGTATGTCTGCCAAATAAAACAGGAGAACCTGTTAAATTTGAATTTCAAATGAGCAACAAATGATCTTTTAATACAAGTGCATCATAAACAGTACAAGGGGCATAAGTATACCAAAAAAAGTATTCTGTTTATCTCAAATTCAAATTTATCTGAGCATTCTATATCTATCTATATACATATATACATATACATAGATTTTTTATATATATGCATATATATAGCAACCTATTAGCTTTATCAGATTTTTTAAAAAATTAGGATCCATTTTTGTAACTTCTGAACTCTTTTTTTAAAGATTTATTTTTATTTTACTTATACATACAAGAATTGGGGTGTAGGCCAGAGGTGCGGTGGATGAGAAGATTCACCAGAGACAGAGTGGGGAACAGAACAGGCAGATCTACTGAAACACACCGCTGAGGGGAGCAGTGACAGGAAAGGTATGCTATGCCATGTGGGTTAACTCCTTGGTAGGGGATCGAACTCAAGCCACAGTGGCTGGTGATAGCTTGTTACCACTGAGACTTGAACCTCTGCACCACCAGGGAGGCCCACTTCTGAACTCTTTAGCATAGAACCCAGTACATATGTGGTACTTGTGTGTTTTATGGAACACTGGGTCAAGTCCAGCATTTATGCAATAAAGTGTTAAATTCATAGACCCTAAGCCATCATTTTGAAGGGTTCTTCCACCAAAGTCTTCCCTACACCCTCGTGAGAATCCCTTTCCTTCCAGGTTCCTAAAACTTGGGGAGTAGTTTGAGAGGCAGACACGCTCAGAGGTCTATAGACTAAGCAAATTTTTAGGCCCCAAATTGCTTACCAGAAATTCTGAAGGCCATATGTTCCAGATTTCAAAAAATTTTGAATTTGATAGAGGAAGAACAGCTCATATAATACATATTACATGGTATTTCCAGTGAGGCAGGAGCAGGACCCTGTAATCAGCCACATTGCTATTTCTGCAGCTACTTGTGAATTTCATACCAATTGTGTCTACTAGTCAAAGTTAGTTTTTGCAACTAAGTTTTGGTGCCAATCCTCCAAAAGACATTTTTCCCTCCACAAAAGTTTTCAGACTTGGAACTTCGGAGGAAAGGTTATAAACCAGGGTCAACAAATGGTAATTTCTGAGAACCATTCTCTAAAGAGGCAGCCTTATATTTTTTAATTAGGATTTTTCCCCCTTTGGCTTTGGCATTTTAATTATAAAACTGGTAAGTGTTTAGTGTTGAAAAAATTGGAAAACCAGCATATAAAGGATTCATATCATCAAACAATCATCAAAAAACTCTAATCTGAAATCCTGTTGATTTAATCCTCAAATTCCATTTTATATCTCTACTTCCTCTAACCAGAGAACTAACTTTGAAATGTAAGAAAGAGGCAGGGGAAGGGCTGGGTCCCTTCAGAACAGAGACTGTGACTTGGCAAACACTTGGGCCTCCAGTGGCATTAACACTTTGCTGAAGAATTCTGAGCCAGGCTTGCTATCTGTCCTGGCTCTGAAGGAAGGATGGGGAGGAAGTAACAGGTACTTTGGCAAGATAGTAGCGGGGGATAAAACAGAACCACTTAAGATATAATGGCATATGCTTAATGTAGAAAAACAGCCAAATAGTTTAAGTTTTTAATCAGAATCATGTCATGGCATAGAGTAATGTAAGCTTCTATTCAAAGCTTTTAGCCTATTTGGTTATAAAAGTGTGTCAAGTCAGGATGGCAACAGACAAATTATTTGTGTGAGCACGGATCCTTAAATAAAATAATAGTTTGAGCTGTATGATCACCATCTCAACAATGAAAGCATCTTCAACAAGATGAGCAAGAGGAACCTTTTCTTAGCCGTTTTTCACTTAATTTCAGTACAACTACTTTTGACTTTTGCTTGGTAAGAAGCAGAGATGACACACAGATACTTCAAAAGTAAAGGAAATTATTTAAAGTTTTGAATACTTGATGTAGTCAGAAATACACAAAGACTGAAAGTAGACCTACATAAACACAAGCATACAACCATACCTTCTTAGCAGTTCTGCCTTGGACAGCGGGAGTAGCAGGAAAGAAAGCCAGCTCCAACCAGACTTTGGCCCAAATGTCCCAGATCTCACCCAACACATCCATAAAAATAATGCAGAAGTTATAAACAATCTTTTCTCATGTCCCTCACCCCAAGAAGACCTGTTGGGCCCCTGTGGGTTAATGTTTGAACTAGACACTCAGATTTATTTAGGGCTTGTCCATGTTCATAGTGACTATGTGCGATGTAGCCACTGTCTGACAGCACGAAAGATAGGTGGCATTTACTCAGGACGCATGGAAACAGGTTTATGATGCTCTTGACAGTGGTACCTATGGGGGCAGGGAAAGGTCAGTCCAGGAAGCCACTGCAAAATGTTCACCAAACACATAACTAAGTATATTGCATATATTTTAGGTTGTTGTACAATTAGGTCTATGGAGTATATTTTATATGATAATATATAATGAATAACAAGCAATCATCTGCAATATATATTAATTTACACAAAATTCATAATAGTTCCCAAATCAGGTGAAAGAAACAGCACTAAAGAGCCAGACCAAGGAAATGATGTCAGTAATTTCATGCCAGAATTTGAGCCTCAGGTCTTATTAAAAGTTCTTCCTATGACTCCAGGCCTTGTCTCCCAAAATCTAGGCTTACAGGATGTGTATTCACATCTGAATTGGGTTTGCCCAACAAGGATATCTTTTTAGGTTTTGGCTTTCTCATTCCATAGTTAATATCTGACAGCAGCAACAGGTGTGTGGAAAAGGAAACGAGATCCAAAGGGGCAAAGGTCACTTCCTCCTTCTGTCTTACACTCTGGCTCGACTGGCAGCGTGATTACAAGCCCACTAGCAGGTTGTCCCAGCTGTCCTGAAACTTGGCAGCACGGAGTTCTTGGGCAGGTGTCTGGCTCAGCATGTCTGTGAAAGCCCAGCCTGGACCTGCCCAGTAGTAGGAGATCCAAGGACAACATTCCCAAAGCATACTGGGCAGTGTTCTGGCAGCTACTCTAAGATGGATAAAGAGTGGACAACAGTGCCTTCCTCTATTTCACAGGCTAGAGAGGGAAGTAAATATCTAATAAGTCCAAAACAAATGCAGATTTAAAAACATGATGGTGAAAAGAACAACAGGGAAAACATAATCTGAATTAGAAGGCCTGGAAGAGTTTTTCTGAAAAACTAGCACTGGACATAAGCCCTGATAGATATAACCAACAAGGCTCAGCTATGGGGAAGGGGTTTCCAGGAAGGGGAGATATCTGCAGGGGAGCCCTCAGAGAGGGATGGATCTTTAAAGGTCATATACCTAGGATCATAAAGGTCACGGATAAAGGTCACCATGCGAGTGGAGTAGAATGATGAGGGTGACACACAGGCAGGTGACAGACCACAGAGAGGAATTTAGATTTATTAAAAGTCCATGGAACTCCAACCAGAGCAATATGATCTAATATATTTATTTAAAAATATCACTCTGGCTGTTGTGAAGAGAATAGACTGAAGGGAAGTAAATGGAAATGATGCTAAAGAAGAGATTTTGATGATTTAGAAGAGAATGCTGTTAGTGGAGATACAGAAACGTGAAGTGAGAAATATTTTCGTAATTAATTGGACCTGGGAATGATGCAGAAAGAAGTGTCAAGACAACTTCCAAGTTTCTATTTGGACAGACAGGTAGAGAGAGTGCCATTTTCTGGACTGGGAAAGCTGAAGATCAATAGGGTGGAAGGGGAGAAATGTATGCCAGGCAAGAGAAAGGATAAAATCGACAGTTCGGCTACAGAATACTCAGTTAGAAATATCTGTGATGTATCTGAGTGGAAATGTCAGACAGGTTTCAGAATATGAGCCAGAAGTTCAGAAAAAGGCTTTAGGCTAATGAATGACACATTTGATAAGTTACTAGAAACCATGGCTGTAAAAGTATGTGAGGATACAAGAGAAAAGAGTTCAGTGCAAAAGCAAACACTCCAGCAAGTGGTTAGACAGAGGCAGAAGGACAAGCAATAAGAACTGGGATGGAACAGTGAGAGAGAGAAGTAGAAGAGAAGAGAAACTGGAAGACTGGCACACAGAGGCAAGGCGGGCAGTGCCTAGAAGGGCCGGCCCCGCCTCGAGTGCGGCTGAAGAGTCTCATCACAAGAGGACTGAAAAGCCCCCGGCAGGCTGGGCAGCACCTAGATTTTTGGGAGCAAATCTGAGGGAGCACTGGGGGGTTGAGCCAACTAGAAGGCAAGGAATAGTATATTGGGAGCTGGAGCTAAGGAGATGGCTAAAAAATGCAAAAGTTTGGTTATTATAATTTTAAAATGATAATATTGGCATGTTGACAGGTTCAGTAAAGAGGGAGAAGTTGGGGGATGGATTACAGGAGAACCAAAGAAATTGAGACAGTGGGATGGAATGACACCCAGAGCACATCCAAAGGTACTGTCTTTGAGGGGAAGAGAATCTTCCTCAATTGTGAAATGATAGGACGCTTCTGATTTCTCAATGAACCAGGGTGATAAGACCATCTCAGACACAGCGGGGAGAGAGTGGACCAGAGAATTGAACAGTGAAGATATGAAATAGCCAAGTCAAAATATGGCAGAATTTTACTGGAGAAACATGGTAAGGTTGCCAAGCAGTACCGAGTCTATTTGAGTTTGGCTGTCAGCAGTATGTAGTAACATCATCTAGTAGTCTACTTCTACTTCCCTCATCCTCCTCTGGAATCCCTCACCTAAAGCCTGATTCTGCCATTTTTCACACTCTGCTGACAGACAATAATCCCACCTTCCAAAGCAGCTAATCCCCTAACAGCTGCATGAGCTGGGTCTATGCTTCAAGCCCCCACTGCCCCTTCTCCAATGCATAGCCCCTGTCAAGCCAGCAAAACAATAATAGGAAGGATGAAAATGGCCTCTTCTCTACATATTACCATTAACTTACTCAAACTGAAATTTTTTTTTCACTGCTTAAGGGAGAGAAATGGTAAGTAAAGAAGAATGTATTACAAGTTTATTTGCTTTTTCTTCCCCATGCTGGAATTTCATTTTTTTTAATTCGAGGCCTAGTTCAGCTGTAACTAAGAATATGAGAGAATAAGCACAATATCTCCCCAAGAAAATAAACAAACAAACAAAAAGCCAATTACCATCCTGAATTCTAAAAGCTACAAACAAGTTTTCATATTTTCCCTAGAAGCTATGCACTAGCATAAAGGTTGGGGACTGAATTGCATATGCATTTTTTCCAAGAAAATTGTCAACTATATTTTACAGACTATTTCATTGGGCAGTGTGTGAAGATCCCTGAAAACGTGGATGTATTTTTCAAAGAGCAGTGCAGTGCACTTGCATTGAACACAATTGCAAGGCAAGACAGCGAAGATGAATGGTCCCCATTCATCTTATTAATAAACAGAAAAATGAAAGGAAATAAGGCAGCCTCTGCAGGGCACCACTGGTAAAGGCATTCAGTATACTAAAATAATTCTTAAAAAAAAACAACAACGGTAGAATCAGAAAAAGAGACTAATGGAAAAAAGCAATTCACTCATCTCAAGTGGATTAACTACCATGAATATCAGCTGGAGAAATTATACAGGCTTTTCTCTGTCAGCTACAGCCACTGGGCCTGACAGTTCTTTAGTATGTGACAATTTACCTCATCTAAACACTTTTCTTTAGTACCAATGTCTCCAGGAACATGGCACACATATCCAAAACTATGGTTAAGACATTTTTCTAAAAAAAAAATTCCACTCCTTTATTTTCAATTTCATACATTTAAATTCCCTCAAATGGGACCACTCTGTTGCCCATAAAAACCGCATTCAAGTGAAATTTTCTTTTACCTTGGTCTTTTCACCTACGATGGTCTTTTCCAGTTTTGTTATTTTCCGTTTTAGCTGATCCAAACTCTCCTTCTCTCTCATAAGTTCAGTTGTTTCAGATTTCTGTTCTCCATCCAAAAGAGCATATTCCATATCCGACTAAGGAAACAAAGCAAAGCTCAGAGATACTTCACTTTCAGGGAAATTCTCAACTGCCCACTTTTATGGTGTGTTTTTAATGGCTATAAATTTCAAAAAGAACATTCCATAGAATCCATATGTGACTCCTACATGAGAACTGGAAAGCTTAGAAGAGTCTTTAAGAAATTTGGTCATCTTATTATTTGAATGTTATATTATAACCCCTTTTCTGCTCACTTCTCAAGGTGAGGTGCCTATTAGCATAGAGTTGGGCTCAACTCTATGAACCATCCTGGGAGCAGCTAGGTCTGTCTTTGTTTGTACTGAGAGCATGAAAGGTGAAAATTATACTCAGCCCAGCCTGCAAGCACCGAATTCCCAGCAATGCCAGCAGGAAGGGCTTCTAGGATCTGCGTGGAAGATGACAGGTGAGTAGTCCCTTTCCACTTATTGGGCTGTCTGCACTATCTGTGAGTATAAACACCAGATCCATCCTATGCAGAATTATTTGCTCCTTCTCACTCAATGGAGAGAAAGTAAAATAAAAATTGCTACTTTCATGAAAAATTTAGTTGTTACATAATTTGTGCGGTGTCCTTCCTGCTTGCAAATCTCTAGAAAGCTAGGTCTATGTTTGATTCATATGTAAATCCCCCAATAGTCCCAATGTATTACTCAACTCATAGTAAACATGCTCAGAAAATGTTGTATTTGAATTCAAACTCCCAAATACATGGTACCTTAGCTAACATGAATTATATAGCACGTCAAAAAGTAGAGACTAATTAAAAGGACATCAGTTTTATATCAAGTACATTAAAAATGGCTTTATTTTTACCTCATCTGATGTCTAAAAACAAATTCAGAAGAAAAAAAATGTAAGGAAAGTGGCTTTGGCTTTACCCTACACACGGTACCCACTGAGCAAATATTTGCTCAGGTTCATGTCTAGGGACTCTGTTTCCAAGGCCTGTGCCCTAAGAATACGTTCAGCAAAAAAGGAGAATGTAGAGAGCACTCCTGGTTTATACCTCTCTGGAAGATTCATCCATCTGGTCATTTATGTCTTTGATTTTTTGTTCAAGTTCCTTGAGGTTGTTCAGAATTGCTAACCGGGTCTCTTCCATTGCAGCCAACTCCCGAGTCCTTTGTTCTTCACTTACACTCTCTGGGGTCTGCAATGAATCAACACAGGAAAGAGCTAGTCACACTTCCACAGCACAATTTCACAATCCATAAACCAGGCAAAGCTCCAATGTCTTACAGTGTCCATGTCTATTTGGTTTCTAAAAGCACTCTTGTGATTGTTCAGTTGGAACTTTTCATTTTCCCAAAGATCCCCGGCAGTTAGGTTTCTAGGTTAGCTCATCAAATCAAGTTAGGTTTATAAATTTATAAATTCATTACTTTTTAAAGTTGAAATTACTAAGGGGTTATACAGCTGAGTAAGTTGTGCTCTGTAGACACTGTAGAGGCATCTCTAAGTTACAGAGAACGTTTGGCTATGCAGCGAACCACTGACAGAACCTACATGAGACTGTTGACATCTTGCTCAGGGGTCTCTGGGGTATACTGCTCCCTTCAATACAAGTGCCAAATTCTCTCCCATCTCCAAGTAAGTACATCTTCTACAACAACCTTTTGAACCTCTAACCATACTCTTGGGTTATCTGCAAATGGGCATTCATGGTTATTTATTTCCTTTCCAACATAAGGTGGAAAAACAAGGACACATGGCACCTGACCACATCTCATCAAATTGTTTCACAAATTGAACACCAGGACAGTATAGGCTTTATTAATTGTTAAAACTACACACTTACTATTAAGTTAATTCAAGTGTTATTCTTTATGTTAGTGCCTACTTACTGTTATTGTCCTGCAGTACCTTTTTCTCAACATAATGTTCAAGACACTGACTGGGCCAATAGGCTTTTAGGATATGAAATAGGACACTGCCATAATTCATAAAATTATTACTTGAAAACACAGTTCTTTAGCAAGAAATGAGAAATTAAGAAACAAAATGAGTGAGAAAGAGCATATTTTAGTAAACTTCTGAACATATTTCCGAAAAAAGCCCAGAGAAGGAGTATTTTAGATCATACACACAATCAAAATGTGACCATCTATTATTTTAAGAAGACAATCTAGTGAACTGAAAATAAGCTTTTCTTATAAGAATTTCAGATTATTGTGTGGACTGGTAGAGACCAGTCTTTTTCTAAGTCAAAGGGTGCTCGTATGGGTATGTTACTTAATTTTTATTTCTTGTTGAAAAAGAAGCAACGTCTTAGGATCAGTAAGTCAATAATTATATAATTTCACAATTGGAAATTGAAAATAGCAGCCCAACTAAGTAAATTATTGATGATTACTGTGCAATCCTGAAAAGATTATTCAAATTAACCAAAGAAACCATAAAGTTTCATGAATCCCACCAAGTTCATTAAATTTTTAACAATCCTGAAAATAAGTTTAACAAGATAGGCATAGTGTCAGATACTTTTTTCGTATTCTTTATTCCTTACACTACTTTGCTGCTACTTAAGGAAATAAAAGATTCAGAATTTACCTACTCAGTTTAATTAGACAAAGGAGTACAGGCTTTCCAAGCTTTGACATTTAAATTTTTAATGATCAACTTAAATTCAGCATCTGATCAACTAATAAAACAACTTCTAATAGTTAAGTGACTGATTTAGGCATGAGGAGCACCTGTGACAGGGAATGGCATTCCAAAATCACTGACCAGTAATCCCAGCAGGAAAGCCTCCAGCATCCTGTTGGGTCAACACTTCATATTAGGTTTCAACTTCCAACATAGTTTAAAAAATCTCACTGGTGGAAGCAAAGCATTAAGAGAAAATATAAACTGAACAATCTGCAAAACTATAAACTCTGTAAGCAAATAGGAAAGATAGGTAATAGTGGCATAAGTATCTCTATAAATCCAAGTTTCTAGAAATCTTACCACAATAGGCATATTTAATAACAGACAACTTGAAAAGTTGTTTATAGCAATAAATGCTATCTAGGAATTTTTTTTTCTGATTAAGTTAGTTATACAAAGTGAAATCTTTAAAAGCCATCTAAAGCTCTGAATGGTTTGTGATAGAGTGGGGTAAAAATACTGTAATCTCATTCATATCCAAAGAAAGAAAATCAATAGAAAGTCAAGGGTATAGTAGGCATTAAACGGCTTTAGTTTTATGGTAACAAAAACAGAAAATTTTAATCTTTCTGGGATTTTTTTTTTATGTAGTAATGGATAGGGTTGCACTGAGAGTGAGGTTTAAATAAACACATTACTCATGTATATGCATCCCCAAATATGCCATTTTAAGGTAACTTGGCACACATGGAAAAAGAGGAGACAGAGTATGGATAAGACACTTGGCATTTGTCTTTTTAAATATATATATATTTAAAAGTGCAGTAGTGAGAAGAGGCTAAAGAGTAGAACAAGGAGTTGGATCTATAACTGACATGAACAAACAATTAAGATAACTCACTATCTTAGGACTAACCTGCATCTGCCTTCTTATTTGCAGATCTCTCCTTAGAAACCTCTTGCAACCAGAGAAAGTTGTAAGTATAAGAACTTTCCACTAATGACAGAACTACTCAAAATGAGAAGAATGAAAACTTTTTCATAACAAAGAAAAAATGGTTCCTTCTTATTTTCATTTTTTGGGTAACTATATGTAATAAATGCTAACTGAACTTGTGGTAATTATTTCCCAATATATGTGAGTCAATTTATTATGCTATATACCTTAGATTGTTTGTTCTTTGCCAATTATATCCCTAACAAAACATCAAGCAAAAAAGGAGTAAGTTACTCCCAGCTTTCACTTCAGGTGAAAATCTATTTCCCAGGTTATCTGCAGATTAAGTTTTAGGTCAAGGCAGTTCCAGAATGATTAATCTCAGTCTTCCTAAGTCTCATGAAAATCTACTTTTAGTTAAATCAGCATAGTATTTTTCATATTTAATTTTTTCCCATTAGGGTCAATTAATAACAAACACTGTGCTCTGAAATAAACAAATCAGTGAGCAGATTACTCCAAGGAAAAGAACACCCAAAACAAATGGTCAGGATGTGGTTTGTGTTTTTTTTAAAGATTCTTCTGTCCCCTATCTAGAGGTAATGTTTTGTCTTCAAAAATGCATAAATGAAAACCTCTTTCCCTGGACCCATCCCCCCAGGTGCACTCTTGTCCAAGGTGCGGGTGGTGACTGGAGGCGCCCTTGATGAGTTCTGTCTACAGCCACAGTCTTCCACCTCTTGCAACAATGGACACTGCTCCCAGTTTCAGACCCTCCTATTCCATTAAGCGTATTTTAGCAATGAGAAACATCTGTTCTTTTCACAACAACAGTTCTCTTGTCACAGGTCTCTTCAGGAGGATGCCTGTCTCCCAAAAGTTAATCCATGGAGACAGGTTAGTACACAGCACGTTATTTTAACAAAAATATGGCAGACCTCCATGAAGAAAGAACTATGAAAAGATTTAAGATGAAAAGGAGGTCAAGGATATGTAAGGAAACCCAATGGTTGGTAACAAATATATATATATATATATATATATATATATATATATATTTAAGACTAGTCAAGTGCATAGTGAAAGAGGATAGAGGGAACAAGGAGTTGGATCTAAAACTGACATGAACAATTAAGATAACTCAGTACTTTCAGACTAGCCTGCATCTGCCTTCTTATTTGCTGAGACTTTGATGAACAACTTTTGATTCTTTCCCTTAAGATTCTAGTTATTAACAGTTGTCACTTTCTGGCAATAGAAACAGGTGTCTTACGCAGAATTCCTCTCCCTTGTGACACTGTAAGGTAAACATGGTCATCAGGAGAAAGAAGGGATTGAACAGTCCAGCGTCTTGACATCAGAACCCAATAAGGGAGATAAAGACATCTAATCAGGAACATTCCGTGACAAAATGTCTTGATAGGTCAAGTAGGGAATCAAAAATAAAAACCAACATGGACTTTTCTGCATAGCGCTCCAGGTGATAAACTACCTTCAAAATTGAGCATTGTGATAATGTCTTTCTTTAAAGAATCAGTACTTGTTCTTCTCTTATAACAAAAAAATTAACTTAATTTTTTTAATTATTATTTTTGGGCCTTTGGCCATGGTTGCCAAGAATCTCAGTGCTGAACTGAATGGTCAGAGTTACGTAAACTAATTAATCCTATTTATCCTTAAATAAAAATATTCTTGTGGCTATGGCACCTGGTTTTTCTTCTACTTATTATTCTTGGAGTGTTCACTTTATTCTAAGAAAATTTATGTCTTCTATTTAAGCTCTTTCAAATCCTTCCTAGGAAAAGAGAATATTTTTTTGAATTTCATAGAAAAAATTCTTAACCTGTGTGAATAAAGTAACACCAAAAGAAATCCTCGAAGAAATCCTCAAATTTGGAAGACATTAAAATTCAGTATGCAGGGCCTCCACGGTGGTGCAGCGGTTGAGCGCTGGGTTGTGAAGCTGCCTGCAACCTCTGCTCCCGGCCACTGGAGGAGGGTCCCACATGGTGCACAGACCTCTCCTGCCGCCCGCTACTCCCCTCAGCAGTGTACTTTGGTAATTCTGCCTACTCTGCTCTGGCTCTGGTGAATTCTCTCACCCTCCCGTGCTTCTGACTGTACCCAGTGCTTGTATAAATAAATAAATAAATCTTTAAAAAAATAAATAAATAAATTCAGTATGCAATAGGAAGACTAAGTAATAATTAAGATTACATATAGATCGTAAGCTCATATTGACTGAAAAAAGTCATAAGGTCAAAGGAAAGACCACTGAAATCACTGGTGATTTCATCCCACACATCCTCCCCCAAACACTTGGCAAGTGAGGACTTTCCATGATTTCTGATGGATGCATTTAAAGATCCAGATAAAAATATTAATTTCTTTACCACAAATATCTCTTACAACTCAATAAAGACAAGATGAATAAAAAAATTTAAAAATGCTGAACATGAGTAAGTGAGTTAGAATTACAAATAATGCCTAAAAATATGAGCCCAATTTTAGGCATAGTTTAAACACAAGCAAATTAAAATACTTATCAACTTACCATTGAACATTTTTTATAATCTGGAGCCTTAGTAAGATTATGACAAAGAAGATGCCTCAGAAATTATTAGTGGAAATGCCATCAGGAAATACAGTCTTTTGAAAGTGTAGCTTGGAAATACTGATTAAAATGAATAATATGTAAACTCTTTGTCCTAGCAATTTCACTTTTAGTCAGAGACCCTATAGGTACATTACCACAATTGTGCAAATATGCCCAAGAATATTTGCAGCATATAGATTATATTAGGAAAAACTGGAAACAAACAGTATTTTCAAACAATAGAATACTCGCCAGCCATTGAAAAGAATGAGGTAGAGCTGTGTATACTAATATGCAAAGATGCTCAGACATTTAGTGAGGAAAAAATGTACAGAACTCTAAATGAGTGTATACGTGTGTCTACACCCGCAGTATGTGGCCATTTATGCACAGAAAACATCAGGAAGGCACTGAGACACTTCATGTCTCAGTTTATGTCTCAGTGTACAACTGGGAGGGGGCAGGGAGAAGGGAAACTTCCTTCTTTCTATTTTTGTGTGTCACTATGCTTCTTACAGTTCAAATTTGTTGTTTTATCATAAACACCTTATTTGCTGTACCTTATTTAGCTAATTACCTCTTAAATTATAGCTTTACTGAAAACATTTTGGAAAGGAAGCATACTACAGTCTCTAATCTCTAGACCAAATGCACATGCATTGTTCTAGATCCTACATCCTGATCTTGTGCTCTTATCTTTACCTTTGGTAGAATACTTAGGTAAGTGGACTCGCTGGAGGCTTTCAGAAAGGCAGAGGAAGGTGGTGGGGGAGTTCTGGTGAGGTCCCTGAATAGTTCATCGTTTCTGATGCTCCTGGGGGAAAGGAAGCTGGCACTGGTCTGACCCAGGCTCCCAAATGCTGACATGTCCAAATCGTGGAGAGAGCTCTCCCGGTGGCACCTGTATCTGACATCAGGGCTCACCAGGGCTTCTTCAAACACAGACTCCTCATCAGAGAGTTGCAGCTTCTCAAGCTTCTTGTTGATTTTCTGCACATCTGCCACAGTGGTGCCAGTGGACAGGCGACTGTCAGGCCTTGTGTATTCAGCACAGAGACTGAGGATGGTCTCCAGACGCTGTCTCTCCTAGAGAACAGAAGGAGGGAAAGGTTAGGGAGTTTGTGAGAAGGGAGATAACTCCAGATGAAAACACTGAAAAGGCTGGAATCACTGGTGATTTCATCCTACACATCCTCCCCTAGACACATGGCAAGTGAGGACTTTCCACAGTTTCTGATGGATGCATTTAAGGATCTAGATAAAACCCTGGTTAACAATGCTTGATGCTCTTGCAAACTCAATTCTGATTGTTTTTTTATTTGTATATTCCAGTGCTGATTCTAGTGCAAAGCTGCCCGCAGCAAGCTTTTTTTTTATTTATTTATTGATTCTCCAAACACTTCCATTAAAAAAAAAAATCTTCATTCCCCGTCCCACTCTCCACCTATCTACTTTCAGCATAAACTAGTCATTTCATTACTATAAACAATATTTGCACTAAAAATTCTCTTACTTCCTAGAGAAATACCATTCTACTATCATAAACACAAAAGAATCTTTTAACTTAAAAGGTAATTGGGTTTTCAATTTTTTTCTTTAAATGCTTCAGATTTTCAAGATTTTCATCTTTTTTATGTCTTCTTCTATGTAAAACTTCTCCCACCAATTTCTCACATAAGTAATTAAATTTATTAGAGAAAATGTTGCATGAAAAATAATGTTTCAAATACTATCCAGATAGAAAACATTAATGTAGCTCAGAGTTTAAGATCATTAAACCTTAGTTTCATCTAGCTGGAAACAAAAATGATAGTTAATTAAAAAGACAACATATTGGCATTATCATCTATAATAGTACTACAGACACCAAGATCCGCATACAAAAGATGCATTTATGATTTCTGACTCTAAATAAATTTAATATATTCTCGTGAACAACGTGATATAGTTTCCAAAATTCTTATTATAAGCTTAGACAGCACTGTTTGGGGTGGGTAACCTCAATATCTTCAGTTCCCACATTAATTTTAATGCCCAAGTGAAAAAGAAAAACAAAAGAAAAAAAATTCGTGATTACATCTACCACACTGAGAATTCAAAAAACTCCCACTGAAAAACACTTCCCAAACTGATGATCAGAAACAAAATAGAAAAAAATTAAGTAGCACTGGGCTGCTGTTTTCAATTTCTAATTGCAGTTCATTTGTAAAGACAAAATTCTGAAGCTAGTTAACTCCTTATTAGTTGAAGGAGTATCAAACAAAAATGTCAAATAGGAACATAATCCCCTGGTTTCCATTAAATACATTAAACGACTAGATAGAAGTCCCTTAGTTACATGTGACTTTAATCTGTCCTCTAAAGTACTATCCCACTCTCCAAAAATGCAACAGCTTAATGAAAAGGATAATTAAACTGGTCTCAATAAGTCCCCACCTCCCTCTCACTGCCTGAATTTCTGGCCTCCAGCTGCAGCTCAGTCCTCATGGCCTCTCTCCACGACTGGCATGCATAGCTGCACCACCTCATCCCAAGTGCCTCTGCATCCTGTCCATCTAGAAGGCTGGGTGCTTATTTATCTCAGCAGCTGCCATCAGCTGCCAAGCCCTACCCACCTCAGCTTTATGAGTAGGGAGGTGGGGGTGGGGCGGGGCACAGTAATCATGGCCTTCTTTTAAGCTTCTCCAACAATCTAGCAAAGTTGACCTGAGAATATGCAAAAACAACCTTCAAGAACATATGTGAGGAGGAGTATAGGAAGATGTCAGTTTGTACCCCTTCTTAACAGCAACTGCATTAGAGGCTAATTGCTAAGGAAAAATTGTCTGATATTTAGGTGAATTTAGTTGAAGCATCTGAACTCTTTCTTTAGTGATGTTTGTAGCTCAGAGTACGTACATATTGAAGCTTGACATTAATTACACTGGTGATTATCTAAAAATTGTCAATTTCCATTTACCAGGGCTCTAATGAACAGCGTACTCTTCAAAAGCAGGCAAGTTGCCTCTGTCTAGCCTGGAATACATAGCAAAATTCCTCCCACATCTCCTTCCTAAAATAGTTTCTTTTGCTGCCAGTGCTATTGCTTAATTCCAGAGGGAATAAATGATCCCAGTCTTCAGATGAATGCTATTTCAGACAGTGACAGGCAGTATTCAAAGGCTTGTGCACAGGAAGTTTGGTCTACTGGTATGTGCTTCTCGCTATTCTTATCGCCCCATTCACAGCCAATCTGTCCAGGCTTGAATCACACACATGGAGCGCCACTGCCCGCAAGTCTGAAAGAAATCCAACCATACCGAGGCACACTGGCCCCATAAAAGCTGCACCAAAGAAAAATAAACTGTGATGAGAAGTGCGTCAGAAGAAAGTCTGCAAGGCATTTCAGACAGCACTACAAGAAGCCTTTTAAGGAAAATCCTGAACAGAGTCTACCCTCACAAAATAATTCTCCTTCGAGCCCTTTCCACTCGCATCTTGTTGCAGACTCCAGTCTCGTTCTCCATTCATCATACATAGCCTCCACCTGTGTGGCCTAAAGCCAGGGCTCTCAGGGACCAGCACACTTCTGAGAATCAGACCGGGCGCTGTGAATAATTAAGTGAACATCAAGCGCAAACAGGAGAGGTCATTTGAGATGTAGGACTTCAGACCTAAGACTCACTTTTCTTTTTTTTTTTTTTAAGGTTTATTTATTTATTTATTTATTTAGCTATTTCTTTTTTTTTTTTTTAATATTTATTTATTTATTTATATAAGCACTGGGTACAGTCAGAAGCGCGGGAGGGTGAGAGAATTCACCAGAGCCAGAGTGGGGAACAGAGCAGGCAGACTGACTAAGTACACTGCTGAGGGGAGCAGCAGGTGGCAGGAGAAGTCTGCGCGCCATGTGGGACCCTCTCCTGGGGATCAAACTGGTGCTGTAGAGGCTGCGGGCAGCTTCGCAGCCCAGTGCTCAACCGCTACGCCACCGGGGAGGCCCAGGTTTATTTATTTTAATACAAGAACTGGGGTATAAGCCAGAGGCACAGGAGGGTGAGAGGATTCACCAGAGACAGAGCGGGGAGCAGCACTGGCAGACAGATAGAAATACACTGCTGAGGGGGGCAGTGGGTGAGACAGGAGAGGTCTGCCGTGCCATGTGGGTATCTCCCTGGCCAGTGGGGATTGACCCCACACCACAAAGGCTGCGGACAGCTTCACAGCGCTGCACTCAACCCGCTGTGCCAGGGGGGAGGCCCTCACTTTTATTTGCCCTGACAAACTGCTAAGCTGGGAGACTATGCTCTTTGAAAGCCTCCAGTTCCTACCCTCCTCTCCTAACCAGCAATCCATTGTGCATTCTCTTGAAAAGACATCAGTATGGTCCTGAATATACATATGCCCCAACACATTGGTGTTCAGGGTTTAGAAAAGGTCACTTTGAATCAGAAAAGGTCACCTTGAATCAAATGATCTTAAATACTTTTTTTTCTCTCTCTTACTTCCATCTCAGTACTCCACATATATCAAAGAAAGTTTTGAAGGAGACATGAGATCTTAAAAATATACATGAAGAAAATGGTGTGCAATTTTCCCCCTTAGCAGTTAAAAAAGTTTTTGGGGCTAAGTATGTTACTTGACCTCAGTGAGTTCTTTCTTTTTCAGAGGAATGTGTCTGCTGTTGCCCCACTGCAGTTCTCAGTCCTCAGTCAGGGACCTTATCCATTTCCAAACCCATGAAGAGTCCCTGTAATCAATCACAAGACTGTAAATGTAATGCAGAACTAAATTGTTCAGAAAACTACAAAGCAGAATTTCCAGTATTCAATGAATAAATTCTGAACAAATTAAGTTATATGTTGAAATCCTTCTGTTAGAATGAAATATCTTAGGTCATTTATTACAGAAAACAAAGGGTAAATCTTTAATAGTTTAGTTTATTTTCTTAAGACTACCTGGAAGGATGACATTACTTCTCCTGTAACCTTTCAAAAGCTCCATAATCTTAAGTTCAACAAATATCGATTAAGTTATTCTTGGCCCTGTAATGTGCTGGGGATACAAAGATGAAAAAAGACGTCATACCTACCATCAAATTTTTCACAGGGCACACAAGTGGGAATAAATTAAGGAAATAATGATAGCAGAGATTTAAGGAAAACCTACAGATTCACTTCTAGGGAAGCAACACACAAAAATGACATTAAACAGATTTGAGTTGTCTTCGAGGATAAATATGAGTTTGTCTGACAGACAATGAAGCAGGCAGATCAAGTCTGTAAAGGATCCATACAAGCAAAGGCACAGAGCTGTAGATTCTCATGTGTTCAGGCATCAGCAATTACTGTGTGCTAGAGAGCTCGGGGCCTTAGGAGGAAGAGGGATGAGGCACATGTACAGAAATAAGAATAACAAATTTCTTCCTCTTTATATTAGGACTCAAGCGATCCCAACAACCCTAAATGAACCATTGGAATAAATTCTTAGGATCCACCACTGAGAGTCAGAGATCCTAACCTAAAGGTAGATGGCAGAATGAGAAAAGATTAAAGCTCACAGCAACAAAGCAGAATTTCCAGAATGCAAGGAACAAATTTTCATGTCTCAGGTAGGACAGAGGAAAAAACAAAATCAATGGCTAAATTGCCTTTCCTGTGGGTCTGTCTGTTTTTAGAGATAAATCCCCTGGGATGGTAACTGGCTGTATTATGACCAGTTCTCCTCTTTCTGGACACCGGGTAAGTGTTCTACTCCTTACCCCCAAACTAGATCTGGCTGTCAAACTTGCTTCAGCCAATGCAATGCAAGAAGCAATGTGTGTCACTTCTGCCTGAACAGCTAGCATGTGATTCATTACACACCCACTTCTGCCTTGCATGGACACTCCAGATGGCGCTGGGTCCATCAGCCTGAGCCCTGAGTAAGGCAATGTGGAGCAGAGGCCTCGTTCAATCCATGATGGCCATGGAGTAAAAGGAGAAATATACTTATGCCTTTTAAAGTCACTGAGATAAAGCTTTTTTTTCCTTCTCTATCCCAGGGCTCCACAGAAGCCATTATCTGGTATGCCTCACTTAATTTCAGGCAGGTAAGTGGCTCAAAAC